ATATATTGCAATGGTATATGCAAACCAGTCGCTCCATTTTGAGAAGCTCTTAATCTCATTGCGCTGGCAGGTGATGAACCAGGATGATAAGACATGTTTATCATTCTATTGTCACTTGAACGGCGTGGGTGCGGATGAAGTGATGATGGTGAGAAAGTTGTCACTCCACTGTACTGATTTGCAAAGATGGCTTGTAATGTATATTCGTTTGTTTGGTAAACGCGCGCGCGCGCAGTGCCGTGCGCGGTAATTGTGGTACACCGCCACTGTACGCGTAAGAACAAAAAACAGTCCAAAAGTGTGGTTTGTTGGCACCAACTTTTCTACCACCAACGATAGCCTTACTAAGCAGAATGAAGTACTTTTGATTTTATACACTAACGTTTACTAAAGTATAGGGTTGTACTGCTTAAAATCCTTATTCCCGCTTTAGTACAGTCTTTTCATTTGATGAAAAGTTCAATATCAGCGCACGTTCTCGGCATGATAAAAACTTAATATTGTCATGCCTTAGCGTGTAAAAAGACAATTCCCGCATGAATTAGCATGTGGCCAATCAGTCCTACACTGAATTACTCCTTGAAACCCCCTTAATCTGCTAATACCTCCTCCCAAATCAAAAGACGCCACCGTGCCTACCAGGAACGTCAGTAAGGATTTTAATTCCTAATTCCTATTCTACACTGAAATGATACGCTTTGTTCCTGCTTATCTGCTTCCTATGGTTGAAATAAATACCGTCGGCTCGTCTCTACTTGTGTTTGAATGAGAACCATCATCTTCCTCATTCATAAAGCATCTCACAATGTCTAGCGCAGATTCACCTTATATTGTACCTAATGAGGAACCGATTCATGATCAAGAATTAATCGAAAAGAAGGATCTCTCACCTAAAAGTGAACAAGTAGGTCAATCTGATCAAGTCATTGACGCACAATCATCTGATGCATCTCCTAAAAAAGGAGGACTTGGTCCTGTCGCTTTGATCTTCGCTTGTGGTGCAGCTCTTTTCAGTGATGGTTATGTCAATGCAAATTCCGGGCCAACAGGTGTGATCTTGAAACAAATCGAGAAATACGGAACCAATCCTGGATTCTCCTATTTTAAAACTTTATACAGTTCTATGGCTTTTGCAGGTACCGTTCTGGGTATGCTTTTATTCGGTGTTCTCAGTGATCGAATTGGACGCAAATTTGGTATGATCTTTGCCAGTCTTTGGTTATCGCTCTGGAGTGTTTTGATCGCTGGAGCATACGGGGCAGGCGGAAGTGTGAAAGGCCTATTTGCCGCCCTTGAAGCATATCGATTTATCATGGGGATCGCAATAGGCGCAGAATACCCGGCTGGCAGTGTTGCATGCTCTGAAAATACCGAATCAAAAGATGTTAATGGGGGTCGTCAACAAATGTACTTCATCATGGCCACAAATACCATGATCGACTTAGGCTTCGTTGCAGCAAATCTTGTTGCTTTGATCATGTTCCAAATCTTTGGGAAGAATCATTTGGAATGGGTTTGGAGAATGACGTTGGGATTAGGAGCAATTCCTCCTTTTGTGGTTTTCTTCTTCCGTACAAAAATGTCTGAAACGAAAGCTTATAAGCGTGGAGCCATTAAACGAAATGTTCCTTGGCTATTGATCTTACGTAAATATTGGGTTCGTTTAACGGCTGTCTGTCTTGCCTGGTTTATTTATGGTGAGTTTTTGCTAGCGGGATAATGTATGATCGATATTAACCATTCCTTTACCTTTAAATTCTTTAAAAAGATTACGTGAGCTATCCAGCAGGCCTATACTCGAGTTATTTCGTCGATCAAATTGTTCCCGATGACACCGATCTCACAAAAGTATTGGGATGGTCCACTTTGATTAATGCGTTCTATCTGCCAGGCACGATCATTGGTGCTTTCGTTTCCGATCGTCTTGGTCCGAAGAATACCATGATTACCGGCTTGATCTGTCAATGCGCTATCGGATTTGGTCTTGCGGGTGGATTTGGAAGTTTGAAAAACAATCTTCCTGGAATCGTTGTTTTATACGGTATCTATGTGGCTTTCGGTGAATTTGGTCCAGGTAATAACTTAGGTTTGTTAGCCAGCAAAGCCGTGGCTCCGTCCGCAGTTCGAGGTACGTTCTACGGTATTGCCGCTGCTGTTGGAAAGATTGGCGCATTTACTGGATCTTATGTTTACACACAAATTCAACAAGATCTCGCACCGCAAGGCGAGTCGAACAATTTATACTATTCAGGTCCGTTCTACATTGGGTCGGGGCTAGCAGTCGTTTCTGCTCTTATCACATACTTCTTTATTCCCGCTGTTACAAAGGATGGCATGCAAAAGATTGATAGAGAATTCGAAGAGTATCTAGCTGCAAATGGTTATGATATGTCAAACATGGGCTTGTTACAACCTAACGAAGAGGAAGAGACGGAGATCGAGAATGCGGACAAGACATCTGATTAATCAGGTTATGTTAGATATATTTCGCAATGAGATTTACGATGCCATTTACTCACACGGTAAATGGCTGTAGCGAATCTTGTCCTTTTGATCGATCTCACGGTAGAGAAGTAGGTATATGAATCAAGCTTCAGCCACTATTTTTGGAAAGCTTGAATGCTATATGCTAAGTTTATCTGCTTTTGTTTACATAATACTCTCCCCTTAATGTGCCATAGTCGTATCCCGAAAGCTTAGCTTTAATTCATTGAGTGTATATTGCTAGGATAAAATAGCCGAGCATCGGAATAAGAGAAAGTGAAAGCCATAAAAGCCACAAACAGTGGCATTAAACAATCATCTGTATGCGTTAAACCTGCATCGGGTATTCTTCCACATATATCTAGCCTTCAAACCTTCGATAGCAATAAATGTCTGTGAGACTAATTTGTTCCTACAGATATACTCGTGAGTGAAAGACCTTAGATACAGCAATAAAGTAAGATATACATTAAAGCTATCCTTAAACCCGTAACAGTTTTATTACAGTCTTTTCCTTCGCATTTTACGTCACACGTGACAAACGAGCGTATGAAGATTGTTCGTTTAAGCCCTACTTGATTAAGATGTAGATATGAATAGGATATCTTTTATGACTCGGAGAAATAGAGTTTTTATCGTTGTTCTCTAGACTGACCGTGATGCAATATAAGGTCATTAAATAGAATATTGTTAAAATATATGAATAAGAGAAAGTATGAAAATACAAAGGGAAGAAAACAGAAATCAGAAGAAAAAAGCATCTAGCTTTAAGTGCTAGTTGGAAAACAACTTGCTCTTATCGATACTGGGAGTACCAGAAGCACCAGTTGCTGCAAAGTTGTTTGTAGTACCTGGCATTGCCGGCATTGCGGCAAAAGTAACGGGTAATCCGCCTTTAACGTCTTTAACAATCTTTCCTTCACTAGTGGTTTGTTGATGGCTTACCAAAGAATCGGTTGCAGCAATTGAAACGTCATGGAGTGTTAAACGGTCGTAGTTCAATTGAGATGTTTGATTGTTTACCACCAGTTGCCCAACCTCTAAACCTCCTTTTTCCTGACCTTGCCACAAAAGTGCGTGCTTTGAATCGAATCCGGTACGAGTTGGGATTAATGGACTCCCTTGGAAAAAGATGTCCACGTTAGCGTCCCCACCATTTGGTCGGTAATAGTTCGCATAAACCAGTTGTCGGTTAATCTTATCTTTATCCTTTCCGTCGAAATCACACGCTTGATGGTTAACGGTCGCACCGTTCACATCCCCGAGTACAGCAGTTGCACAATTACTCGGGTTAACGCCATCGGCTACCAAGAAACCGAATTCATCCGGTGAGCGATAATAGTTGTTGATCTTGCATTCCCAAAAAGCAAAGCTAACGGCTTTATAATCACCTTTTCCGACTTGACCAAGCGTATTTTGCTGGCCACCGGTTCCTACTTGATTGGTGCCGAGGGCAATATTGCCGGTATATTTCTTTCGGCAATCGCTTTGAGCAGCCTTGGAGTGGTAGACTGACGTTGCTAAAATGAGGGTGAGAATGAGTGAGAAGTTGGACTTCATTGTGGAATGCAAAAAAAAAGATGCTGGGTGAATTTAGGTAAAAAAAGTGAAAATCTAGTGGTATTTAAGCTTTTCAAAGATTCTGAAATGCTTTGAACTGCTCAAAGAAATCTAGATGAGGAGTTTGGTAAAATGAGCTAAATAGGAGTATTATCGCCAATTAGGGTGAGGGGTGCCCGGTAATGGCCAAGATATGGGATTGTTAAGGGCTGTAAGACCCCTTTTAAAGGATTTCATATACTGCAATACTACTGATCATCCTTACAAGGGAGCTTTCCGGCCTGATTTGTCCGTCGGAACATAATGAAGAGGTAGGCTCGGCGTAAAAGTCATTTAGCAATTCTATATATACTGTATACCAAGAGGGGTATAAATAAGAATAATAGGAGATGACTCTTTCTTATAGTTTAATATTAAGCTCTTGAGGGGTCGAACCTGTCGATAAACTCATTCTTCATGATCGAAAGGGTATACTTTTACAGGGTTAAGAACGCCTAAAGATTTAAAGAGCTACCAACCGGCTTCACTAAAAACCTGGCCTTAGCGATAATATCAGTTCGCTTTGGCGTTAGGGACATAGAACTTCTGTTTCTTATTCTTATATTAATCTAGAAAGGAAGTGATAGAGTAGCTACCAAATCTACATAACCTACTCTCGTATCTCTTTTACGAAAATACACCGATGCTACCGGACTTCAGTTAGAGTCGGATTAATAATATGACTAAGAGCTTGATATAGCACTATCAATATTTTACAGTCTTTCTGGTATTAAATACACACAAAAATCATGGTTTATATTCTAGATAAGTATAAAAAAAGGTAAAGAATACGAATCGGAAAACATAAGGAGAATATATCAAAATATTAACATAAATTTGTAACAATATAATTTCATAGCTATCAAGTCAACAGTACCAGTATACGAAATATATATTACGATATATATCGTAGGATAATGTAGCAACTCAGACTTATCAGGTTTTCCAGTCTGTACGAGCGGACCAAGAAACGATAAATAAGCATAAGAATTTCCTGACTGAGGTAAGCGTGACTACGATTCCGTTTCTGAGATCGGCAGGGCCGGTTTGTTGCTTGTGCGGGATTGATTAGGTTATATTCTGCGTTTAAAAATGATAGTTAACATGTAGGCATTGATTTGGTCTACTCTTATACTCTACAATCTGGTGCTTTTGGCCGAAAGGCGCCACAGTGCCTAGTATATGAATACTCGGTTAAAGTACTACCGACGTTAGACGTATCGGACAGTATGCAGGGCGAGTATCCCCCAAAAAAAGTATTTACCTTGTAAGCATACAGCGGAGTATAGAACTACCTTATATTATGTTTATCTCCCGTCTCTCCCTTTCTCTTTCCTAGACTATGCGACACAAAACTTATAGATTTATTGTTCGGCCAATTTTACGTATTTTTGACCGAAAACAAAAAGGAAGTTGGTTACCTTTATTGCTTGTGGCTGAAATATACGCGAGATTGACACTGAATCTCCTTTTACAGAAGATAGACAAACTGTTATACGCCAGGAGGTGCAGCAATTGTAAGGTATACGGGCACAGTAAGATCCGCTTTTTCAAAAAGATAAACGCATAATTGGGAAGCTATGTTATTTCCAACAAGTTGGGTCTTTAGCCACAGAAATGCGGGTAAGGGTAAACAGGGTATGTACCTGTCAATGGGAACGGGAACGCTATGCATGAGTCGCATAAGGCTCCCGTCACGTTTGAAAGATTTGTGCATTTTGACAGCATGGGAAGCGGAAGATAGAACAGGAATAGCCTTGAAAACGTCAAATGTGCGTGTGCGTATGCGTGTGCACGCTGGCCCCTTTTTGTATATGCAGCCTGATACACTCCCGGCTTTGGTGAAGGGAAAGTACACATACTCTTGTGTGTGGCTGATTGCCACCAACACTATGTCCCGATTCTTACTGATCACTTGTACTGCAGTGCCTACTGTACAGTAAGGCATTGCGATGACGCAAATCTCATGCAGGACACTTTATGAGAAAACAGATATCTGTTGACAGCACACAGAGCTGGATGAAAAAAAAAACCGGCTCGGCTCACACTTAATACATGCATGCAATTCAGTTTTACCAGCATTTTGGGGCCAGTCCTTGGCCTTAGATATTTTATTCTCGGTCGGAACAAAGCTTATCGGGCTTACTCCCGTATCAAGTTCACAGGTATCAGAAAATAGTAGTAAAGGAAAGATGACGGGATTAAGGCTCGGGACGTCAACCTAAGTAAAGTGGCTGGCTAATATCTAAACAATGAAAACACCACAATTGTATTGCTTCTTACAATGGTCGTGATCCCGACTTTTCCTTTAAGATAAGGAGCTATATGAATGACTGTTCTGTGCCGATAGCATAATTTATAGATCAATTAGCATAAGGCAACTTTTAAGAGATAAAGGAATTCTGATGTCTTTGATCGTATAAAAGTGCTATAAGTATTAAAGTCTAAATTTCAAAAAGTCTCTAATCTCAAAAATCAAAAAATGAATTTATCCAACGATTATCTACAACAAATCTCAACCAGCATTTCACCTAAGACTCAACTAAAGAGTCTTTCAAGAGAGGAAGAAATCAACTCACACGATCCTCAGGATAATGCTTTATCGCAGCAAGATCTTGAAAAATTGACAGAATTTTTACGGAGTGAACCTCAATTTTGGTCAACACAATATCAACCTTTATTATCACCGGCAGAGCAGTTCTCATCTGCTACTTTCCCTTTCTTAGAGAATACACAGAGTACAAACGAAGATAGTCAAGCGTTACATCAAGGACAACACAGCGATGACAGTTGTGAAGATACGTCAGACAGGCAAATGAAAAATTATGCAATACTCTCACAGCTTTGGTATCCGTGTTCAGCAGAAGCCACGATAGGTGAGCAATTAGATATTATACAGTTTCCGGTCTCTTATCGTGAGCTCGTTTACCGTTGGATCGCTTTAGGCAGACCTCAATTACAGCTTTTGAAGACACCGTTAGACACAAAAGCGGCATGTGGACAAATAGTTATAGATTTACAGCAAATGTGCGAGGCACAGGAAAATAGTATCATAGAATCAATTAGAACCTATCTGGATAACGGTTACAATGCCCGGGCTATGACGTTCGCTCACTTTGCATCTTACTTAGATGTATTTTCCGCCGTACAAGCAGAATTAGCTTGTCTGGAGAATGGATTACCGAAAAATACACAGAATATCTCACGTCTTTATGAGGAGACATGGTGGAATTGTCTGCAAGCATTTGATGTTGACCGCTGGATATGTACCGCCAGATCGTCACACAATTGTTTGCGGCATTTCCTTTGGGGCGAGGTGTACGATTGGCCGCTGCAGATTATTATAGATAGCTTTCAAATTTTCAAGGGTGGGCGTTCGTGTATAAGATCGATGCTGGCAAGTCCTGAAGTGAGGGAGAGGTCGGCGCTGCATACAAATTTATCCGTACTTGGACTAGTAGACGGTGAGGCATATTCAGGGTTCGAGACATCGCCAGAATTCAAGACATCGCCAGGATTTAAGACATCGCCTTCTTTAGATGGTTTTACTTCATACTGGCAGAGTGATAGGGCGGCTTTCGAATCACCAAGTTCTACAGATACTTCTTCATCAATGCCGGTCACGCCGATTCTGAATGTATCGAATCAGCGAAGGGAATCGTCGATCGGGACGTCGTTCAGGTCGGAGAGTATACTAGAGAAGGTGAAGGAGTATCAGGATTTATGTGGGAGGTGTAGGAGGGGAGGGGTGTATATATAAGAAGAGATGAATGCCATCAGATTATTAACTACAAGTAAGACAGAAAACCCTAATCCGATAAGGGGGAATTTGAGGTTAATATCACTAATATGAAAGGTAGCTAGACCCTTATTTGCTAGTTAGGGTTACGATAATAGAAGTAAGTGTTTTATCTAAATTCTTCTAAGTAGAAAAAGAGTTTATCCAATTTAGACAAATCCTTAAAGAAATAGAAAGTAGTCATTGCTATCATATTTTATTTGACTCTTTACATCTCACGTCCATAATTTGGTAATGGTTCTGGTTTGTTAGCTAGAACTTCTTCGATTTGATGTAGGATATCAGGAGTTAATTTGTCAATCACATCAAGTGCTTTCAAATTCTCTAATAATTGTTCCGTTTTTGTAGCTCCAAGGATGACTGTAGTAACATTTTCATTCTTGGCAGCCCATGCTAAACTCAAGACTGTTGTTGAACAAGATAAAGAATCGGCAATTTTCGTTAATTTTTGCACTTTTTCAATTTGACTTTTTCCTTCAGGTGATTGCAATTTCTCAAGAGTTTGCTTGAACGAGTCTTTTAGAACGTCTAAACGAGAGCCTTGAGGGATACCTCCGTTGTATTTTCCAGTAAGAAGTCCGCCTTCCAAAGGTGACCATGCCATAATGCCAAGCTTGTACCTTGAGTATAAAGGCATGTACTCCTTCTCAACAGGTTCGCGGTATAATGCAGAATAATGTTGTTGATCGGCAAGAGGTGGCTCTAAGCCTAATCGTTCAGCAATCCCGTATGCCTCTTGAATTTGTTGAGCAGTCCAGCAAGATATACCCCAGTAGAAGCACTTTCCTGTTTGGATAAGATGATTGAATGCTTTAACGATTTCAACCATTGGCGTGCTAATATCGCAGCGGTGGGCCATTATGACATCCCAATATTCTAATTGAGCACGTTCAAGGCTTGCATTAGCCCCTTCGATGATGTGTTTACGACTCAGACCACGTGCGTTAGGCTCTTTTCCACCCGTGCCAAAGAAGATCTTTGTCACCATCACGACATCACTACGACGCCAACCCAATTCTTTGATTGCTTTTCCCATTGAAGTTTCACATTTTCCAGAGCTATAGACTTCGGCAGTATCGAACGTGTTGATTCCATTCTCGAAAGCTAGCTTCATGATCTCTTTCGTTGCATTATCTTCTACTGAGCCGCCATACGTTAACCAACCACCAAGTGAAAATAAAGACATTCTCAATCCTGAATTACCATAACGGCGGAATCGCATATTTTTCGGCTGATAAGGGAGACGACGTTCAACATTCAAGTATCTTTCTTGCACTTTAAGCGAACTTACATCATATTCGGGACGTGACATTTTTGTATATGTTTCAGGGCTGATGATGATGAGGATAAAGAAGAGAGAGAGGGACGCGCACACACTTTCCTTACTGTAACAACCTTCTAGGCTTATTTCCCCACCGGGTCATGCGGAACGATTTCATTCGGCATAGAATGACCCTTGTGCAGAATGGCTTCAGAATATGAATTTGGAATTCGGTAAATTTGTCATTATTTCTCTAATTATGTTGAAACTGTAAATGTACATGCCTCCGGATATAAGATCTACTAGTGTACAAAGCGATTGTCTAAATCCTGAACATCGTTTAAGTGCTTAAATTGGATAAGCATGACCATGCATGATAAAATTAGCGTACTTGTCCACGTCCTAAGAATGTGTATCTGCCATCTTGAATGTCATCATACAACTTTTTATAAAGATGGAAAAGATATAATCATCATTTTCTATATACAACATACATCTCTACTAATAATGACCGTCTTCATAAAGCGGTCAAGATATTTGATATCGTTATCGCACCGATACTCTTTGTGCACCGCGCCAACCCCTCACCCGCGAGAGAATCTGTTCCTTAACTCCTTTTCTTATTTCTAGGCCGTACCCAAACTTTCTACCTGCTTTACCTCCTTCCAGCATCCCATCCGATGTAAGGGGACGAGCAGCAGCCTTGACCCCGCCCGAAGTCAAGTCACTGTCCCGCTCTCCGGTTGGCGAACGAAATTGTGTGACAAGCGGCGGCCAGACGCTATACGACCTTAGAACAGACTCATCTTTTGGCGGTACCGGATCCATAAGTAAGCACGAATTTTTAGGATAGCCTAAAGGATTGTTAACTCGAGACAGGGCACACACTGTCAGATCATAAGGTTGACGAATTGCATAACTAGCATGTGCTAGAATTTGAGCCGCACCACTCAACGTTACTGCGTATGCAGCCATTCCTACAGGGAAGCGGGATTGCTGTACTAATCGCTGAAGCGGCTCTCCGGCTTGACGAGCACGTTGAAGTCCGTAATTAGGCCAAACTTTTCTGCCTCCTGGTTCCTCATCTTCTTCTAAAGTTACTAGATCATCATTATAAATCACATAAGGTCTTGGATCATTTGAGTTTTTTCTCTTTGGCCATGCTTTCTCGTCTGATGCTCCTAGCCAGAATATATCCCATTCGCTCGTATGCCAAGGATCATGTTGCTTTGGCGCACGTATACGCTGTCTATCTTTGTCTAAGCCTTGCAGAAGACTTGAAAATGGTCCTTGCAGCCTTTCCAAAGCAAGCTTAAAATCTAAATCCCACTCCGCGTCGTCTTGAATGATGAGTGCAGATTCAATTCTTTCCTCTACAATTCTTCGCATAATATTCAGATTCGAGCGGTAGCAAGCAAATTGACCTTGAGTAAGAGAATCCTGTTCGAATTGTGGATGTAATGCAACATTTGGCATTCGAACCTCATCCGTGTTATTTTTATTGAACGCACTGATATATTCAAAATCTATATCAGAAATTAAGCCCATGAGAGACATTAAATCACGACGATCGGTTCTCATATCCAGATTAAGAATGAAAACTCGTTCAAAGCCGAGCGTACTATTCATCTTCACAGGTTTGTATAGCTGATCGTCCTCGTACTCCATTGGAAGTGTAACGATCGAAGAAGGTGATGCGTACTTGAAGTACTCGGATTCTGTCAGCTCAGGAATTTTCCTGATAAAGGAGAAAAAGTATACGATATAGCAAACAGTGATACAAAGAATCAAAAAGAAACCTTTCTTAATCTTCACTGATGCTCTAGATCGACGCCGCCTATCTGTAGTGAGACGAACAGCTTCGGTATCGAATTTATCCGAGTATCGCGAGTATACGACTCCTTTTTCGTCGAGAAAACCTATCATTCCATATGAAAATTGAGGAGGCTGAAAGAAGCGAAGACCTTATTCGCAGAATCTATACTTATATATCATATTTTTCAGATACAGTAAAGGTTATCCAGAAATTCATAAAAGACGCGGTTATATTTAAAAGAAACTGGTTAAAAATTCTGGGTTGTTCAGCTCCAGATTTTCTTGTATAATCGCTAAATAATTCCTTAGGGATAGTCTAAACCCAGATCCGCGCTTCTAGGACTATATTTTATCGTATATATATACTAGAAAGATTTTACTATATAAGCTTTACGGCCAGCTACATTCGACTTAAATAATCATACCTAAAGACGCTTAAATGTTTGAAAAGGTTTATACTCTAGACGTAACACGGTCATCTGTCTTTATGGATCCTGAAGATTATAAAACACCTGGCCGTCAAGCCTCGCCATCTCATCTATTCAGAAGAATAAAGCGCTTTTATCATTATCGTGTTGTAGGGTTTATATGCCTTACGACTTTATTTTTAGCTTTACTGTTCTCCGGTAGCACAATCAAACCTTATAAAGACACAAAGACTTTGAAAAATGGATTATTCCGTTCCACCAATCAAATTTTGCGACGTCGAGATGGGTTTATGTAAGTTTACAATATAATCCTATATATATAGAATATTATACTAACTTTTTAGGTTTAAATCATAGAATGATAACCCCAACTCTAGGACGAATGGAACTACTACCAAATTTTCTAAGGCATTACGCCTCTAACGATGGAACTTCAATCAGAGCGCTTATTCTGGAATGGGTAGACGACGCAACTTCGCCAGATCCAAAATTCATTGACTCCTTACGTTTTTATCCGGTACCAATATATCTAATACGACCGAAAACACGTAGCTTGAACGAGCGATTCAAACCACTAGAAACGTTATCGCATAACTTTATCATCGCTTCCAACAGAGAAGCTAAAGAGTATGAGGCTAAATACTTTTCCAAAGCGGTTTTCTCAGTGGACGACGATATCCTTATTCCTCTTTCTGACCTCGAACAAGCTTTCACAATATTTACACAGCCTTTTCAGACTACCACACGTATGATTGGATTCTTTGCGCGTAGAGGAAGCAGTGCAGGGAAATACATCACTTCATACAAACCAGAATACAACATAGTGCTAACGAAAGGTGCTTTTTTACACCACGACTGGTTTGAGAAATACTGGGAGGATAAATACTCGGAACTTCGCGATTTTGTGACACTAAGTGAGTTAAGATGATTATATGATTAAGTGAATAAATCTAACCTATCTTCTTATTTATAGACTCGAACTGCGAGGATATTCTTATGTCCTACATCTATGCAGATGAAGTCGGTATCGCGCCTATGTTCTTCCTTTCAAAGTATAAGGATCTAGGCTTGGTAAAGGGGATTTCAACAAAGCCGTCACACTACGATTTTAGATCAAAATGTATAGAGAAGTTTAATTACTTCTTTGGAGAAACAACATTAATTAGCACGGATATCATGATCAAGAATTTAGGAGCTTAGTCATGTACAATACTTAAAATTCATTCTATTCAGCCCGAGCTATCTGTCTACGATAGGAAACCTTACCTACTATGTTTAAAAAAAGCAGTTTTTGATAATTATATAAAATGTTAAAAAACATAAAAGCTATAGTGTTAGAATATATAATTCAACGGCTTATACCTACTGTAAGAGGCACACATTATCTAACACCTCTATAAAGCTGACACACGGTAAAATAAGAATCACTCGCAGAAGGATAGTCCTATCAAGGGGATGGTATTTTCATCACACTTGTATAGCAATAGAGCTATTAACCCTAGATTTTATATAGATTCCGGAATGCGATATAGAGATAATAAAGAAAGATAGGGTTGAAGAAGTACAAATTTAGGCCTAAAGTAAGAAATAAAGTGAGGGAAAGAGGCTTATTTACCTGTTTGTACTGGTGGTGGAGGTCGGGGCGAGTGATAATGCTTAGAGCAGGTACCATTTTTTCGACAATATCCTGAAGAACACTGACGCGCAGATGTGCAAGGTGTTCCAGGTTTTTGTCTTCTCGAACATTTGTTTGTAGAACTATCGCAGTAACCCGATTTGCATGCTGTATCAGCACCAAAACAATTGGAATTATTGCCTTTTTGCCTAGCACATCTTCCAGTTTTGCGCCCACAGTAACCAGTTCCACAAACATAGTCATGTTTACAATTTGCTCCTCTATTGCGTAGCTTGAAGCATTTGCCCGAATTTCGACTGCAGTATCGACTAGAAGGACAGTCACGATCTGAGCTACAATTACGAAGACGCTTATTCCTTGCCCGTTTTTCGAGATTCATTTCTTGATCTTCATCGTCGGATCCTGCAAACACATTCAGAGCGCGGTAGGTCAAAGTAGCCATAAGATTTTCATCGTCTACATCCCGATTAGAAAGTTCGGGGATCGCTAAAGTACGCGCACACACGGTTGACGTTAGCGTGAGGATCACCGCGAGCAAGATGAAAAGCAAAGCGTGCTTCATATCTTCGCTTTTGATGTTGAGTGAGTATGTTTTATGTAGAAGTAAGAACTTGGATATCGAGATGGGACTATAAACAGCCTTTATATATGTTCGTAAATATATAGCGCACCTTACCGTCTATATCCTACCAAGTCGGAAAAACCCAGAAAGTTGTATGAGGTACAACGCACTTAAGCAAAGTAAGAATACGTGCATTACTTACCGAGTAAAATCTTGGTGCGGGATCGGTCCGATCGTGTGTTGTGGCTTGTTATAGCATTCGGTGAATTACATCTACAAATGCCCACTCAGAGTAATACCTGGGTCTAGATCCAATTCTCTCTTGCTCAGTATGGTAAGGAATAAAGTTTACGATAACTTATACCAGATATATAGAAGCCTTTTATTTTTAGGAATTCATTTTTGATTTCGTGCCCTCAAAGTCTTTAACAAACATTAGGAAAATCTCAAGATGAAGACCTTACTGCTGTTAACCCTTACGGCCTATACCTCATTCACAACTTATATTCTTCATAGATCAAGAAATGTTCCCGCAAGCGATCAGTATTTATCGGCAACATCAGTAGTGATGGGTGAGCTAGTAAAACTTTCTATCTCAGTAGCCCTACTTTATAAAGATAATTGGTACCAAGACTCGTCTCATCAATTACCTAATACGAAAAAAGACTTGATCAACACGGAGTCGGAAATATCTTTAATTGAAATCTTTAAGAGGGTTTGCGATAAAGATATTTTACGTATCGTTTTCCCAGCAAGCCTTTATGTCATACAGAGCATGTTTCAGCTGACTGGTATGATGTATCTCTCACCTTTAACATATCAAACTTTATCTCAATTCAAAATCATTGCCGTCGCATCTTTATCTACCTTTCTTTTAGGTAAAAGGCTTAATTCACGTCATTGGATTGCTATTTTTACGCTTCTTATCGGAGTCATCATGGTTCAAATGAATGCTAGAGCCTCTCTTATACACAGACTGGTTAAAAAAGACATATTGCCGGATATCAAACCGGTCGGTATTGATGTTTTTATCGGTCCTATCTTTATTTTGGTTTCTTGCTTCCTAGGAAGTCTAGGCGGTATCCTATTGGAGAAAAAAATAAAGCGAGATTCAAGACCAGGGGCCCTCTGGATTTTCAACGCCCAGCTTTCTATTATCAGTCTACTACCGGCTTTCTGTATTCTATTATCAGAATGTTACCAGAAAGGAGTATCTAATCCGTTTATAAACTTTTCATCGTTAGCATGGATTACAGTTTTTGCTCGTGCAGGCGGCGGTATTCTCGTGGCTTTAATTTTAAAACACGCAGACAACATTTTAAAAGCCTTTGCAACGTGCGCCGCTATTCTTCTTACACTATGTGTGACTGCTATCTCCTATGGCATATATCCATCTTATCATGTCTGTATAGGGGCCGCTATGGTGATTACCAGTACTGTAGGTTATGCAATAGCCGAGCAACAGGAAAAGCAAACAGCGCAAATGCCGATGGAAAAGTCTTAGCCATATAAGCTATGTAATCTATATTAATATATAAATGAAAAAAAATATATTTAAGCATAAAATCTCTTGATCATTAAACTCTATATTATCTTATTCTACCTCTGAGCTCTAAAACAGTATTTCACCAATAAGATAAAGTCAAGTGATAGAGAAGACGTAAACAAAGTTTAGTAGAAATCCGAAATATTTTAGAAAATCGTAAGATTAATATCGGTTAAGGTCTCTGCTCCTGTATTCTAGCTTAATTGATCGATAGATATAGACCTCTTTAAAGGTATGGAATAAATTATTAATGACAATTATCCTTGCTTAAATATATCATAAATTACTGATTATAATAGACGGTAAGAAGAGAGGAGGCTATATACGTCTATTTCTAGATCTTCTCCCATCTCTTATCGTTGAAAACTGATGTATAGTGAAAAAAGGAAGGATTTTATCCTCTATCCTACTTTCTCTAGTGGTAAAAGGCTACTTAGGGTTAGAATTTTATTCTAACCCTAAGTAGGTTTTCAACTACTACTTAACTTATCGAAGTATTAAATAATTTGAAATAAAAGAAAAGATACTATACCTTCTATCTATAAGTCTATATACTTCCTATAGCCCTTTCTTACATTTATTCTAGGATAAGTCCTTTAGCATTATATCGAGTTACTGCTTCTTTGTAAAACTGGGTGATATAACGCCTCTTCGGGACGTCAGAATAAGGCTAATATCGATCTACCTCTAAAGTACTATATGACACGACTAAATAAGGCTAAGGTAAGAAACCTTCTTGTTATCCAAGATATAGACTGATGACCCGGTTTTTATTCAATTTTTTCCTTAACCATAATATAACATCTTGAAATAATATATAAAGCAGTATTCAGGAGTGCGTCTAACGTAGATCCGTTATTGGTATATATCTACAAATAACATCTCTACACCGGAATTAGGAAATGACGGCTATATCTCCATGGAACGTTACCTTAGAGGACTTTACATGTTCTTCAACACAAATCAAGCTTACTGCTATATCTTCAGAGCAAAGGAATCTTCCATCGATGGTAAAGCTTATAATCAACGGTAAGCTATCTTAGAACACTTATAAAATAACTCCCTGAGTAAGTCTAATATATCTTCTTCTTTAGGCACTACTTTTGATTTCGCGTTCGAGGAGCAAACGAAGACTATAGAGACAGTAGACGCCACCAGCGATACTCTTATTCAAGCCGAGCAAAGTTTACAGTTTGATCCTCCTATCACACTTCCAGATGGATTTTATCCTGTTTCGGTAGGTTATCCCGATGGGAAGGTAAAGGTAAAGCCTAGATTATAATGTTACTTATAACGCCTTTCCTACACTTTCAGATTTCCTTTCAGTTAACAGATGAAATCGAGTTTTCGTACGTAAGCGATCTAGAGCCTATCAATCTTATAGGCTGTGTCGCCACTAATTCTGAGGATAGCAATATAACTGAAGTTATTGCCTCAACATGGGCCACAAGTTCTGAAATTCAAACTCAGTATCTACCAAGTCCTACTTCAACTCAGTTAGATTCAGTCACGACAGATTGGGTGATTAAACCTTTCGTAACGTCAAGTGATGATTCTCTTCAAGCTATACCAACTTTAGCTCTAGGTGAGAGTACTGACAATAATGATGATACTTCAGATAATACGCGAACGCAAGACGAGTCACATATTGCATATACGAAAAGTATTAAATCGGCTGTACCTGCTGCTATCTTATTTTCCTTACTAGGCCTTATCATATTCTTTATGATTCGCCGTTACCGTAAATTAAGGATGAAGAAAGAAAGATCATCTTTCTACGTATATGATAATGAGTTTAATACCTCTGAAGAAGGTCGTTGTTAGTATAATATATATTTATATCGTATATTCTATAAATGAATAATGAAATTTATTTTATATCGGTATAAAAACTTTATAAAGATATTTAGAGTGAGTAACAAAGATCTAATTAGAAACAGATTAATAACTAAAGTTTCTACATACTTGATAAGGCACGAGTAAACGAATTCTATTTTTAGGTCGATAACGTACTACTGGCTATAGAATAGAACTAATTTCTACACGAATACTATCACGTATGTTCCACGAGAATGATGAAGGTCCATCTTCATCAGGCAAGGGATCTGTATTAGTACCGCCATTATCGCTATTTCCGATATTGTTCTGCGACTTCCATTGGCTGAAAGGGGGTGGCGTGAAGGAAAAAGAATCTAATTTACCGTCCTGCGTTGCCTCGGCAATAGTCAGGTCATTCGCTCCATCAATAAGGCCTTGAGAGGTAAGATATAAAAGTTTCGCCGCACCAATTCGAGTTATAGCATATGCATGCAGGCAAACGGGATAGTTAGATAATTGGATAATTCGCCTTCTTGACTCAACTTCTTCCTCTAAAATGCTAGATATTGGAATCCCATACGTATCAAATACCATTGTGTGGTCTACAGCGATCCATTCCCTCTCTGGAACTCCTTCGTCATTCATAAGTAAGTAGGGGACATTTTGAAGATTAACATCTACCCTTTTAAACTCTTTAACGTGTGGAGGTTCACGACAGGTACCAAGGCGTAAAATGTCCCATTGTGAAGAAGTCCACGAAGGGTAGTAATCATCTATACTTTGGTTTGCAATAGCCCGCTGTAGAGCATATAGAGGAGCCTTAAAGTTACTCATGATATTTTTAATGTTGACATCCCAATCCACGTCGTCCTCTAGAATTAATGCTGTCGCAGGTTGATTTTCATCCTCTAAAAATGCTCTCCATACATTGGCATGTGCTCGATAACAGGCTAACTTTGATAAGGGCATATCATCTGGTGAATATCGTGGAAATCCATTGAAAGTCTGTTCACGCGAAGTTAAGCGGAATCCGGGCACTCGTTCAAATTGTAAACCTGATAAGCTTGTCATAATAGCTAGCTGATCTCTTCTGTCATGTCGCTCATCAAGGTTGATAAGATATACCTTTCCAAAGTCGAATGTAGCATTTGTCTCCGGTCTATATACATTAGAAGCTGCTATTGGTAGGTCTTCGAAACGTATTGGTAAGGTTGGATTGACGTGTTGTACCTGCGGAAGATTGAAAAAGTAGTAGAAGAATATAAGAAAGGTGAGACATTCGAGATATAAAGTCATTCCTATATTTGGTATATCGTAGTAATAACGTAGCCAGGAGAATTATTGACGAGCATTATATTTTTCTGTTGGCGCAGCGCAAAAACGGTTTCACAAAAAGGGAATATATTTATCTTAGGATAACTTATTGTATTTATATACTAGTTAGAAAATATTATCGCACTTATTTAGACGAAAACGCTAGTCGAGTATATAATTCTATGAGACAGATAGTTTATTAGATTTGTATATTTCTATACATGATAAACGATATTTTTTAGGCCATCTTAAGAAGTAATCTATAGTACAGTAGTGTGATATCGATTTTTCGAAGACTGGTAGAGCTCTACTACCTCTCTTATCTCAAATCGTGTTTATAAGCTCTAATCCTCCTTATTTTTTAATCATTATATCTATATCTATAGGAATATAATGAACATATAGTATATTATTCAGCCTATTCATTTTAAGCTCGACGAAAGTCTACTTATGTAGAACCCAGAATAATAAACTATGATTGTAGAGTATCAGAAGAGACAAATCTAGCTAAAATCAGTTCTCCTGTTCTGGAGATATAGAAAATAAATGGGTGGCTATTCTTCAGTAATAACGCTACTCTCCTTTCATTTATATACCCTTCTGAGCGCTGCGCGCTGCGCAGCGCTTTCTTATAAAAGAAATATTTTCTGGGTTTTCTAGATTGCTATATCTACAAATAAAATATAATAATGTCGGGTAATTCTATCGATAATTTAACTTATCACGACCATCTCTCAATATAAAGACGAAGCAGTATCACCACGCTACTACCTTCTTTAAATGATACGTTTCCAAAAAGAAGAGAAGGAAGATGAATCTACTTTACTACCTACTTCATTATACAGTGTAAAACATAGGCCCGGTATCAGGAAAAGGGAAAAGGGCATATCAAGACTAATCACTTTCATATTCATACTGCTCATATTTCTTTTTTTCTTCCATTATAGAGAGGAAAATGAGATAAAGTGCGCACCAGCATGGTCAAGCATTTCAGCATTACATTGTCATCATAAAGCTGGCCAGGAAAAGTTTAATAGACTGTTACAAGACCAATCGCGCTCAGTCGATCAAGCTATACGACGGTATAAGCAAAAGTACAATCGAGAGCCGCCGCAGGGATTTTCACATTGGGTAGAGTATGCTTTAGCAAATGATTCACCAATTATCGATGATTTTGATCAGCTAGAGGCTGATTTAAAGCCTCTTCGAAGCGTACCACCTGATATTCTAAAGGCAAGAATTTACTCTGGTATGAATCAAGGTTATGTCAAATTAGCTGAAATAAAAAATGGGAAAGTCACGATGGGTAATGATGAGCTCGGTCCTATACCAAAGCGCGCAAGAGCTGCTACAGCCTTGATTGAACCTATTGCACAATTCTTACCAGACATGGAATGGCTAATGAATTGGGGTGATCGTCAGGTCGTACGCGGTCAAGCAAGTCCTAAGGATCATGAAAATGAACAGGTAGTCTTATCACCTTTTTCGCCGGAAATAGCAACATCAGTCCTTACAAGTCAATGTACGAAAAACACGTTAGCAAACACTTCAATTTCTGAAGACAGGCCGTCTTTAGATATATGTAAAAACACGACTAATTCAGCCCTCGCGAGAGAACACGGTGTCTTCCATAGTAAAGCTGATGGATTTAAAGCTTCGCTTCCTGTAATCTCAGTAGGCAAGTTCTCTACCTTCGAAGATATCCTTGCTCCTTGGTGTTACGGAGAGAATGGATATATCATGCACAAGGATGATAAACTTCCCTCCTTCCAATCAAAAGAACCAGCCCTATACTGGAGAGGGGGCACAAATGGCTTGACTCCTACCAACGTAGAAAATTGGCAGTATAACCATAGAGCAAGAATTCTAATACGTTTGGCACAAATGCAGGAAATGTTGGCCGATAGGCTCGGGTCAAAGAACTTGAGAAGTGTCCAATCGCAGCTCAAAGATATAGGCTACAATTTACCTTCTCTGACCAAAAAACAGACCGAGGAGCTTAGTAGGCTTTCTCCTAAAAATTTCAACGTTGGGCGTGCTAGAGGGAACCTTTTCCCAGACCGAGAGTTACAGGAACACCCAGCCGAGACCTCTGTGATTGAGTCAGTTTTAGGACGTCTAGAGGAGAATGATCGTACTGTAGCTTTTAACTACCGTTTTCTACTGGATATGGATGGTTTGGGGGTCTCGTGTCGATTCTACCGCTTAATGGGTAGCGGAGGCGTCGTTTTTAAACAAACACAATGGGCTGAATGGCACGACGATCGACTTGTACCGTATGTTCACTATATTCCCATTGATTTGGATGCTAGTCAAGTACCTGCGTTTATGGACATGATGATAAACACAGATGTAGGCCGTGATATCGCAAACACCATTGGCGACGAAGCAAAGCGCTGGACAAGTACTGGCTTACGTAAAGTCGACCTTACAGTGCTTTACTACAGACTTCTCTTAGAGCTTGCTCAAATCTATCGAGGTTGACTGAGATATGCATCAGAGAATATAATGTACAATATCGTTTCGCTAAAATCTGTGTCAGTCCGATAGACAGGTATGGAAGTCCTTAAATGTGAGCTCAACAATGTACAGGAATTCTTAAACGACTGCATTGGCGTTAAGTATGATACAAATGCAGTACAGACTGGCATAAATCGAGCTAGAATTTATTTGCCTCCATTTTCTGGTAAATGTCAGCTCGAATACTATTCTTGATGGATCTCGAATATCCTAGCCAGGGATTGTGATTTAATTTTTCGTCCTCTTGAACAAACTTGACGCTTGCCGGGTGAAATTTATCACTGCTTCGGAACTCTGCATCGATAGCCTTCCACTGATCCATAATTGGCGGGCTAACGGTATAACTGCGAATTTCACTGTTGACACTCATAAGCATTAGTTTCACATCGATAGGCATATCGAATGCTTTCGAGAAATGATAGAGCAACTTTATCGCGCCCTTTTTCGAAACAGCGTAAGCGTTTGTGCAGATAGGTTTATTGGAAAGTGTAACGATACGGTGATAGTTTCCGGCTTCGATTTGAGAAAACGTTTCCTGATCAGCTTTTTTGGGAAGGCTCAAATTGTACCCGCCTAAGAACTGTGTCAAGTGTTCATGCGTATGTTCGCTATAGTCTAGGGTACCATCTTTGTATGCAACGTAGGGTGGGTGATCTAGATCGACTTCTCCCTTACGATCACCCTCTTTGAATGGCAACTCTATGCAAGCTCCGATATTTAGCACGTCCCACTCAGAGGTGAGCCATGGATCATTCTTTGTTGATACGATATTTGAGTCATTTTTCCGATCGAATGATTTGATCAAAGTAGCTAGCGGCTGTTGAAGGCGTTGGATGGCATATTTGACGTCAACGTCCCAATCGCTATCGTCTTCCAAGATCAAAGCCGAAGAAAGATTTTCGTCAAGGATATGCTGAATTGCATCCATATGTCCTCGAAATAGGGCAACCACTCCTCTGTCCTTTGTCATTTCCTCATTTTGCCAAGGTAAACCGGAATCCTTTACACTTTCCGGGGTACGGCCATCACTAAAAGTGAGATCTATGCCTTGGGTTCGGGACATTATCAAAAGTTGATCCTTTTTATCCATTCGATAGGGTAAATGGATAACAAGGATTTTTTGAAAGCCCAAAGTGGAATTGACGGGATTTGTAGAATAATTGCCGGAGAAAATGTGCGGTAAAGTTGCCATTTCAGGTTGTGTTTCGATCCAGTCCGACATTTTGTTCTGGAGAACAACGTCAGTAGACACACCTCCTGCGTCTAGAGTTTTGTGTACAATGCCCAGAAAAGTGAAACCAGAAACAATAATCAAGAACGCAAATAACAATCTATATCTACGGAAGATTGAATTTTGAGACGACCTCATTGAAGCCGGCAAGGTTCGATTATCGTATGGCAAGATGGAGCCCATATTGATCGATTCCGATGGTACTTGAGGTGAATGTGGCGCTGATGAATAGGGATATCTCCATTCTGTTGATGAGATATCCTTTTCAATATTTGAAGCAGACATTTTTTGGGAAGATGGATGATGGTGGTGATGTGGACGTTCTCATAAGTAAGTAATTTTTGGTTAAATTCGAATTAAGGTGTGTCTCAAACGAATGAACACTGGTGATGTAGGAGATGAGGCACTTTTACACTGTTATGCATGATTTGTTTGTTTATCTTTTTTAGCGCATAAAGACCTTCCCGTTCGTTCGAGAGACTAGAGGCACTTTAAGACACAGTGTCACCTTGTAAAAGGCTAGACCAACGAATGTCATGCTGTTTGATAAAATAGACAAATTTTTTGTATTATTCTGATGTGATACTATACATATGTACATGATTATGCACGAGCATAACCAGCAATTGCAGCGATAACGAGGGCTGTTCCAAACACTTGCGATGCGGTAACGGATATACCAACAACGATTGCGCTCAGATAAACGGTTCCAATCAAAGAAATTGCTACAGCGAAATTCTTGAGAATATTATCTGCATACTTCATCGTAAGTGAAGCAATGATACCTCCGACAATATTCATTGCAATCAAGGCCCAAACGTATCCGGTAAAATATTGGAAAGGATGAAAGCTTGATTCGTAGATTGCGTTTGCAAATACGGGAACGAGAGCGGGTAATAAACTGAAAAATGCTAAAAAGACGTTTGTTGTCCAAAAGTGTAACTTCTTCTTAAGAAGCATTTCGATCAAAACACCGCCTAAGCCTGAACAAATAGATGCCCCCAACATAGCCAAAGTACCAATCATTAAGCTCCATTGGGTACGAAGTACGACTGGTGATGAACTTTCAGATACTGACACATCTTGTCCTGAAGTAGAGGCGATCACTGTATGTCCTTTTTGAATCTCAGAAGAAGAAACCAATTGAACGGTAATTGTTCCGATTGACAAAACAGCGATACTGAGCCAGTGCTTATAATTTAGCACTTTACGCAAGATGAGAACGGAGAAAATTGCAGTAAAGGCTAACTTTGTTTGACCGACGATTTGATACTCGGCCGGTGTTAGATGCCCTGCTGCAAAGACTTGTAGATTGTTTTGGAAGACATAAAGAATCGAAGGAGGAATCAATCGGAAAGCGGAAGTATTAAAGATTTCGTCTGAGAACTTTTGATAGAATCGTTGAAATTTTGTTTTTTGAGCAAGATCTATATCCATCGTATCCTGAATGTCTAGTGCATTAAAAGTCGACTGATTTTTTTCTGCTTCATCTGCTTCCCAATTTGGCTCTGCAGATCGGGTAGGAATTGGAATATATTCATCTTTACGATTTGATGATTCATTTCGCAATTCTTGATTTGATTCAGTAGCTAATCTATGAATAGTTGCACCAAGACTGAGGAGTAATTTTCCGAATTCCATATAAACAACGGCCATAGGACCAAAGAAGACGTGTCCATTTGCATCAGATTTTCGAGCGACAGCGGCTAAGATTGTATAAAAAATTGTATGAGGAATGAGTAAACCTAAAGAGGTGAACTTTAACACCAAATTCTTGCGAGAATCGTCCATGTTGTTGGGGGATTGGTGGTGTAAAGGGAAAGAATACAACTTTTGCATTTGGCTTTGATCTTTTTAAGAACTGCATTAGGCAATGTCTCACTGTCACTTTATGACTGCCGAAGTGCCAGTCAGGCACCAAATCTGAACGCGCTGCGCTTAGCTTAAAACAAAAGATTTCACGCGGGATCTGCGTTCGATAGAAAAGTTCGATAGACTACAGTATTATATTCACGGCAACATTGCATAGAAGCAGCACTTTTACATCAAAAAGGTCGATTCGATTCAACCAATTCTTTAATATACCTTCGAGCACTGTTTTTCAAAGAAGGCGCATGGCCAACCCAAGGATTATGATTGCTTGTATCAGCTTCTTGAACAAATTTACCAGAATCAGGAAAGAATATATCGCTATTCCTGTGTTCTGAATCTTGAATTTTCCATTGGGTCATAATGGCAGGAATGACTGACCAACTTCTTATCAAGCCTTTGTTGCTCAATCCAGCATAAGCAAGGTCAATGGGTTCTGTAATACCTTTGGAGTAATGGTAAAGCAATTTCATAGCACCCTTTCGAGACACTGCATATCCGTTCAAACAGACTGCTTTGTTTGTTAAAATTGCTAAACGACGATGTTTCATCCCGTTTGTTTGTTGGGCATTTGGTTGGCTTCTGCTTGGTGCTGTATAGTTGTACTTGTTCATAATGTCCCGATTTTGCGGTAAAGTATCTTCCAAGTCGGCCAACGTTTTGTCCTCATAAGCAACAAGAGGAGGATGTTTCAGATCAATTTCGCCAATATGATCATTCTCTCCGAACGGTTGATCAAGACAAGTTCCGAAATTGATTACATCCCATTCTGATGAAAGCCAAGGATCATCTTTTGTGGATGAGAGCAAAGTCGCATTTGCTGGTTTATTGAATGAGTTTATCAAAGTTGCAAACGGTTGATGAAGTTGTGCCATTTGATATTTGACATCCATATCCCAGTCGCCATCATCTTCAAGAATAAGAGCTGAACTCAAATCATTCTCAAGAATTGCTTGAATAGCGTCCGAATGACTTCTCCAAGATGCTACTCCTGTTCTTCGTGTTTCCTGAAATTCTTTACTTTGCCATGGTAAACCAGACTGCTTTAATTCAGATGGGGTTCTTGCATTGATAAAAGTCATATCGATTCCTTGCAGGCGAGACATCATTAGTAATTGGTCCTTTTTATCAGATCGGTATGGTAGGTGAATAACGAAAATCTTTCCGAAGCCTAGAGTAGAATTCACGGTATTTGACGTATAAGGACCGGAAAAGTCATTAGGTAGGCTTACTCGTTCTGGTACAACTGTGTTCCAATCAGACTTTTGTGGTATACTTGTAGATGGTTTTGATGACCCAAGGTGAAAGAAAACCCATACCAAAGCCAAAGTAACAACGGTACCAAAAGTCCATGTTTGCCATTTAGAGAACTTTAGCGTTGAGAAATGTTGGTGAGCTGTTTTCTTTTTCTTTTCCATCACGCGTGAGTTTGGTAGCATGTAGGACTCTTCATCCTCCATATGAGGTGATGCCATTTTTGAAAAGTGGTTGTTGTGAAGAAGATGATTAGGATAACATTGTGAATCGAGTTTAAGTACTGTCAGACAGTATGCATTGCATTACGCTAGCTAACCTTCCCGCGTCCCGCCACGATAGTGCTTGAGTGCGCATATGCAAGATTGTTTGTTTACCTGCATGAGGCACTACAACAGTATGTTTTTTATCTGAGACACGGATTCATCCTTCTTTGGGAAATCAAGTTTCAAAAGAAATTCGATGCACGACATTGTTTCATCAATCAAAGATTCGAGACTGCTTCGATTCAAAATAACACGTCTTCAGCTGTTCTATAAAAATAGAATACATCCTTTATCCTTTTCTCCTTACGATACTCATCGCTTTACTCATAATGGTGAGTAATGTTTTCCATCTAGCTACGAGATCCTTTATTGACATTCCTCCCTCACAGGATCTACCAAAGTGGCAAGACCGGAATTCGGTTCTCAACCCGCAAAGAACCAAGCGATTCACACTATTCGTCGTCTTTTTATTCGTTTCAGTAGCTATCATCTTTTCCTTACGCCAATATCCAGACTCATTCAATAAGCTTCAATGGTCTTCAACACCAGAAACTGTCAAGACAAACACAAGCGTTCAACAAATTACAGAAGCATACATTCACAATAGCAATCAGACAATCAGCAGCACTTCTCCGAAAAAACCCGCCAGGATAATAAAAGTCACTGCCGCTTATGGAAAAGGTGCAATCATTCAAGATGAAAAGACAAAAGCAGCCGTTACAACTCGAGAACGCATTTTACAAACGCACATCGATCATGCCAACAGGAATGGCCATATTCAATTCGTTCAGAGGTCAGATATTATGGGAAATATAATGACAAAAATTGGTACTGTATTGAAGGTATTAATGGACGAAATGGCTAAACCTGAAGAAGAACGATCAGAATGGATTTGGTATGTGTTTCTCATTTCTTGAAAATCGTTCGAACGCTCATTGATGATTCTCTACTCTCACAGGGCACACGACGCAGATATGGTCATCATGAATCGCATGTTAAGTCTCGAAGCCTTCCTACCGCCAAAAGGTAAAGATTATAACCTACTCGTAACCTACGATGGTAACGGGCTAAATATTGGCTCCTTTTTCATCAAGATTAATACTTGGTCGGTCTACCTTTTAAGTGCTGTATTAGCATCTCCACAATTGGGACAGGCAACAGGTTCTTTATATCCAGATCAAGATGTTATGGGTCAATTGATTAAGCATAATAAATATTTCAAGGACAAATCCGTTGAGATCCCTCTCCGTTGGGTCAATGCCTACCCGGAGACGTGGAGTAGCAATGCATTCCGAAAAGGCGATTTACTCGTTCATTGCATTTGGATTTCAAAGAAAGATTTACCTTACTATCTTGACAAATCCGAAAGTCTGAATCCTGATCTCAATACGTTGCCTTCACTTTCGGGATTGGAAACAAACATAACAAAGTTCTGGCATGGTTCTCTACCGCTGGAGCAGCTATCTTGATTTTGTAATTACGTTTAATAATGTTGAATACATCTTGTTTTCCCGCAAAGGCATTGAACCGATGTGAAACAATTGAGTGTATGTAAAAATTAATCCAGGCACTGCATCTCTCTCTCTCTCGCACACACTGGTCTAGACCTTTACGGCATGTTTTGTGTTCTTTAGTCTAACGCGGGATGTCAAAACATGCATACGCAGTCCAACGGGCCGTGTGATGTTTGGGAAAAAGAATTTCTGTCTTACATGCACTTGCATTCACGCTTCCTCAAACGACCAGATGGTGTAATAATGTTTTTGATATAAAACAACTCAATCTTGTATCCCGTTCCTTTCTGTTTTCATCATCCCCCTTCCTTCATTTCAGCTACCATGGCAGCTGATGGCGTACAAAAAAAGGAAGCGGGATTCATTCCCGCTTTAGAAGGTCTACGTGGTGTTGCCATAGTTGTGGTTCTGATTAGCCATTGCTATCCACCATTCAGTCATTTTTCTTGGAATATGGGTATGATGGGCGTAACAATCTTTTTCGTTTTGTCGGGCTACTTGATCACAGGTATTCTACTTCATATGCAAAAAGGGACAAGACCGAATACAGAGCATATGGTTTTATTCTTTGCAAACCGAACAGTTCGATTGGCTCCTGCACTTTTGCTTTGTGCTGTTACAACGATCTTTCTTTGGATCAATCAAGGACGAAGTTTTGAAATACTGAAGCCGCATATAATCACAACATTGCTCTACATGGAGAACCTTTTTTGCAAAGAGCAATTTCATAAAGATCAAGTTTTCGCACATGCTTGGACGTTGGCGGTGGAAGAACAATTCTATATCTTTTGGGCATTTATCATCCTCCTCATCCGACCTTTACGACCATTTATGAGGGCAACTGTCATGATCTTCTTGATTGGATTATCGGTGGTATACAGACTACACATGTTTGCAATCAGGGATATGGATTTGATGAGCAAGAGTTTATCCGCTAATGCTTATGCATTATTATCAGGTAGTGCACTGCAATTATGCTGGCAACCTTTGCCTAAATGGACTGCACATAGATGGACAGGATACACTGGACAAGTGATGTTCGTTGGTGTTGTGATGGCAATGCGAGTTGACAGTATTGTTTATTCTGGTGCAATTTGGGGACCTTTTATCACCACTGTTGCTACTATGTTGGTCGTTCTAGCCTCTGCTGGTCAAGGCAATTTCATTTTGGAAAATAGTATTTTGCGCTATATGGGACGTACATCTTATTCTTGTTATCTGTGGCATCACGTTCTTCTTTGGCTTACGGGTTTATTCAATCAAGTCACAATTCCAGCAATGGGCGTAGTCACTTTATCATTGGCTATAGCACATTACTCTACCATCTACTTCGAAGAGCCAATTCGAGAACTTTACAAGGACACTTTATGGTTTAAGGAACAGAAACAGAAACTTGCTGCTTCTAAGAAGTTGTTACCTAGCTGATGAATGACCTAATGAATGCATTATACCATAAACTTACATAAGAATGAGGACTTTTACTGTTTGAAACCGCATATGTACACCATGCAAATAAGCCTCTTACGCTCCTCCCTCAAAGAGAACAATTACATATGCTGCCGAAAAACAAAAGAGAGTCTAGACGCAGAGCTGCAAGTCTGAATCCAATAATGGATGCCGAAAAGAGAAACTTAAAACACAGATCATTGTCTAGCTGCATATTTTACACGCTAAACCATGTAGAATCTGTTTCATACATCTAAACGGCGATTATGCTTTGCTCTAAAAAAGGCTTTATACTGATTATGTGCTTGGGGTAAGGATTTGTTTGGATGTACAAACAAATGAACCTTCCTTTTTTCCGACGCTAGAATAGAAAGATTGATTCTTTGCCCCGTAAAAAGCATTTCAGTTCCACTTTTATATCACCCCTTCTCTTAACATCATCACAACCTACCTATCATGAATAACCTTTCTGCAACAAACAGTATAGATCAAAGGTCTCGTAGAAGGACTAGTGTCCAATATCATGAAGATTCTTCGATAACGAACCAACTCATCTTGCAAATGCACGGAAATGATCAAAATTCTACACTCAAGGACGAAAATCCTGTCACCCCACCTCCTCATTATACCGCAAAATGTCCAGATGTCCAAGATTCAGCAGAAGAAGAAGAAGAAGAAGAAGAAGAACGAATGTGGATCTCACCCACTGAATTAGCATCCCTTAAACAATTGCCATATTTGACAGGTTTACGAGCGATCGCTAGTATCATGATCCAAGTTGCTCATATTGCTCCAGATCAAGCAAGATTCGTCTCTTTCTTTGGTTTCATGGCCTTGACTACGCATTTCATACAAGGGGGATTTCTTATAACTGCATCTTTATTGGCTTTGCAATCTAGAAAGAGAACCAAAAAAGGATTTCTATCCATTTTCGAGCACGTACCTCAATTCTTTTACAATCGTTGGGTGCGCTTATATCCTGCATTAATTCTCCTTTTGGCCATCAATTCGGCTTGGTGGTATTATCGTTATCCCGATTCACACAAAATTCTCGCAAAGCTGGTCTTTGGGGTATTCTTTAAAGTGTCTCAGTTGAAAAAGCTACAGCCACCAGACTATCCACCCAACCCCTGGGCAAACTGCTGGTTCTTAGATGTACAAGAGCACTTCTACATCCTATGGGCATTCTTGTTACCTTTTATTGCCCGTGTACATCCAAGAATACGCTTCATCGTCTTGTCTATTTTGTTTGGATATAGTTTCTATCGTCGTACCAAGGAGGAGCGGTACAATGCAACTCTTCCTCTCAATCTTTGGAAAATGGTAGCCGGTGCTTCCATCTTACTCTTACCTTTGCCTCGCATTGTCGTAATGCATTACGCCGATCGTGCTTCACTCGTTGTTATACTTGTGAGCCTTGCGTGGGGATTTTCACCTCGCTTTCAAGACGGTTTCACTGCTGGTCAACATCGTCTTTATGGAGATGTTTTTGCCGTCATTTTGGTCATGTGTCTTACTCTAGCTTCGATAGGAAAAGCATTGAAGAAAAGCGACCCCAAAGTTACCAAAGTGCAAGAGATTGAACAAATGAACGAAGCAAACCATCAACCTTGGTACATGACACAAATGAAAAGACTGATGCAATACGAACCACTCTCACTCCTCGATTCCGACTGTCTCAACTTTATCGGTCGTGTTTCCTATTCATGGTATCTTTGGCAAGTGCCAATCATGCAACTAGAATATAAATTTTGTGTTGGTTGGGCAGGTTTCGGACCAACTTCTGAAGCTTTTATAATTGCACTTATCAGTACATTCCTCATCGAAGAGCCGATCAAAAATATTTACGTTGGATATATGAAACGTAAAAGACAAGCAGCAATTATGGAAAAGAAGCTTTCCCCTGCCGATGTAGGAAATACTCGGGGAGATCCTTTTATTGCCTTACAAATGCCTCTCGCTGCCGATAAAAATCATCATAAGGAATAAATCTTGTCCTCGTCCTTGTCCCCACACACTCTTTCACTGTATGTACATTACTACTTAATATAAATTTCTCATGCAAGCAAGAATTTAAGGTGTGAGACATGGACTAGACCCAAACAGTATTTCTGAAATACACTCCCCACACACATTAAAATCTTAGCGCCGCTAATTATTCCATTCCACTTCTCTACCTCTTGCAAATTTCAGCAAAATGGTCATCTTATTTGGGAGGAGGGTGGACTTTACCAAGATCGTGACAATTGTCCTGTTGGTCGCAATTGTGCATCGTTTGTCTCTGCTTCTTTACGATACCGCGCCTACTCTTCAAACCTATCTGGAATACCATCCTGATCGAGGTTATGGTGTTTTGTATGCTTCTTCTTGGCGAACTTTGACCCAATCATTAAAAGATGCTAGGCCAGCGATTGGTTCATTTTCCGGCTTTGACCCTCCTCCTGGCTCGGTCGTCAATCCTCAAGATACAGTACCACCTGTGGTTGATATGGCCCATCTAAGTAAAGGTGAATTGAAGTTACTCAAATCATCCCACGCTCGATTCGTAAAAGATCTTCAAACGGAAGGTGAACTAAGCGTTATATATAAACCAGGAACAAAAGGAATCATCTTCACTGCTACAGGCGGAGAATTGCCATATTTGCTCATCTCTATCCGTCTATTACGCAAAGCAGGATCACAACTTCCCATTGAAGTTTTTCTTCTTCGACAACAAGATTTCAACAAAAAGATTTGTTTAGAAATCTTTAATTCCCTCAACGCACGCTGCTCAATCTTGGAAGAACATCTGGGAAGCAGTCCCATGCCCTCAATTCCGCAATCAAGAAATCCACGCTCTATTCGATCACAAGAAGCTCTACATAAATTATTGGCAATTTATGCATCTACTTTTGAAGATGTTTTGTTACTTGATCCGAGTACCCTAGCCTACAATAATCCCGACAGCACATTGATCGATAATCCATTCACTCTGTCCGGCTTGTTATTTTGGCCAGACTTTTGGGCTTCCAGTATATCGCCCGCAATGGAAGACATTCAACAAAATTCAGACGAAAAGATGACAAAGTTGGACTCTATTCGAACTGTTGATTTTGGACAACTAGCAATTTCCAAATCTCAACACCGAGACACACTTTTACTGTCAATCTTTTATACATTTTATGGTCCTAATCTATTCGAATTTCTACAAAACCAAAGTTCGGCTGGAGATAGAGGAGCGCAAGCGATTAAATGTGCAGCAAGATTCGCTAGAAAGAGGTATTATCAGGTCAAAAGACAAGTAGAAGCAATCGGGTTTCCCAATCACGATCAAAAAGATGCTTTCCAAGGAGTAGCTATGCGACAATCTTTTGTTGCAGATGACTTCAATGCAGTTCCTAGCGAAAAGCAAAGGCCCCTCTTTATCCGACAGAGTAATCCTACTCTACATCCGGCTTACATCATGGATCGTGGTGTAACAGTATTCAAAGCGCCCGAAGATCAAAAGAATGCGATTGAGGAGCACGATTCGATAAATGATTCTGATCCGATCAGAATTCCTGCAATCTCTCCAATCAAAGAGGATGCAGGAGCTCATCATCGTTTATGGGAATGGTTTGACGGAAAGAATATGTTGAATGGATGGGCAAATTTTGATCCTGAAAAAGTTGTATGGGAAGAAATTGCAAAAGTTGCTTGCATTGATTTCAAGCACTTTCCCGATTGGCCTATCAATGATAACAAAGGGAATGCTCAAAATTGCGCACGCATCAATTATCATCGTGGCCGTTTAGGCTGGTCAAATGTGGTGTAGGGCGAAGACTATTCGAATATTAATGTATATAAGGGATATGTATGTACAAATTAAACCCGTCCGTTACGAAGAATAGAAGGGGTTGGCTTAAAGCTATTCTGCATTCGAGCTTCATCACTCACACTGCTTGCTGCAGTACGTGGTGAAATTGGCTCACTATACACTCCTCCACCAAAATAGCCACCACCATGTTGCCATGCAGCTGGAGCATGTCTTTCATCGGGAGTACCGGGATTGGATGCCAATTGACTGGTAGGGCTTGTTGGCCGGACGACTAGATGGTTAAACGCCGAAAGAGATTGAACACGAGCTTGCCATGCTGCCACATCAGCAGAATTAATGCGATTTCCTTTTTCGTGTTGTTGAACACGCTCAGATTGTGTCCGTTGATGTGCGCTTTTGGCGGCAGAAACGTAAGGAACGTCGTGTTGTTGTTGTCTTGGATCGATCTGTTGCTCAAGTTGCTCAGGTTGGTGGCGAATTTCAGGCATTAGAGCCAATTCGAATTCATCCTCTTCAATTTCGGCAGGTTGCAAATCGGTATCGCAAGGAAGAACAAAAAAGTACTTTTTCATCTTGGGCTGTTGATGATGATGTTTTTGTCCACGCAAATTGGTCAGTGAACGACTGCGTAACAATCCGCGATGACCATTCTTGTCAACTTTGACCGTTTGCGGCACATGTACTTCCACCAGATCCGACCATGAAGTTTGCAGAGAACAAGAAGCAGCCAAAGGACGGAAAGCATGTTTATGTTTCACACCGCTAGCCTCTGTCAATTTGTTGATTGCATCCCATGTTCTTCTGATTGCGGCTTCTTTGATTGATTCTGCATTTTGCTGAGTGGCAGATTGAATAACACTTGAAACGGGGACAGGAGCAAAATCAACACGGCGAACTTTGATTTGAATGTAGGCACAAAAGTATCCTTCTCCTTCCCCTTCACATGTACGACAAGTGGATTTAAGGCTGCCTTTGCATGTCTTACAGGCCAATTTTCCTGTTCCATTGCAAGGTTGACATTTGAGATGCGCTTTAACCTTTTCACGACCGCTTCCTTCGCACCAGAAGCACTCGTCAGGTTCCGTACCTTTGCACAATCCACACATGCCTACTCCGCATCCTTGACATTTTGGACATTGACCGTATGCACGGCTTTCGCTCAGTTCAAAAATTCTACGAGCAGTTCCTTTGATACTTAAAGTATCTTTTGTGCTGTGCATAAAGTTCATACTCCACGGATCGGGAACTTGCGGCAATTCTGCAGCAATAGAACGATCACCATGACGACGGATGCTACTCTTCTGCTTGGCGGCAGGGATCATTTTCCAATGCGAAGATCTGCTTTCTAAGACGACCATTGATTTGATCAAGGTATGCATCTTCTTGCCCCTAATTTTGATAGAGAGTGCATTCTTGCGTGCTTTACGTTCTTCGTTGGATGTTTCTTCATATTTGAGCGGAGGCAAAGCGATCCCTTGATCATCATACATGATCACATGTGGTGCTTCACAGAGGTATGGAAAGTTGAGCGTTAGCTCTTCACGACTTTGTTCTTCCGTCAAGATTCTACGAGGAATTGCATCGACTCTATATTGTACTTCACTCAAAGGTGACATTGGCCCAACGCTTTGCGTTCCGACTTTGGATTGACGACGTGCCGCAAGATTACCCACATTCTCAGGTGTATCAATTTCATGCACTTGACCTTGTTCCATAGGCCAGATTGTAGCATCACCCCCTTCGCTATGCTCACTTGCGGGTGCTTCTACTTTTTTCTCCGTGTTTCTCGTCTGTTTGGGCAGAGAGCCAAAAGTGGAAGAAGAATTGCGATACGAATCATTTTGCTTATCTTGCATGTAAGGTAAAGAGCTTTGAACACTCTTGGGGGAAATGTCAGAAGGGTTAAATTGTGCCTGTCTTTCATGTTGTTCGTTGGAGTTTTGACTGTAAATGCTTGCTGTTTTGATGGAATTTGATCCACTGTTGACCAAAGGTGCAGCATACAATTCTGCAAGAGCATTTAGCAACTGTTGAGCTTTTGCTTTTCTGTCATTCTCATCAAAAATTAATCCAATTCCCGACCCTGAATCAGTTGAAGTGAAATTCTTTACTCCTCTTGATTGCGATCTATCAGGTATAAACGGTTTTCCCAACGGTAATTCCCTTCCTCCTTTTTGTGGAGTTTCTGGACTGTTGGATTCGGATGATGTGTATGAGCTGGTAGCTTGATGACTGCTCAAACTTCCACCTTGAGAAGAAGGATGAGAATCAGACATCATTGGCGAAATGCCAAAATGATTAGCAAAAAGACGATCGAGCCTGTCAATACTTGGATCGGACATCTTTAGCAGGGAAAGGTTAAGATGATATGGTGGTTTGAAAGCTTGAATGAAAAGCTAGTGGATTTCAACCTTTATATGAATTATGGATGTCGTTTGATCATTTTGTTACGTGCGGCAATTGATGGTATTGTTACTCCGCCCAAGTTTCCATTTTCAAGCCGGATCTATGCCTTTGTACGATGGATCTATGGATCGGACAAAGAGTCTGCCTACTAGCCTGTTTCAGATTGGTACATTTTTAGCGTGATAAATGATCGTATCATGTCTCAAAATCTTGCCAAGCTTTGTTGCAATGGTGATAATGATCTGGCCTATACAGTAATGTTTTATCCGCAAGTGGAAAGTAAGAAACGCATACATGAAACACAATATATGCTCTAAATGTGTACTGCGCAGCGCCCGGGCACAATTCCAGTGTACACGCGTGTCAACAAAACATCCATGCCACACAGATTAATGCAGTAATTTATGCACTGATTAAACAATCAACCCCCCCAAATCCGGTAAGGGCAATTCTAGGCTAAAAGAAGAGAAGATAGTCTAGACAACAACACTTCCGAATAAAGATGAACAGATTAAATCTCAGATTGACACATGGGGTGGAGTAAAGATGGGAAAATGAGAGATTAAATTAATCAATCAATCAACAACCACCACCACCTCTCCCTCCTCCCCACAACATCATTACAAATATGTCTTATCATCCTGGTTCATCACCTGCCAGCGCAATGAGATTAAGAGCTTCTCAAAATGGAGCGACTGGTTTGCATATACCATTGCAATATATCGCACCCGTAGAAGAAGGTCCAGGAGCAGCAGCTGCTCATCAACAAGTATTCACTCCAGGTCAAGAATCACCAGAAGAAGAAGAAGGAGACCAACTTCCATATCGACAAGCTCCATCAACACTCGTCAACGGAAGATGGAATCCAAATTACACGGTAAACTCTACCGCCCACGCAATGACGCCCTTGCGGGAAGAGGTGACAAACTCAACGCCTTCTCTCAAAAAAGTTTCTACAACATCCAGCTCTTCAAGCGAAGGCGATCATTCCGTTCTCGATAAGAATGGGTACAAAGTTCTTCTTGGAAAAGAACGTTGGGGATTAACAATCGAACCCTTTACAGAACAAGAAACATTCGATGAAGGCAGACCAAGATCGGCACGAATTCCTTACTTGGAAGGATTACGTGGGATTATTGCTTTGCAGACTTTGCTCTGGTTATTCTTCCGCACTTTTGCTCCCGCAATTGTCACTGATATAGATTTAGACGGCACACAACCTGCCGTTTTCGTTCAATCTGCCCCTGGCTGGCAAAATACCCTGCGAAAAGCTCTCACTCCCCTTTTGTGTGATGGCTCAACGCAAGCGGCAATGTACATCATCTTGATCGGCAGAACTGCTCTACAAACTTTCATCGAGCGACGCCAAGCAGTTGCTTTGGCCGGAGCATGTTTCCGTCGTCCCATCAGAATCTTGGTTCCCGTTGCACTAAGCTTGGCATTGATCAGTGTGCTCACTGCAACAAACGGCTTCAAGTATGCCAGTGTATTGGCATCTGATCTCAACAACCAAGCTGCTCAACCACCAGCCGTTTGGGAAAACGCTTTGGAGTATTTTAACTCCCTGCTCTCCCTGTTATATCAACCATACGCCAATCGGGATACACGCGCTGTCAATTTTATCCCTCTCGGCAGAATTGCATGGTTCGTTGATGTTGCGTTTCAACAAGTTTTTGTCGTGGTCGTTTTTGCTTTCGTTCTTCCATTCACGATTTTCAAATATAAAGTGATCGGGTTTGCTTCTATGATTGTTCTTTCTGCTTGGATCGGCAGATGGTCTTGGTATACCGTGACAGGTTTGGTCTTGGCCGAGTTTGCGGTTGTATACCGATCGATGATGCCGGATAAATCTTCCACTGCGATGGCCAAAAGAGGTCAGCGTAGGGTCTCCTTGACACCACCAAAGTTCAACACATTCCAAAGTGCAATGACAAAAATTGTTCCATTAGCAATGATCTTCATCGGTGTTCTCTTCAAGTATGTCTGGGCTGCAGCCGCTCCCCAGTACCAGAACAAGGAGTTACTCGCTCACGCAAATGTCAACACGGGAATGCTCTCCACAAACTTTGATCCCGTAGAAAGAGCTTACCCGAGATACGATGATTGGTTCCTGTGCACTGGGCTTCTCCTCTTAATCGAGTTGAGTGATAATGCACAGAACGTTCTTTCTTCGGGATTGTTTGTTTATTTGGGCCGATTAGGTTTCTCTATCGCTTTAATCTCGGGAACGGTTATGATCAGTTTGGGTGGCTTGCTGCATAACCATCTCGTCAACACGTTGCATGTCACCAATCCTTCTCTCATTCTTTGGGTTGAATTCCTGGCCATGGTCCCTTGTTGTTTGCTTTGCGCTGATACTTGGTCCAGACTTGTGGATGATGCCGGTCTCAAACTTAGTCATTGGTTCTTCCATTTCGTACGCAACTAGGTGCTGTACGTATATACTTATACACTTTCTTTTCTTCTCTATAAAATAGATATATCCTCCAGATTATCCATGTGAAAAATGTTTGCGAACCGCACCCCTGGGGTGAGATTCTTTTTAGTGTCCGTTACTTTTTCCAACCTGTCTGTTTCTAGCACGATCGACTTATCGAATAATCATTAACATACATTTCTAGCCAGAGTAGAAGTACAAGAGGTCATCATTTATCATCCACACTGTCTTCGCCGCTAGAACGATCAACCACATCCGCAGTAGTAAGATCGGAAGCTTTTTGTTCGGTAGTTGTACCATCTCCCATTAATCCGTTCCAACCGTTATCCAACAGATATTGACGCCATTTCTCATCTTCTTCGGCAAGGTTGAGCTTTGATGTATCAATGATTGTGAAGTAAGCCAATGTCGCCCCCGTTACACCAACGCAAGCAGCAATGATAAAAATGTACTTTTTGCCTAAATCATCTTGAACAGGCTTGAAAACTTCTGTGCCTACTACTGCACCAACTTTTCCAATTGCAGCACTAAATCCATAGGCAGTCCCACGAATGGCTGTTGGATAAGATTCGGATGAAGCAAGACCCAAAATTGAACCTGGTCCAAAGTTTCCCACGGATGCCAATAAACCATAAAAGATGACAAACAATGCGGGAACTGGAGGGGTATAGTCAGTATCCTGGAAACAGCGCACAACCTCTTCTAGACTCACTTTCGATCAGTTTATCCCAAGCTAGACCGACGATCAGTCCAACCACAATATAACCCACAAAGCCAATCATCATTTGATTTCTGGTGCCCAGCAAACGAACTGCAAATGCACCCAAAATTGCACCAGGCAAAGCGATCGATCCCAATAATAATTGATATTCTCCCGTACGTTTCAGAGTTGGATTGTGAATAACGGTGGATAAAACACTTGCGCTAAAAGCTCCATTTGAGAAACTGACAAAGTCATACAAGAACCAGCAGAAACAAGTTCCAAGAAGACGAGGCCAATATCTCTTGATGGCCAACCAGTATGGAACGTTGGAACGGATGGCGCTCGTGCGGTACAATTTGCTGTTTAAAATTCTCCAGCGGAAATAAAAGACACTCAAAGGTAAAAGAGCACCAAATCCATAACAAACTCTCCAAACGATGTCCAAACGACGAGCATCAAGAGCGGAAGTTGTGTTGCCGTAATTCGAAATGCTCAAGACGATCAAAAAGTAACTGACTGCCAAAGGTCCGCCAAGCGATAAAACAAGATTGGTACACAAGATGAAAATCGTCGATCTCTTTTTGCGTCCGTACCGTTCGTTGGCAGCCTCAGACGCTGAGGTGGACGAGGCAGGGTATTCTCCACCCAGGCCAATCCCTGTAGCGCCCCGAGCAATCTAAATTTTCATCAAGAGAAGGAAATGTCAGAAGAGATCATGATCGAGGCCAGCCTTGCAATACTCACAGTCAACCACCACCACAGTTTCGACAAATTTCCATCGACGGGAACAGCACCGGTGGCAAAAATTGAACCAACAGCGAGTAGAAGCGTTGATGTTAGGATTGCACTCTTTCTTCCGACTCTGTCACACATCAAACCGACGATTACTTGACCTAAAACGCATCCGACCAACAACGAATTACTCAATCGAGTTGAAATTGCGGATGTATATACTTTTGACCCATATCGCTTTGCAAACAAGGTATTTAACATCGTTTGAACGTTGTTTTGATATCCATCTGAGATCAATGCAGATCCTGCAGCAAGAATTGTGAACGCATCACTGTGTTTAGTTTTGCGTATTTTCAGAATGCTTGCTGTTTCTGGGTCTTTTGAAATGCCTTGCGTCTCGGTAACTCCCGCTTTGTCGGAGAAAGTATCTTTCTCTTCGCCTGGTGATTCGTTGATGTGATCGACATCGTCTTCTTTGTACAAGGTCGTCATCCTTGCAAGTACTTTTTTGTGATGATGGGAGAGAAAGAAGGACGCAACCTTGAACCGCTCTTTAAATGGGATCTGCGGAAGAATGATTTCTTGCAAAAAGTTTCCTGGCAAACTGCGGAAAAGGAAATGTTTTTCCAGGAACGTGTGTGAATTTGGTTCCTGAACAACCAATCATATGGTCATGAAGATGCATGATGGAACGTGGTCAAGTGGTTTCAAAGAGTGGGGTTCCATTAGCGCATACATCTAAACAAAAGTTTTCCCGCATATCGCCTGCATACAAGTTAACGCCGCCGCCGCCTCCGCGATTGTGCCGCGTATATTTTCATACCGACGGTAAAGGGGGGAATTCACTGGCTTCGGCGCCGGCAACACACTGCTATGATACCATTCGGCAAACACGCCGTAGAGAGCACGTTCAGGAACACAAACAATGGATTGTGATGATGAGTAAATATTAATTGATGGCATTCTACAAAACAAACCCCTTTTTCTATCACTTCCCACGTGCTGTTGGATTCCATTTTGTGTAATTGGTAAATTGTCGGAAATGTGCATAAATGGCCATATGCGAATTGAAAACGTAATAAAATGAAGTCAAAAATCCAAACAAGATCACACTAAACGGTTTAGTGAAATGGGAACGATTGCGCATGACGATGCACATCGTTAAGAATAAACAAATCAGATTAATACCCAAAGCCCACATGGCTAAGTGATATCCACCAAAATTCTTGAAGAAAGTTTGAACACCTTCGGTAAAAATATTTGTACAAATACCCGAAACCAATAACCAGAACAATTGAGTGTTGATATAAAAATAAATTTCACGGTAAACCAATAACTGCAACAAACCAACCCGTGATCGCCATCCATTATCATCACTGTATGCACCACGTGTACAAGCAGGAATGAAATGTCTCATGGCGACTTGCGTCCAACCTTGTGACCAACGAAGGCGCTGTTTTGTAAATGCTTGCATGGTTTCGGGGGCCTGTTCGTAGGACAAAACATGCAGGTCATACTCGATACGTGCTCCGGAAATGATGGCGCGCATGGAAGAATCGATATCTTCTGTCAACATGTGACCTTGCATTCCAAGAGTTTTGAGCAGAGAGGCGTTCCAATGACCATTACTTCCTCCAAAGAATCCGTACCGTTGTACTTCTGCACGACCACTATGCATAACACCGTAAATCATGTCAAATTCCACACCGATCATCCTCGTTAGCCAAGTGGATGTATGGTTGTATGTACAACAACGACCTTGAATGATGTCCACTTCACCGGTCAAGAAGCGTTTGGCAACCCAACGTAAAGCAGTTGGTTCGGGAAAGTGATCAGTGTCATACACAGTAATGATCTTGCCACGAGAAGGTAAAGTTAGGAAATAATTGATATTCTCGGCTTTACTGCGAGAATTTGGCACGCTGATCACGCGAACGTTGTCATATTGATTTTCCAATCCGGCCAATTCTGCTTCGATTCCTGGAATGGGTTTTGGCGTGTTGTAGACGACATTGATCGTCAATTTATCCGCTGGATAATCAATTTTTGTTAATGCATAACGAACTTGACGCATGATGATATCTTGTTCGTTGGGTAAATAAGCCACCAAGATAACATCGATTTCTGGCCATTCTTCTCCTGGATTTAATTTCCAGCCTTCTTTATCCATTCTGCGTTTATCCCTTCTAGCCTTGATCGCAGGCCGAATGGATTGCATAGCTTCCGTTGAAACTGATAACGAAGTCAAAGTTTGTAATCCAACCAAAGTGAACCAAATAATCTCATGAACCAAGGCAGGCATAAGAGGATAAATGAAGAAACTGAATAAGCAATAGCAAATAAGCAAGATCATTGGTGTCCATTCCGTTATCCATGCTGACATTCGACCGAATACGCCGGACAAACCGCTGAATTGAGAGGACACCATTATTGAGGGCGGGGTGGGATGATTGAGGGGATATGGTTAAGAAAGAAGAAAGAGAGATGGCAAGATGGTTTAGAGTGATTCACATCTCCACACAATCATCAAGCGATATCGACAATCTCATGCATCGCTTTTGAGCAATGGACATATCCGTCTCAAAGGGAAATTGAATCGAATCTCAGATCAAAGCCACTACCATAATTCACGCTAAAATCATCCCAAATGAAACAAGATCCATTACCGCTTTCGGATAAAGAAAAGAGGATACGCGCGCAAGGCCTGGCCAAGCACCTGCAGTTTGATTCATCTTGCTGAATGCGGTAATTGTGCAAGCGCGCGCTTATGCTCACTGTTGTTGTTGTTTGCTGCTTTCTTTCCACTTCTTCCATTCATCCCAAATCTGCTTACGATACCTTTCATCAGATGCAACTTTACCTCCAATAACGGCAATCGTAATGGCTGCCTCGAGTGTTAGATCATGTGCTTCTTGTGTTTTAGCTGCATTGGCAAAGCCAGGCGTATGATTTTTATCAGTGGCAGGATTCTTGAGTGGGATAGAATATTGTGCATGCAAAGCTGGCAAAGCATACGTTATATCCCCAAAATCAGTCGATGCAAAAAATGCTTGCTTTGTCACTTTCTTGGCGAATCTTTGATTCGCAATTGCTCGAAAGGTATCCCCCAAAGATGCATTATTGGCAACATCCTTGTACGGATCGGCAACTCGGATATCTGCTTTGCATCCCGTTGCCAGGGCCGCTGCTTCGAAACAGTTTTGAACTCTCTTTGTAAGGGTATCGCATTCGTTCGCAGTTGGCGCACGAACATTAAACATCAGATCACAAGCTGCTGGAATAACGTTGGATGCCCATGATTTATCGCCTTGAATAATTCCATGCACTCGATGATCAGGTTTAATTTGTTGACGTAAGGCACTGATGTTCATATACGATAAGACTGCTGCATCCTGAGCGTTCGTGCCTTCCCAAGGAACAGCCCCTGCATGTGCTCCATGACCAGTATAATGAACCAATAGATCTGCCTTTGCTAACATAATTCCGACCGAATCAAGGGAAGCTGGATGAACCATTAAGCATGTATCCATCCCTTCATATGCTCCTTTGGCGAGCAATCGAATCTTTCCACCTTGCATTTCTTCAGCAGGCGTTCCTAATAAAACCACTTTTCCAGCGATATTATGCTTTTGCAAGGCATTTGCTAGAGCAAGACTGGCTCCCACACCTGCAATGGCGATTAAATTGTGTCCGCATGCATGTCCAATGCCAGGTAAAGCGTCCAACTCCGATTGGAATCCAATCGTTGGAAGATCCTCCGTAATCCCTTCTGGACGATGAACAAACTCCGCTCTGAATGCTGTCTCCATCCCGTAAGCATGTGGTGTAACTTTCCATCCATTTTTACCTTGCAAGTATGAGACGAACAAATCGTGCGTTTCCTTTTCTTGCCAACCCAATTCCGGCTTTGACCACATGGAAAGAGAGAGTTTACGCAGCTCACCATCGATTGATTTGATCGTGGCTGCAATCGTATCTCCCATTTCTTTACTGGATTGTGCCGTCTTTGTAGCTTCGTCACTGATTGGATCCCATTGCATCTGTTGATTCACTTCTTCATATCCGGGTAATGGTTCACAGGCGCAACAGCATGCGGTTGCAGATGCATTATGTGGAATATTTTGATAATTCACTGATTCTTTTTCCTGCCTCTTATCGGGCTTTTGCCTAAATGGAGAAAATGCTGAAAGACAACCCATCTTGAGAGAGTGATGATGATGATGATATCTGTGCAAAAGTGAATACGGGGAAAGAAGTAACCCCCCTTTAGCCGTACGCGTGGGCGTTGTGCAGAATTCGGCCGTTGATCAGCGATAAATCCGAAAACAGAATGATGGAAATCGTTGCGGGGTAAAGTCAGAGCCAACGATTTGTTTACCTTTCCGTCATCTATTCCACATTGCAATCATGGCAAAGTCAATCGTCGCCGCTCTACAGATAGGGCCGGACCCAAAAGGGAAAGCAGCAACTGTTCAAAACATTCTTTCGTTCGAAGAACAGATTACGAAATCAGGAGCAAAGCTTGTAGTGATGCCGGAAGCTTTACTTGGTGGTTATCCAAAAGGCGAAGGATTTGGAACACGACTTGGCTATCGAACACAAGAAGGACGTAATGCATTTGCGGAGTATTTCAATAATGCGATCGATTTAGATGGGCCAGAATTGATCGAATTGACCGGTTTGAGTACATGTACTTCTGCGACGTTGGTACTTGGCATAATCGAACGTGCAGGATCATCTTTATTTTGCACGGCAATCTTCATTGAACCAAAGCAAGGCGTTGTAGCAAAACATCGCAAGCTAATGCCAACCGGATCAGAGCGTTTGATTTGGTCACAAGGAGATGGTTCAACTATGCCAGTGATCGAAAGTCAAGCAGGCAAGATTGGTGCGGCAATTTGCTGGGGAAATCATATGCCGCTGTTCCGTACTGCAATGTATGGCAAGGGGTTGGAGATATGGTGCGCTCCTACAGTTGATGAGCGTGAAATCTGGCAAAGTACAATGAGACATATAGCACATGAAGGTCGTTGTTTCGTCATCAGCGCTTGCCAAGTACAGCCTTCTCCTAACAGCCTCGGTCGTACTGTAGAGAACTGGGATGGGGAACGACCATTAATTGCGGGAGGAAGTGTAATCATTGGACCTTTAGGAGATATTCTGGCCGGACCTCTAAAGAACGACACCGGTCTCATTTTTACCGAAATCGATACAGCTGATATAGTAGGAGCAAGGTACGATTTCGACGTTGTTGGACATTATTCCAGGCCAGACGTATTCAAACTTTCGGTGAATGATAGAGCATGCTCGGCTGTAGAGTATTCTGCAACGCAATAAATAATTCTTCTGACGATGTAAAGTATGACATGATTTAATATGGACTGATGGTTGATCTTATGAGACTAATGGGAGATGCGTTCTCAGACGCTCCTGGTGCCTCTCATCGTTCCCAGAATAGAATTATCAGTGAGACTCCTGTATCAAAGGCAAGATCGTTTCGGCCGTCCTCTTCACTATGTGGGTATAGGATGTTTCCGATAAAACTCCAGAAGCATGTTCTTGCAAAAATTGAAGTTCTTCATCGCTGACACTGATTGGCGAGCGTTCCAATTGTCCGCCCATCTCGGTCCAGCGGCTGGAAGGTGTGCGATCGATCGGTGGGCAGGCTTCCATTGCTAGAGCTCCCGTATATCCTACATCTTTCAGAGCGGTGATGATCTTTTTCCAATCTAAACGTCCATCTCCTGGTGCTGAACGATTATTATCGCCAAGATGAACGTCAAATAGATATTTACCGCATTTTTCAATCGCTTCAAACATGTTTGTTTCTTCGATATTGAGGTGGAATGTATCAATTGCAATTCCGCAATTATTTTCTTGGATTGCTTCCACCAGTGCAATTGCTTCATCTACTCGATTAATAAAGTATGTTTCAAATCGATTGATAGGCTCAATCGCAATCTTTATGCTTTTTGTTTGTGCAAATTTACAAACTTCTTTGATCGATTCAACTGCCCATTTCCATTCTTCTTCAACGCTTGCAGAAGGTTTAATCTTTCCTCCTATTGATGGTGTGATTGTGACAATTTTACCACCTAAATCAGCTGACATTTGAACGATTTGTTTTTGATATGCAATCGTATTTGCTCTTTGGACGGGATCAGGAGTCAAAAGATCACGTTCAGCACGCATGATCGTTACCGTTCCCCAACACTGCATCCCATACTTCTTTAATGAAGCAAGCGTTTGTTCGATTGGATATTTTTCTGGTTCGCCGGCTAATTCGATGCTTGTATATCCATACTTACTTGCCCTTGCCAGCGTTTCTTCAAGTGACTCTGGTCGCATCCAAGTATGTGTGCAGAGGTGCATTGTTACTGCTTATTTGTGTAGGATGGTGTATGAAGGAAAGAAAGTTGGGGCGAGAGTGTATACGTTCCAAACAAAGCACAGCCCTTCACCTTCTAAGGTCACGAGCTAGCGTTACGGCGCCGAGGCAGAGACTTTGAGGATATCAAGGTCAGCCGACATAAAGAGACATTGCACAATCAAAATAATCAGCACAAAAGTGACAATGTTCTAATTCTGACTTACTCGCTGTTCTTTGTTGAACGAATAGATCTGGCAGTGATCTATATACAAGACCATGAGCACGTACTGTGGGGAGAATTGACAAATTTCCCCAGATTCTTTTTTAGCGTATGTGCTTCTCATCGTTCACGGAAAGCCGTGTCAAAGTTTAAACCATCAGGTAACCACATGCATGACACTATCACCGACGCCAAGCTAAAGTTCCTACGGATAGGACATATGTCCGCCTTTGCTGTGGATGTGTAAGCCGCAACGTCAGTATGATGTTGTCAAGGTAGTCAAACTGGGATAATCATGCTTTTGCCAAGCACGTTCGGACGTCCGGAGTGATAAGCCATTCAAATGTAAACAGACACAATCATGTGGAGAAGATTGTTCAGAAAGGCAAATAAAGTGGGACATTTCTGACTTTGTGACTCTTCTCTTTCACATCCAAACCACACTCGCACGCACATAGCTATGCTTTTTCAAAACATTTTAATCGGTCTTTCTTTGACTATTGCCGCTACGGCAGCTCCTTCTGCTAAATCAGGCTCACAATTATTCTCTTACGCCTTGTCTGATTGCACTGTAGAATTAGGAATTGTGAGAGATTTACCAAACGATGGCGTCCAAGGAACACCATGTCAAACATTCAAGGCTTTATATCGTACTGACGATACAAGATATCGTAATTTGGCTCAATCTGTAAAAACTATCAATATTCAATCAGGCTGCACTGCTTACGTTTATAGTGGTCCATATTGCCCAGACAATCAAGTTACTCTCAAAGTTGATGGTTTGACTTCAGGCGAACAATGTCATGAACTCGAAGATTTAGCCGAAAGTGTCAAGGTTGTCTGCCATTAAACATTTCAAGCATCCGCTAATAGCCACTTCATAGCCAAAAACTTTTTCTTACCACATTACGAAAAGAGTACCTTCTATAGTCTTCCCAATTAATCTTGTCAATCCAGCTTTACTTTGTGAAAGGGAAGCGTGTTCACATTGGTAGTATGCATTGCCTGGCCCGCTTAGCCTTTAGACTGTGTACATTGACTCAATTCAGCTCGTAAGACGGGAGAAGAAGGAACAATATGATAAGCAATCGTATTCCAATGATGACAAGGGAAACCGTTTTCATAGTTATGAATCTCATCAAGTATGGCTAAAATTAAGCCTTCTGACGATATCTGCTCTTCCAAGTGATTATGAATCATGGACTGAGAATCTTTTGCGCTGCGCTACTCACTTTAGCATGCTGCAGTGGGAGTATTGCAAAGCACATCAAAAAGGTCAAGAGCTCTTTTATGTTCTTTTTCTAATAACTGTGACTGTCTCATCGCTGATATTTGTGCTTCCATAGTTTCCCTAATGACTTGATGCCCACTTTCAATGCCAGTAGAATGCGATACCATTTGACTCAGACGTTTACCGCGGATCTCACTTATACTGCTTCTCCTTTCAAATCATGACTCTAAACACGATCGTTCTCCATGGCACACACTTAACGCGTTCTATTTCACAATTCGCCGCGGAGATGAAAAGATGGTTCTATGATAAACATATGATCTATGGAAAAAGAAAGCTTTTTATAAGCAGCATTTGATCAACTCATTTCCGGCGGCGGATTACGTGCACGAATTTGATGTCCATATCGATAAAAAGCGTAAGGGATAGGGGTACAAAGAACTCCAATACAGCCAAGAAGAGTCAAAGTCCAATGAACGCCTAAATTTGAATACATTGGAGTTGCAACAACGACCATTCCACTTGCCATTAAATAACGAGATAATGTTAAGCTGACCAAAGCAGATGCTGCCAAACCTTCAAAGACGTCAATCAAGTACAAGTAAGAAGATACAAAGATACCTTGAACTGCAAATCCAAACATGACAGATGCAAGCAAAGGTGACCAGAACGAAATCGTTGGAAAGGCTGTCCAGCCCATCCAGAAAAGACTAATTGCGAAACAAGGAGCAGCAAGCATAGCGTACCATAACCGCTCCTCTGGAGGTGCTGAAGTTTCGCCAGCTTGAATGGCTTGATCGTTCTTTTGCTTGTACTTCTTATAAATCCATGGACAGATGGCAAGAGCGACAAGAAAACCGACATTCATACCAAGAAACATTAATCCAACAAAACCTTGACTCATGTTATATGTATCCCCAAAGATGAATGTATATCCCGATAAGAATCCAAACAAGACGGCATATACGATGGAAAGGTAAATGCTCCAAAAGACAACGACGTATTGTGAGAATAAAAGGATAAACGGTCTTGCAAAGTTACGTTTGAGTCTCGTTTTCAAGTCGGGAGAATGCAAAGTTGACTCAGCAGTGAAGCGTAAATCTCCGGTGCAACGGCGAAAATGATACGCCCTTCGTTCAAGTAGTGTGGGCATGTATGTTTCTGGGCAGAACAAGGCAATCAGTAAGGTTATCAAAGCAGCCATGATCAATGTGATCCATTCTACCCATCGCCATGAGAGAACGCCTGTATACCCAATGTAAGACCCAACCAAAGGAGCCAGAAACGGGCCGAGAAATGATAAACAAGCCATGACTGGAAACACATAAGCTCGATCTACCGGATTCCACATGTCACTTGTGCTTCCACCAAAAGTTGTTAAAGGCGTACTACCAAAGAATCCCGAAAAAGCTCGGAAAACGATTTGAGCACCTATGTTGGGAGAAAGGGCAGAAGCCATTACAAAAACCATGAATAAAACTAAAGAAAATAGATAAGTCTGTAATCGTCCAATCGTTTCGGATAAGGGTCCACTGCATAGTGCACCCAAACCAAAAGCAGCCAAGAATACTGCGGTTGCTAAAGATTCTGTAACGTCACTTACGCCAAATTCCATCTTTGCTTGTTTCATCACTGCTGAATCAATTGCAGAAGACCATGCTACCAAGAATCCAGTAAGGCCTACGATTGCTGTTGTTTTCCGTTTCTCAGCTGTTGACCATTCTTTTGGGTTCAGGTTACTGATATCGCTACCTTGCTTTACGATAAATCGAGCAGATTTGCCGTCTTTCCTATCATCAGTATCTTCCATTCCAACGCCTATGCCCAAAAGAGTTTCTTTGAAGTTTGAATTTTGGTTTCCTGAACTTTCTCCCGAAAATAGATCTGCGATTGCTGTTTGCCAGTCCACACCCATCTCTGGCACTTCTTTGCCGGCATATAAGCTTTTAAGCAAAGCCACATCTCGTTCGACGTCCTTCTTGATCTGTCTATATTGAAAAATGGCGGCCATTTTGAGTTGATGAACGGCACCAATGCAGGAATTTGTCAATTATCATTACCTCTATTTATATCATGACGAGATATTATCTTTTCGTCAATGGTGTAATATATGCGGTTATACTTTTGCGGTTAACGTTTGTTATCCGCGCCTAGCATTCGTTTTTTTACCACTTACCGCATCTCTTTGCGTAGAGATTCACAGCGCGGATAACTTTTCCTTATTAGCTCAGCGGACCTTTTTGTAACTACCCGATAAAAGTTAAAGTATGATGAACTTGCTTTGCCGCATCTATTGCGATCTCACTCGATGATCAGCTGAACAAAGGGAGTATTGTAACACAAATCTTTCCGAGACTCGGTCAGTCAGATCACAGATTACATTATTGACCCTTGAATTTGTCATTAGGACTTGTTTACACGTCTGGCGAGAAAATGTAGCAAGTCTCATATCACAAGCTCAGCTTTCCAGTTTTTTTCTTCGTTGTTGGTCGAATTGATCTTTAGCCTAGCAAAATACTGATTAGGATCTTCTTCCTCCATTTTTTCTAGCGATTTTTGAACTTCTTTTGCTGCTTCTTCATTATTCATATTTGAATTTTCTTCCGGCATTAATTCGTGGAAGAACAAGTTACCACAACCCAAATTGTCAATGACTGCTGGTATGAAACCTACTTCCATATAGGAAGATTCGATTCCATACATGAAGCAAGTAGAATACTCTAATCCGAGCCACCTAGATGCTAATACGTGTTCCAAACGATGATGTTCGGGTGGATCGTTGACATCACCTTCCATTTCCACCCAAAATTCGTCTGATTTTCCCAAAGTAAATTCTTCTACCTCTTTATCCAGAATACCGCCAACATCTTGCCCTTCTTTTTTGTATTTTCGTAATAATCTCCCTTTACAATCGTATTCATCGATGTAAAAGAATTTTCCCCAAACACAATCCGGATCGTCTGCGATGACGACATATGGATCTCTGCACCATCTTTCCTCCCCCTCCTGAATTACAACTTCTTTGCTTCTATGATCAACAGAATAGGGAACAAATTGCGTACGATAGTTACGATTAGGCAAGCTTGAACCTTGTCTATTTTCTCTGCTGAACTCTTTTCCTACCTTTGCTGCTGATTCCATTTCAGGTAAGAAGAAATCCATTTCGTCGTGCAAAAGGTCGTATAATTGTTTGTCCGATAAAGGCTTACCCCTCGGATTAGGATTTTTGTATGGATAAAAGTTAAATTCATCATAAAAATACTCGTGGCCATCACTTATGCCTTCGAAACCAAATTTATGTATGACCTTTTCTTCATATGCTTTCCGTTCTTCTGTTTTTTCTCTTTGATCTCCATCTCCGAACGGTACTGTGATGATGATCGGTACTATCATTATAAACGCTTAATGTGTGGTCGATTGTCATAGGAGCGTCAACCATCGATCTCTCTACCTTGCGTGCCAGAATAAAGAGTGCGATTTGAAAGGTGGTTGATGTTGTCTGAGTGATACTATGTACATACTCATCAGTTTGTAGTGTACCATAGGCTAGGACCCCTAAAATCATTCTGTCAATATCGACTCTCGACATTTAATATTTAGCGCGAGTCATGTCTTTTCACTTCTTCCTTCACCTCCTTCACATTCATTTCAATGGACCAATTTCAAAGGTGACATCCCCTCTACCCTGCATGGGACCGGAACGAAAGCGAAAAAAAGTCCATACTCGTAGCAGAGGTGGATGTTTGACATGCAAAGAAAGAAAGGTAAAATGTGATGAAGGAAAGCCAACATGTCAAAGATGTACGATAGAAGGAAGAGAGTGTCAAGGATACGTACCGATTGGTGATCAAATTGGTTCGCAGTCAGCATCCCAACAGCCATATCTTCCATCTTTGACGGCTTTCGCTCCGCCCAATCCTATAAACGCAGTACAGCACCCGAACCACATGCCGATCGATTTGATGTCTAATGTACAACGTCAAATTGATAACGATAAACAGATCTCAACGTTCGATAGCTTGCTCTCAAATATGTGGAGTGATGCATTGAACGCAGATTCTTCCATCGACTGGAATTGGATGAACGTTGATCCGATGAGAACGTCAAGAGAATTTGTTGATAATGCACACTTTCCGACAATGACCCATCCACAAAATAGATCGTTTGGTGCAGGCGAGTCTGTCCAGGTTACAGCTTCACCTTCGAAACACAAAATTCTCGGCAAGGAGGATAACCTTCAAAGCAGGTTGGAGGCGTTATGCACAACACAAGCTCAATGGATAGGGTTAACACACTTTTTCAATCATGTAGCACAATGTTTTCACATCATTCCGGCAGAAGCAAATCGATGGAGATTGGTTTTCGGAATGCTTTCACTGCAAAGCGATGTCGTCTTTCGCTTAGTAGTAGCTGTCGGTCTTGCATCCGTTTCGCATCATAGTGACACAAATTATCGAGCAGTAGAACATGCACATATGACATATTCATTACGTATATGGCACCGACTTGTACAAGAAGAAAAAGAAGAAAGGAGCCAAGGCATTTCTGCAACAAACTCAACTTCAGAGCGTACACTGGAGATTCTAGCTGTTGCCGTCCTTGTTGGTCATTTCGAACAGTTTGATTCCGGTCTCGCAAATGAAAGTAACGATTGCCTTCTTGCTGCGTTGGATTTGATCGATGCGATTCTACAAGCGCAAGCTTCTAGGATGGAGTATGGCGATGTGGATACGAATGTTGGTTCATCCTTTCGATTTCTAACAAGAGTGTTGTTATGGTGGGAAACTTTTTCACGAACCATGGGACCGGCGTCCGGATTACCTTTCGAGAAGTTGCAAAACATTTTTGCGAATGTTAGAAAGTGGGAGGAGGATGTGAATGAATCCATGATTGATTCAACACAATGTGCGACTGGTTGGCCATTGGATTTATTGGAAGTGGTTGCAAGAATAACAAAGGTAGAGACGGAGATCAAATCAATCCAATGCATCAACAAACATAAGGATTGTAGATGGTTTTCGAAAAGGTTGCGATTTGATCGTAGTGCATGTATGGTTGAAGGAGACGCAAAGCATGTTGAGTATTTGCTATCAGAAGCTCGAGCGGCTGAATCGCAGATTCGAAGTTGTAGACCAAAAACGATAATACAGGATACTGTGGCAGCTGCAGAATTACGATTCATCCTATTTGAACTTTTACAAGCAGGTGCACTTGTCTATTTTGCCCGGGTTGTTTCCGGTAGACTAGAAGCGGCATCCACAGAGATCCAAGCAATTTTGCGATTCTTACATTCACCTGCAGAAGTACAAACACCATCTGCAGAACCTTTGAAGGGTAAAGATGGTTCCACACCGGCTGAAACGGAGCATTTTAGTAAAAATGGTGGTACTGCAGCTTCATCATCAACTCGTGATCCAAATACGAGACATGGAATTCCGGAATGGAATAATCTTTGGGCCGCTGATGGTCACGCTCTTTGGGCATATTTGCAAGCAACAATTGCAGCAAGTGTTGATCAACAAGCGAAATGCAGAAGGATGATTAAAACATTTGACGAAATTGCAAAATGCGGAGCGATCCATGTCTTTTTGGAATTAGTAGAGGAGATTTGGTTACGTGGTAGGCAAGATGATACGGGAGAAAGTATCACATCTTATCGTCTAGATGAGATTTTCAGAAATGTTATCGCTCAAAGAAGGTGGAAGCAACTGTTGATATTTTGAGCAGGAACATGTATATTATAAGCACTTTGCAAAATACACAGCTATACCATCGTGTCAGAGCGGAATTGTGTATGTTACAGCTTTAGAATTCCGCAAAGGAAGTCTGAAATGATTCGAATTGCCTGCACGCTTATCCAGTTTCAGATTCGCAGGCAACTGTCATTCGTCACAATGAGACTGAGAACTGATCTAGCACATGTTTGACGCACAGATCTGCCATTGCTTGTCTAGCCTCATTTGTTGCACTTCCGATGTGCGGCAAAATCAAAACACGATCACGACAAGATTCTTGTAGTAAAGGATGTTCTGATGAAATATTTGGTTCTCCCTCTAAAACATCCAAGCCTGCTCCTGCAATTTGACCACTTTCCAACGCTTGTGCCAGGGCTATAGTATCGACAATCGGACCTCGTGCAGTGTTGATTAAGTATGCTGATCTTTTCATGCTTGACAAGAATTTTTCGTCAATCAAATGTTTGGTAGATGGGTTGAGGCTGGTAAGAGTAATGACCACATCGGATTCCTTGGCAAGCTGCTGCAAATCTGGTACATTGCGAATCTCAATATCGGAGCTGGCCGAAGCTCTCTCCCTCAGTCGGCTAAAATCGGGCGACTGAATGTCAAACGGCTTCGGTTTTGATGTTGTGTACAATATCCGTCCCGGTTGAAACATAAGCATAAGAGAAGCAACGGTTTGAGCAATGTTTCCAAATCCAACAAATCCAATCGTTTTACCACGTAAAGAAGGACCACAAAATGCCAAAGGTGACCAAGGATGCTTAGACCATTGACCTTGTTGAACGATTCGAGAGGCATATGAAAGGTTGCGCATAGCTGCCAAAGTTAACAACAAAGTTAAATCAGCAACTGCATCGTCCAAGACATCAGGGGTTGTACCAAGTTTAATTGAACGTTTCTGTATTGCGTTGGTATCGATATGATCTGTTCCCACGCTCATCGTACTAACAACTTGTAGCTTCTTTCCTGCTTCAATCATTTCCTCAGATAGAGGTTCGGTTAGTGTGACAATGATTGCATTTGCATTTGTGATATTGCTTCTAATCCATTCTTTTGGAGCGGGTCCGTCCTCTGATCGTCGAATGATCTGAATTAAGCCCTTCTCCTCTGCATTTTTGAGAAGTGTGCTCGGTATGTCTCTACACAGCAAGATTGTAGGGACGTTTGACATGTTTGGGACAAAGATGATTGAGGAGAAACAAGACCAACACTCACTCCACTTCAACGCCGCTTGATCGCGTGCGTCCCCTAGCGCAGCACCACGAGTCAATTTACCATTCATCGTCAACGCGGGGCGCATACATTCAAGATTAACAATACTATCGAAGAACACACCCAAGAGTCACACATGAATCGGATGACAGTCTTATACAATGAGTTAATATGATTATATATAACAATCCCATTCATAGAAGCAATCCTTCAGGGTCGCCATGCGAGGACTAAAGGATGTTCAGTCTATTCTACATCTGTTGCATGCACTCAACACAGCCGCAGACCCTTGGAACGGTACCCGTGGCGACGCTTTTGATGTTGTATACAGTTATCTCTTCGTGAAAAGGAGGCATGACAGCCTTGATAGGAGCATCGATGTGGTGGCAGCTCTTTATGGATACGACAATGCCTGCGTGCATGTGCAATTGAACTGAAATGCTTATTGCATCCTACGTATGGGCATAGATGACGAACCGGTCCAACATTTGATTTTCGTTCACATGCGTTTGTGCTATGTGATGGTTGCCTTTGTTCTGAGCTTTTTCTGTCGTCATTTTTTGGAGAAAGTGAAATGGAAGCAGATCTGTAAAGGCTATTCTCCGTTGTACTTGCTGTAAAAGTATTTTGCTGTGGTGGTGTATAGAATGACGACAGATTATGTGTACTCTCCACTTGTGTGGGAGATACGCAAAGGTCATCATGCTGACACCGCAATGCATTCACTTGAAGATGCTCGCTTTGATCAACCATCAGGCCAAGGGTGTTGGGGAATATCAATTGGTGGGAAGGGTCATCCATGTTGGTGCTGAGCATACATTCTAGATCTTGCAAGAAAAGCGAGAAAGGATACAAAGATTCAGGCGGTAGCGGTAAGGTAGAGGTGAGGTCATTTGATTCTGATGCTGCTCCTATCTGCGAATTAAGAGCATCAGTCTGCCCAGCTTGTTCATGTGATGGAGGTATGTCTGACTGAATGTGAGACTTTGGATCGGAAACGAAACCGAATGATGGCAGATCAGACAGATCTTGTGTACCTCTATCACTGTCCACTATATTGGTCCAGATGTTTGGCTGGATCCCAGTACTGTACTCGGCTTTGTTTTCGTTCGATCTTTGTTCATAGCCGTAAAGAAGATTGCAGAAAAGAAATTGCGAATTCATATTTATTGTAAGGTGACAAGTGCTTGCGATTTATTCAGTTTCGCTTGCGTTCTTGTGATAGTAGCGAAGCATCTATGACGATGTTATGAATCTCAGGAGACGTGACTTTCGTTTTGACGACTAGATGCCTTTTGAGCGTGTCGAGCTTTAATTTGAGGCTTAAGGAGAAATTTATAATCTGATGGAACGGATTGGTTCAATTTATTTTTACCTTCATCTTGTTCAGTCATCTATTGTCTAGAAGCTACTAGTACCTGCAATGAAAAACCTCTTGCAAGCGAATCATGTTCGCCCCTTATGTTACTCTTCCGTTACGATTCTAGAAGCGTTCTGAATGCAGAATCAGTTCAGTCCATGTACAAGATACCCATTTAACATATTTCAAAGCGAGACCTTTGAAAGCCAATTTGAAATACGAATCACCCCATCAAACCAGATGAACGTACGGTTCAGCAGAAATGACATCTTACTAGTCCCCAACGAACCAGCCCATTACGATGATTATCCGGCTTATTGGGAGGACCTGGACAATTTTAAAATATTTCTCCACAACGAATTTCTGCATCATTCTTGCTCACCTTTTCTGTACTTGATCGGTCTGTCACAATGCATGGACTCAATGTCTGGAAGCGGAATGTATCAACATACTGATTACGTAGGTGGCTGTGTTTGAACAATAGCCTTAGACTTGAGCGATATGCAAGCCCCTTCCGCTTCCACGCTTGTCTCGCACAAGGCTACCTTCGCTGATAATAGCTATAATCCGAATGAAAGGGAACGAAGCTTTGATCTATAAACACAAGATACAGAGTGATTAGATTGAATGGGTGCTCAAGATAATATGTGGCGGCCTTAGCCGGAATGGAGCCAGCTAAACACACAACCTTCGGCATCCCATTAGACACTCAGTACCGACGGGATGCTCCGAGGTCCCTTTTCTCACTCATTTCAGTAAATATTACTTATATATGTATTCAGGATAAAGAGATTCACAAAGGATGTACTGTAATAAAAGGTCTTGAAACATTTTCACTCATGGGGCAACCTAATTTTTTGCCTTCTCTTTATTGATTTCAGCAGAAGCACTGTTCTTTTGCTCATCAATTTTTTCGCTTAAAGCATCCTTTGCAGCTTCTGCACGGGTTCCCAAGGAGGCGTTGGAGTCCTTTGCGACCTCTTTGTTAGCTTCCTTTGATGCTGTTGACGAGTACTCAGACACGGAGTCTTTGACGTAGTTGCTAGTAATAATCAAAAAGAAACAGTAAGTACATTGTATTGCACTGAATTTTGTTTCTTACCTACGCTGTGTTTTTCAATGATTCCATTTTGAAAGATGGTATTTTTAGAAGTGGGGTAGAGAAATGATGAGAATATACGTCACCCAGAAAAACATTCAAAGAAACATGTTCTTTTTATACCATAACGTGAATCTCTTATCTCCTTATATCTGCTCGTCATATCTTTGTTGGAAGTCTCAAGTCATGACGCACCGATATGCCTGCTCCTTATTCTATCCGCTTCTTTCAGTTCTAGCCAAATTTGCTTGATGCCATCTATGATTCAAGTCTCCATCCGTGCAGCATTGCAAATTCACATTACAATCCACATGAGAGCCCAGATCGTCGGCTCGGATAAAGTTACTATCTAGGAAAGTACATGTTTGTGGCGGTGCCTTTTTTCTCCCTTCTCATGACGTCATCATTTTCCAAGTAGAGGGTTCTTTATCTAGTGGTTCTTTTACGCGTATGCACAAAACACTTTTTGTGAAAGGTAAACTGACAAATGTCAATTCTTTAAATGATTTGCAGTGTGCAGAAAGAGTAACGAAAGCAGGAAATGTGAGCATGGCAGAACGGAAGCTTTTAAGTCTACAATTGAAGTCTCACTAACTGCATGCCCCTTAGGAAGGAAAATTCTACGACCCGAGCCGGGAGGATATTGGAAGACTTGCATAGAATGAAGCAAGCTTCTGTTTGCAGATTGCTAACAAACAATATCTTTTTTGATCATAATCAAATGTAAACAAGCAGAATTATATATGAATTAAACATAATCGCTCATTGCAACTCCATACCATATCCCACATTCCAAGCTCTGCCATCAACTTTGAAATGACCCGCAGTGCTTTTCGTATCCCGGCTTTAGTGACAAGCTTTGTCGCGGTCGTATTGCTCGTATTGACCACCGTCAGCACACCCACGACATATCACAAAAGTACCCCTTTTGATGTTGTTCGCGCTCATAGCTTGAATGGAGCTGTCGACTTGACTTCAGACAATCAAAGTGGTTTGGATCGAGCTCGGTTTGGATTATGGGGCTACTGTACGGAAGCATTGAATTCTGATCGATTCAGTGAATGTACAAGACCATTGAACTACATGTACACCGCCGAATTTTCTACAGGCAAGGCTGGTAAAAATGACTCTTCAAAGACGGCAAGCGTCAAGTCTAGCTATACACGGGGCTTACTTACGGCAGCAGTTGCTTTAATTGCCTCCGTAATTGCATTTGCTTTATCGTTTGCTCCGTCATTGATTGTGGAATTGGTTGCTTCAGTCGTCTATTTGATCGCAACATTAATCACTTTGGCAGCTTTTATCGTTCAGGTTGTTTTTTATGTCTACATTCGCCATCAACTACACGAGGTAGCAACAGGTTCAGTCGTTTATCCGGGGCCAGCATTTTATTTCACCTTGATTTCAATTCCTCTCTTGTTCTTTTCGGCTTTGACAGTCTGTTGTGGATATCGAAAAGGACGCAAGGATCAAAGTTTGGACAGCGTCAACAACAAAGCTGCCGTAGAAGTATAGACAGCGTGTAATTTACTGAAACGATCTCCCACCCGCTCAACAACCGAACTTTTTATCAATTTCCCCTATACCAGCTCTCATTCCTAGATAGTCCGTGTATCATGATTTTAAGATACCAATCTCACTGTCATGTGATTATCGAATGTTTAAAGGTTTTATCATGCCATGATTGAAAAGGTCTTCTGTTTGTGCTTTCGTTCATATCCGGCAAACTTTTTTGTTGGGTCCCGCAAAATGATTTCTTTCATCATGCTAATGCATGCAGAACCCTGTCCTAAAGAGTGGCTGTGTTATCTATCCTGCATACGCTAAACCATACAGAGACTTTCCTTAGCTCGACCAATAAGTTTTGCCCCTTGGAAAACGATATCATTGTTGAGGGGCAAGCATGACCCTTTTCACCGTAGCTTCATGGAGATGCAAAATTGATGACGATAGTCATTTCTGTACCAAGCTGAATAACGTAGCCCCTTCATACATCTTTTTATCGTGATTGATTTTCATTTATAAAACTCAAATACCAGCACGTAGAATCATAATAGCTTGTTCCTTAGAATAAAATTGGATCTCTGTCTTATTATTCGATCTCAACACTTCACGAACGATGTCCCATTCCAAAAATGATGTGGAAATGGCATCGCCAAGTAATATTGCTAAGACACCGTCAGCTATCCGACTGCATATCTCCACAGCGTTGGGAGAATTGATTGGAACGACGATATTCCTCTTTCTAGCGGAAGGTGCAGCAAAGACAGCTAAATTAGGACGATCTGCATCGCACCTTGGATGGAACGACTGTTCTGGTGATTGCAACATCGTTTGGTCTAAGTCTTACGGTGACTGCATGGGCATTCTTTCGTATTACTGGAGGTTTGTTTAATCCTGCAATCACGTTGGCTCTTTGGCTTGTTGGTGTTTTAACTTCCATTCGTGCTGTTGTTTTGGCTATCGTACAAATTTTAGGTGGAACTATAGCAGCTGCTTTAGTTCTTGCTTTAACACCAGGCAATCACGGAGTGGATACAGTAAATAATTCTCTTACGGACGTCAGTATCGCACAAGGGTTCTTCTTGGAAATGTTAGGAACAGCAATTCTAGTTTTTGTTGTATTATTGTTGGCTGTTGAAAAACATAGAGCAACTTTTATTGCACCTGTTGGAATTGGTTTAGCTTTGTTTGCTATCCATCTATTCCTTTTACCATGGACAGGTTGTGCTGTTAATCCTTCAAGAGCTTTTGGTCCTGCCGTCATTTCTGGTCACTTTCCAGGTATCCATTGGATATATTGGATCGCACCACTTTCTGGTTCAATTTCGGCCGTCATCTATTTTGAAATTCTCAAGGCTTTCGAATATAATCATGCAGTCATGGCTATCGATAGCGAGAAAGAAATGTCGAAAATCTCTCCAATATACGTTCGTATTCGCAATCGTATCCGTTCTATGCTCTAAGACAATATTTTCACCCCAGCAGATTAAGTCTATCCCCTTTATAAATTTGAAATTCAATCAATCCTCTAACCTGTCAATTGTATTTATTAGCGTAATTGAAAACAATTTTCACACTAAATCAAAAGGTCCAGACTTTTTCCTTAGCCGAATTGTTTCCGACTGATAAGAGTCCTGACACTAGTGTCGTTCCAAACGGACCGAAGGCCATGCGACCGTCAATGATATTGGTATGTAGGTTGAGTGTATGATGACGTCATTGATCTTTTTAGTGATCATACGAAGAATAGTGCGCGCTAGAATTGCCTCACCAGGCAGAGCACATGGAGAGAATTGCATGCAAGATGTCTTGTATTCGGATTCGGCCAACGAAAAAAAAGTTCCCTAGGAACAACAAATGCTCAAGAAGCGAAATATAGGGTCTTTTACGGCAGCTTTGAAAACCAACAAAAGGTCTAGACCACAAAAAGCAATCGATCACAGCCACCATAGCACGCTAAATGTACATACGTAGTTCAAAAACAAGAATTCTAGTGGATTTATTCGCTTGAGAAAGTGGAGAATAAGGTTTTTTAAAGTTACGGTTGCAGCACTTTACGGTACTTTCTTCTTGCCGAGAGAGCTCCTCTGACTCTGGAAACTTCCAGATAGGTGAATAGTCGGCTTTTTTGATACATCTTTCAAGGATTCGAATTTTTGCATCAACTTTTTCAGAGGAGAACAAATCGTTGGGGAAAATCAACAGGATTGGGCTTGAATTTGCTTTTGAGAAGAAGATATATATAGAGCGATCTTGTTGGAGAACAATGGCCACTCCTTCTCCCCATCGAACACAGAGTTTGTTCTTAAGCGTGTAAGGCGCTCATTCCTTTTTTTTGAATAGGGACGCCTTCACATCGTATAGTTATACAAGTTGACTTTGTATTGCGGACAACCAGATCATCCGAGTCAGTGTTTCTGCCACTGGGGGCATGGACTCAGCCTGCAAAACTCGACGGTATTTTTGCCAAAACAATTAATGTCAATTAGCAAAAATGATCAGATTTCAACATCATCATCAAAACCAATTTATACAAAAATACCCACAACACAAACAGTAGAATCCAAGCCGATATGGCAACGTCGATTGAATGCAAAAAGAAAGCAGCTAGATTTGCTTTACTTGTGCATGTCACAAACAAAGGTTGCCATGATTGCCTCAGAAACTGATCCCATCACGGGGACAGTACCACCGAGAAAGCGGCTAAGTCTCATACCATTATGGCAAAGACGTTTGGATTCCAGAAAGAAACAGCTAGAGCATCTTTATGACTCTCTGTCCAAGCGGAACACATGCAGTGCAAGCGAAGATGCAATTGTCCAAGCCAGTCAAACAGAAGCACTCTTTGCTCCCATTCAGATCGATTCTCCATCAAGTGAAGTGGGCAAGTATCTGACCTTTTCACCGACAGAGACGTCGTCTGAAGACACCAATCCTATCGCAACAGCCATCCCGGAGCCTGAAGACGTGGACATGGACTTTAGCCTTAGTGCCGCTTCGGAAGAAGATCCAGCTACAGTATCAAATGCCGATAATCTAGGTTTTTTCTCGGTTGGGCTATTGATGGCTGAGATGTATCCCCAGTCAGACCGAGTGAAAGCAAAGATGGAAGACCCGCTAGACGGTCAAGATGATCAAACTTCGAATAATTTGTCGAAAGGGAAACAGCGAAGCACAGATGAGCCCTCTCATGACGTTCAACGACGTGATTCGGCTTTGAGTCAAGATACGACTTCCAGTAACCATGACTCGCACAGCGGAGGAGAGTCATCGAAACATGGACCCGCAAGGGAAAGCAATTCCGGACGTTACGTTTGCCCACATCCTGGCTGCGGAAAGGTTTTTGCAAGGCAATTTCACGTTCGAAGGCACATTCTTACCCATGATAATAACAAACCCTTTCAATGTCCTCATCAAGGCTGCCATGCACGTTTTACACGTAGTGATAATTGCGCACAACATCAAAGGACAAAGCACGGTTTTAGGATGTGATCATGGTTGGGAGGTAGGGAGAAGGAAACCGAATAAGAAAGGAAAACAAACTAATCAATAGAGGAGGACCAGGTATATCATGCATGTAGAATACCAAAAATGTAAAGATACGGTTTGACAGCCACCACAATACATAAAATTTATACTACTTTCACTCTATGGTGATGAGTTTGGTAAATAAGCCATAAATTTTTCCAGAATGCCCTTCAGTTATAATAATACAAACATCTCTCGTGAAAATACAATAGTAGGAGTAGAACAAGGTCTGCCGCCACTCTGAAAAAATCAATCAAAAGAGCTTTCGATCCTACCAATGTTGCTGTACATACGAGAGTACGATAACGGGAATGCATGCTGACGATCAGGCCCAACAGCGTCCCAACCGGGATCCACAGAAAACACTCTACCTTGTACGTATTTACCTACTTTTGCTTCACTATGACCGATATCAATTTCAAATGCTTTTCGTTTTTGTTCAGATTCATCAAAAGAATCATGAACGGCAATCGTTCCAATCGTAGTTTCAAATTCAACTTTGCCTTGAAATGCACTCGAATGTGCAACATTCACCAAGCCCGTCATACTTGTTACTTCGGATAACAATTGCGTTTCTGTATCTTGATCTATAAACTTTACAGACGTTGATCCTACTTGAGTGAATGCCGCTACTTGCAACTTTCGCCAAGATGTCGTGCATGATTGTTCTGCAAGGATTTCCTGTTCTTTGCTAGGATCTAGGATCGCTAATAGACCACTACTTCTCAGACGCTCTTTATAAGTATCTCTACTCGCAATCACGTCAACTTCGACCATTGCTGTAGTAGTCTTGAGCGAAAGGTTGTCATATGCACTAAATTGTCCTCTCAAAGAGCCTTCTCGGCTTGCACAAGACACCTTTTTCGCTACCGCAACTTGAGTGACATTTATACCTCCATTTATAGTCGAAAGATTGACTTCATCAACAGCTATGATTGTCGAGAGTTGAATCGAGCCATTTTGCGAAACAATTGAAATCTTTGGGGCTGCGATTGTAAGTGTAGATGTTTTTGACGAAAGAAAATCGGAAATTTGGCCTAAAGAAGAGAGTAAGACGATAGACTCATTTGCCAATAAGTTCATCCTTAAAGTAATACCCGGTATTCTTGTATTTGCAACAATTTTAGAAAAAGATAATTTGGAGGATGAATTTGATCCATCGAAGATTATTTGTAGATTATCGGTAAACAGATCCAAGCCGGGAATATACGAACTCCCATCTCTGGCCAAGCCGACGGGAGTGCGGTAGATCGGTTCAGGAAGGTAAGCTATGATTGTGAGGTTTACAAATCTATTGATCCTTGTTCCCATCTCTCCTGATTGTAAGCTGATACCTTCGCTTATAATTTGATTGTCCCTTTCCTCTCTCGTCTTGTTTAAGCTGATCAGATCAAGAAGGTCTCTATGCGTGAACCTCGCTTGTATGACAACACCGATTCTATTCATTCCCGCATCACCATGTATCGATTTCCATTCATCTTCTCTAAGCTCACTTGAAGATCCTATCCGAAGCCAACCATTATACCCCGTCCCATTTGCTCTTATAAACGTTGCAGTGCTTGCTGATAGGGAAAATGATGCGCTACAGGTGTATTGTGGAATATGAGGCGAAAGCCATACTTTTTGTGGAACATTTTCTACTTCTGACCAAGAAGGACCTTGAATAGGCTGGCAAAGTACATCATTATTCCCCCTGCTTGTCGTTATACTTGCAACTTCTTCATATGCTGGAGGCGCTTGCGTCCATAATGTATCATTCCTGGCAGCATACTCTTCCGCCTCTCTACGTCTTGAGCTTTGTTCTGCCTCTTGATTTGCTTCTATAGCTTTTGTATTGATAATTGCCATCTGGGTCCTTGTGAGAGAGAGATAGGAAATGATGATAAAATATAAGGGAGTTGCCCTAGAAATGTAGCTTTACTTTAAATATAAACACTTAAGGTAGTGGGGTTAGGCAGTTTACCTGCTTACTTTTTCATATGCAAAGCAATGTAGACGCATGAGCATCTTAGGCGTTTAAAGAGCATGCTCAGCGCTACCCAATCGTTTGCCTTTACAACGATCAAAGGATACAAGACTTATGATTCGACTTGCTTTGATATGTTGTAAATGAGATTCTACTCTATATCTCTTTCATTTATAGCGAGAGCATCGGATCCGTCTCTAGAGAAAATTAGACCTTTTTATTGCGGGCACGGCACGGCACTGTTTGGCTTCGCAATTTGCGGGGTAAGATGGATTGAAGATATCTTATTCAGTGCACACGCTTCTCGTCTGGTTTAGACGAGACCACCATTAACTCCAATTAGTAAGATGGGATGGCGAAGGAATAAAGGTGAGGACACGATCCAACCATTAGACTCATATAATCCTTCAGATAAGAGTTCAAAGCATCTAAATAAACTTGAGATTCCATCGAAAGTCAAAGTCTATTCGCATTCCGAAATCGCAAAGCAAAACGGAGAAGATTCTCAGTATGTCTGTAAGTAAGAGAGAACTAATCTGTTGGTGGGTTTACCAAGTCTTACAGATGATGACAAACAGGGATCGTGATTGGACACGATATTTACGATGTAACGGAGTTTCTGCAGCAAGTGAGTATGACCAACTTTTTAACACATAATTTTTAACGTATTTATTCCATGTATTTTTCACCCTTCAGGTCCATCCGGGTGGACCAGAAGTCATCAAAGCTTTTGCTGGCAAGCAGTGCGACTGGCAGGTAAAGTTCTAAGAATTTGACAGACGAGGTGAAGAACGAGCTAAACCTTTTCTGTTCGCTTTTCAATCCTCAGTTTGAACTCTGTGAGTTTCAAAAAGGGCTCTTTGCAGCAAATGTATAAAAGAGTATGACTAAACATCTGACATTTTTCTCTAACTGAAGTTCATCGTGAAGAGCATCTTTTAGCATATAAATCTAGTCTTCTCATCGGAAAGACAGATTCGTATCTAAACAATCCGTTTCCGCGGCCACCAAGAGAATTGAAATCAAGCTGGAGGGTAGAATAGCAGATTTTATTGACACATGGGTATACTATCGAAATATGAAAAGACTGTTTGTGTGGTTAAGCATTAAAGAGGAAAGTACAGATCGCCTGTGACACTGCTGCGGGATTTTCAATGGCATGCCAATGACCTATGTCCTCCACCTGATGTACTTTCGTTGTCTGGCTTATGGCTTTGCTGAGTTTCGCTATACTAGGAGGAGGCGCCGTCTTATCGTCACTTCCAGATATAATAAGCGTGGCAGCTTTGATAGAGCCATAATTAGGGTCATGTGCAGAAGCCAAAGCTTTACAGGCATTGCTATACCCTAGGCTGTTTGTTAACATGATTGACTGTCGAACAAAAGCGATACAAAGAGGATTTTGATTCTTACTTTGCTCCGACAATCCTACTTGACAGATTGTATTCACGATACTGGACATACCCTTACGTTCTACCAACTGCGCTCTTGCTCGCATGGCTTCTTGCCCAGCTGCACCTAGAGCCTGTACGGGTCCAAGCAGTATTAATTTCTCGACGTTGTATTCGTCCAAAGCTGCAAATGTGGTTGCAATAAGCCCGCCCAGGCTATGACCGAAAAGCACGATAGGGACAGATTTCGAAATTTCCAAGTAATCCAACAAGTAACGAATATCTTCTACCAAACTATTGACACTGAGTTTCTCATTGTTTGACATTGGTGTGAGACCGTGACCTTCCCAGTCAATTAGAATGATATTATGATTTTCTTCCAATTTTCCCAAGGCGATGATAGCATCGAAAAAGTGTAAATTCCCACCTAGACCATGAACAAAAAGTGCAATAGGGCCTTGAGTTGTTCCCTTTTGTTCTAAATGATACAGCTTACCGTTTTTCAACTGAACCAAGTCTGTCATTTTGATACTTTGTCAATTGGTTTCAGCAATGATGAGTGTGAATATCTAAAATTCGACCCCCTCAACTTTCTCATTGACAAGGCAAATTGTACATGCCCTTTTCGGCTATAGAATGCCTCTCAATAAGATCAGAGTGAAAACACAGGCTGGCAAAGTGCAGCACTTCAAATAAGCGCTATTCAATCGTAATTGCTACAAAGAAAGGTTGTCAATCTCTACTGCAATACATTCCGTGCACCCAAAAAATCATTACACTTTTTGTGGGGTAAAAAACCGGCGCCGTTGACGCAAACACCATCTTTTGGTGTGAATTAATCTTTTCCCCCATTTCCGTTCATCGGACCCTGTAATACAACTGTACATTGTCAGCTTTTGTCATGTTTGTGTACGTAAGAATTTTTCTTGACTCGCACTTTATATTTAACTTTACAGCATTGACCGATTTCAGCTGTCTGTATACTTCTACTAACTCGTGACCCCGTGAAGAGGTGTACTTTGAAGGAAAAGTATTGCTAAATAAGTCGATAGATTTCATCTAATTTTGAATCAGTCCCACACTTCTTTCCTCTCCCTCTCTATCTTTAAAGATGCCATCAGTCCTAACAGATCCGAACAAAACCCGCTCAGGACTTCCTCATCCTGGATTCTACAGCTTTGACGTCACGGAATATGCACCCAAGAATTCAACGTGGAAGGTTCCATCGTGGGCACGTCAAGATGGTAAAAAATCGTACGGAAAAGAAGATATCAAAACGGTGAATGGTCTTGGGGATAAGTGGGATATGTTTCATCCTACAATCAAAGAAATCGATTTGACAAAGCCTGATCCAAGGATCAAAATACCTGTCAGAGAGATGGCAGGAACGGAAAAAGATAGTTTGATCCTGTTCAAAGATGTGAATATCATCGATTCTACTGGACGTGAACCATACTTATCAAGTGTCTTAGTACACGGGGAACGTATTGCCGAAATTGGTCAAGTAAATGAAAGCTTATACGAAGGCGTTAAAGTGATCGAAGGTAAGGGTCGATTTTTAATGAGTGGTCTTGTAGATGCACATACTCACTTTACCTGGACGAATGCTGGTAATCTCGACGCTCTGGCAACGATGGGTGTGGAAGAGCATGCTCTTTTTTCTGCCCGTTCGGCACGAACTTTTCTTGACTGTGGTTATACAATGTGTTTTGGAGCAGCTTCGGCTAAGCAAAGGATTGAAACAGTCTTGAGAAATGCCATTTACGAGAATGAGATCCCTGGACCAAGAATCTTAGCAAATGGAATGGAAATGGCACCAAGAGAAGGAGCTTTGATCGCCGGGATCACAGCTTTTGCTGACACAGATGAGGAGATTTTACAGCAAATCAAAATGCACGTCGATACTGGTGTTGATAATATCAAACTAAGCATGTCTGGCGAAGAGATCACAGAAACCCTTCGCGCTGAAGATACAGTGTTCCCGGATAAGCATGTTCATGTAGCTGTCGAAGCAGCTCATGCAGCTGGTAAACGTGTTTGCGGTCATGCAAGAAGCGATGAGTCAATACTTCAATGCTTGCAGTACGGAGTTGATGTGATCTACCATGCCAGTTTTATCAGTGATCAAACCATGGACGCATTGGAAGCACAAAAGGATCGAGTCTTCGTTGCTCCTGCTATTAATTGGATCGTGGCCACGCTCAATGATGCCGTTGCTTTCGGTTATACTCCATCTAAAGCCGAATCTGTTGGCTATAAACGTGAATTGGAAGTCGCACTCTCTGGCTTACGTGAAATGCGTAAACGTGGGATCAAAGTGTTGCCGGGTGGCGATTATGGCTTCGCTTGGTGTCCTCATGGAACACAACGTGATCTTGAGCATTTCGTTAATTTGATGGGGTATTCAAATATGGAAGCGATTATTGCAGCAACAGCATGGGGCGGCGAGCTGATGGGTCAACCAAACGAATTGGGCAAGGTCCTGCCTGGCTATTATGCTGATCTTTTATTGGTGAACGGAAATCCTCTACAAGACATCTCGCTTTTAAGCAAGCAGGGAAAACATCTTGATGTGATTCTCATCAACGGTAGAGTCCATAAACTGCTCTCTGACTAAAAGGTCGATGATGTTTCTCATGGCCATTGAAGCGGGGGAAACTATTTTTTGAAACTTTTTTGTACATTTTCTAATTTCTGCTATGGAGATTACAACGAGTCTGATCAAATCTTGTGACGATGATGTGATCTGTTTGCACGTATTAACTCTTTACGGTACCGACTGTCATTTAGGGTAATGTGCCAATCAGTAAGCAGATTCACTTGAAGATAGAGGCTCCGAAACAAAGATAAAAGGCAATGCATGCTAGAATAAAAATGCGACCACGGCACCGTATCTTTACCCCCAAGCTTCATTTCGAAAGAAGAGCCCTTTGAAAGCTTTATGAAGCACAAAGCTTGACTTTATCACATCATCTCCATCCGCATTTTTCGGGTCAAGAGAAGTCAATCATGGCTGCAAATCGCACGACAGACGACAAAAGAACATCGTGAGTTATTATGTATTCCAATATCCCCCACCCTGACATGATCACGACCGGTGATGTTGATTATCTCATCCAAAGTGACCGGAGAATGATTAGCGTTTTGTTTATGCGCTAGTCAAGAGATTCCCGTGAAAGAAGATGATCATTTTTAAAGTTTATTCCTGAGCTGCTTCTCTGAAACACTTGAACTATGTTCGGAAGATTTATTTATAATCCTGATTGGGCTATATTTGGGCAGATAAACGCTTTTTGCCTACGGCGATTTAGCCGGCCTCTTTTTGCGGAGCCCCGGTTTTCAAGAATATGAGATTGCCGGTTCTTGGCAAAAGAATTCGTGATGAAGATGATCACTTGTCGTGATGGTATATAATGAGGCTTGCTGTTGATAAAAATTTATACTGACAATGACTAACAACAATCTCCCCAAAATGCCTCACACATTCTCCCTCCTTCTCGTTTTCTGTTTGGCAATTTCATTGCACAGCAATTTCCTTTCACCCTCTTCCTCCGGTTTGGCACGTGCTTTTCCATTAGAGAAGCGAGCAGAAGCACAAACATTGACGATTTCAGGACAATCTGTTCGCGAATCAAAGTTTGGATTAGGTGTTTTCATCGAGAACAACATCAATTATGGAACTGATGGTGGTATCTATGCAGAATTAATCCGTAACCGTGCTTTTCAAGATGGAGGCAACTCGGACAATGTTGGATCAGGAACTCTTGAATTTTGGTCTGAGAACGGGGATGCAAGTTTAACCTTGACAGAAGAAAGTCCTTTATCTGATGCATTGCCAAAGTCTGTCCTTGTTGGTGGAAAGAATTCTACGTCTACTTAAGGGCTAAGGAACACGGGTTTCTTTGGTATCCCTGTGAAGAAGCAAGACTACACAGTCTCATTCTATGCCCGCTCCAATGCATCTTCCACCGTTCAATTCACAGCAGGTCTATATAACAAAGATAATTCCAAAACATATTCTAGCATGCAATACGAAGCAGGCTTGACTTCCGAATGGAAGCAATTCACCTTCACGCTGTCGAACGAAGCTGATTCCACCGCTTACGATAATACCTTTGGTCTTGATGTCGCAAAAGGAAGCCCTGACGTTTAACTTAATCTTATCAGTGTTTTTCCACCAACATGGGAAGGTACGACTGCCCGTCAAGATCTCGCACAACTACTTGCCGATCTTAAACCAATTTATTTCCGTTTACCAGGTGGCAATACGCTGGAAGGAAATTCGCTTAAACAAAGATTTGTTTGGAATAATACCGTTGGAAGCTTGCCAACTCGACCAGGCAGAAAAGGAACTTGGGCCGGGTGGGATACCGATGGCTATGGATTACATGAGGCGTACGATTTATTCACAAAGATGGGAGCAGAGCCAATCTTGGGCGTTTTTGCTGGATATACGTTGAATGGAGTGGCAGTTCCACAAGATCAATTACAGCCTTACGTTGATTCAGTCTCTGATGAGATTAATTATTTGACCGATACTTCAGGCACCTGGGCCGACAAACGTACAGCTGATGGCCAGGCAGATCCTTGGAAACTTCCCTGGGTCGAAATTGGTAACGAAGATTACTTGTCTACGGTCGGTAATGATACGTATAATGAATATCGATATGATGCATTCAGTGAAGCTGTCAAATCTGCAAACAATCAACCTGGCATCATCTCTAGCTCTGCTTATTATACACCAAAAGATAAATTACAAGCAATCGATCAACACGATTATGACGTCCCACAAAGCCTCATTCAGCGCTGGTCCGAACGTGATTCATGGCCGAGAAATGGTACACAAATTCCGGAATTAGAATTCAGTGCATTGAATAGTGGTCTATGCTCTGGCGACATTTATAACAATGAATGCCGATTGAAAGACCCAACACTAATGGGAGCACTTTCAGAAGCTACATTTATGATGGGTTTGGAGAGAAATGGTGATATAAGCTTTTCGGCAATGTATGCGCCTTTGTTCAAAAATGAAGCATCATCACAATGGACTCCGGATTTAATCGCTTTTGATATCTTGAATAGTGTCAAAACGACTTCATACTATACACAGTATGGCTTTGGTAACAATCGAATCGCTCAAGTGCACAATGTTACTGCAACTATGGCTCCTGGTCCAGTTTATTGGAGTGTAGGCACACCACAAGAGAAACCAGATCAATTCGTTATCAAACTGACAAATGTCGAAGACTCACCCCAAGATGTTGTCATTCAGTTAGAGAATGGAAAAGCATTCACCCTATCTGATGAAGCTCAATTATGGCAAATGGCGGGTACAGATGCTCAAGCGGCTAATACCATCTCTTCACCCAACACGATCGTACCTACGCAACGTGCTATCTCTGCCTCGGATCTCGTAAACGGTGCCTTACACCTCACTTTGCCAGCCTATTCCTTTGCTATTGTAAATATCAACTCTTCATAAACATGATTTTATCCAAACTTTAATTTAATGTATTGCTCTGTTTGATCTTCGGCAAAACATTCACTTACCAGGAACAAAAGAGAGTAAGAACCGGCGTCTTTTTGAAAATGCAATTGGGTTACAAACACACGATGACGCTTCCGCGGATCGTTAGTGAATTAAATCGTGGGGGACGGTTCGATTGTTGCATGCTTCTGTCGATCCGCCGTTGCCATGACACAAATCACCGTCTTCCACTCAAGATTGCCGATTTTACTCCACGTTTTTAGCGTGAATAGAATGCGCTAAAGAAAAACAAATGACAAAGTTTTGCGAAAAGAAGCTTTCCTTCTAGCAAGTCTGGAAAGAATAGTGGAGATATCCGACTTTGAGAGGAACATATAAATACAATGCTAATTTCACTTTTCAATTCGATGCATTCCCAGCTTCCCACTCCCCTTACTGCTCGCAATCATGCTTCCTAGCAAGAGGACAGCGCAAAGCTGGCTAGCCTTGATTGGCTTTGTCTCGCTGATTTATCAAGCAACACTCATCAATTCATTGCCTTCACCAAAGTCATTCACAGATCTTCAATCACGTCAAGCAAGCAGCGCTTCTGTTGTCTCATGGGATAAAAATACATTCACAATTGCAGGAGAAAAACTTCATATAAACTCGTTCGAATTTCATCCTTGGAGATTACCCGTTCCAAAGTTATGGCGTGATCCATTACAAAAACTCAAAGCTGCAGGCTACAACACAGTCTCTATCTATACTCATTGGGCTTTAATTATGCCTTCGCCCGATGCATCTTCTGTCTCATTAGATGCCCCAGCTAATCAATTAGCTGAATTCTTAACGATTGCCAAAGAAGTTGGTCTTTTCGTCATCTTACGTCCTGGTCCTTACATCAACGCAGAAACAACTGGAGGTGGAATGCCAGGCTGGGTACAAAACCTTGATACGGAATTGCGTACAAACACAACTGTTTTCGACAATGCTTGGGCTCCATACATGAAAGCAATCGTTGACGCTGCCGTTCCGTTCCAAATTAAAGCCGGCTCTTCAGATAATAGCATTGATACCTCTGGCGGTACACTCTTGGGCGTTCAAGTTGAAAATGAATTCAGTGATGATCAAGCACAATCTGAATACTTTACTCAAATTATGGATTTCTATCGTGCAAATGGAGTTAATGTTCCAACGACATTCAACGCTCTTAGCGGTACGGATGACTATGATAACAACACCCAATTAGATATTTGGGGTCAAGATAGTTACCCTCAAGGCTTCAATTGTGCAAATCCTACAAAATGGTCAGCTGTTTCCAACTATACAGACTTAAATCAACTACGACCATCAAATCCCGCTTCTATTCCAGAATTCCAAGGCGGAAGTTACGACGCTTGGGGAGGAAGTACGTACGATGCATGTGCTTCCTTGACAAACAGCAGCTTCGTCCGTGTTTTCGACAAATCCGCCTTGGGTGATGGTGTGAAGTTCTTGTCGAGATATATGGGATACGGAGGTACGAATTGGGGAAACTTGGCTTTCGGTGGCTTGGTCTACACAAGTTATGATTACGGAGCGGGTTTGAACGAAAAGAGAATTATTCGTGAAAAGCTTCGTGAATCGACGTTGCTAGGATCTTTCTTGCAATCTTTCCCAAGTTTTTCAAATTCTGATGTCCAATTAGAAGGTACGAATTTAGGCATTTCTCAACAATCGGAAGATATTGCCGTGTCACACCTTAAACAAATCGACGGCGGAAACACTTCTTGGTACCTCGTTCGTCATGGCGATTCTACCTCAAGCTCGATTGCAACCTTCCGCTTAGATGTTGATATGGGGAATGGTAATACAACAACCATCCCACAACAAGGTAAAATGTCTCTGATCGGTAGAGATGCTATTATGGTTCCTGTAAATGCGCCTTTCCCAAGTTCTGGCTTGACATTAAACTATAGTACATCAGACGTGACTTTCATGGGTACCGTTGGCCAACAAGACGTGATGGTTTTGCACGGCTTTGCTGGTTACACGTACGAATTCGCATTGGCTGGAGGCTTGACGGCAAATTCTACAGATTCATCTGTTAAAATTCAACAAGTTGGTATTGGCGCTACAATCCAATGGACACCTGCTCAAAATGCTGCTCAGAATGTTCAAGTGAAAACATCTGATGGAAAGCAAGTTTTGATTCGTTTGGTGGATATTGAATATGCTCAAGCTCTAGGATTCCCTTCCACTGCATCAGTTGCCACACTTGATGGTATCTTGGGTCGTGGAGATCGTGTCGTTGTTCATGGTGCATATCACATTGCAAATGCAACTTTGAGCAGTGACGGAAGTACTCTCGCTCTTGCCGGTAGTTTGAACGGAACGTCAGCATCCAACTTGGATATTATTGCACCTGAAAGTGTCAAGCAAGTCACATTCAATGGAGGTAAGCCGACATCATCTTCTTCAAACGATCAAAGTTTACAAGCTTCATTCGCAGCAGCACCACAAGATGTTTTATCCTACGAAGCACCAGCTCTTTCGAACTGGAAATACCAGGATTCTTTGCCTGAAATTCAGTCAGGTTTCAAGCCTGATAGTAATTGGCAATCAGCAAATCTGACGAAAACTCCCAATGCTTGGTTCGCCAGTGCAAATACAACAAACGTTCTCTTTGCTGATGCATATGGATTCCATTCAGGTGGTGCAATTCTTTGGCAAGGTCGCTTCAACGGTTCATCCGTTCAAGCTGATCAACTTCAAGTCAACTATATCGGCGGCAAATTCTTCTCTTCTTCGACATTTTTGAACGGTAAATTCGTCGGTGCAACAAATGTACCTTCAGATTCAACAGAAGCATCTGCAACTTTCACTTTGAATATAGACATGTTTGTCGATGGTGAAAACGTGTTTACCGTTTTGATGGATTCGACCGGACTACAAGAAGATGGCGGAACAGTGACAAACGTAAGCGGCTATCAATATCCACAAGAAGATACAAAGCAACCAAGAGGAATTTTAACATTTGACATCCTAAGCGGTGGCAAAGCACAAACTGATTTGAAATTAGATTGGATCGTGACGGGCAATCAGGGTGGTCAGAACCTTTTGGATAAAGTCCGTGGTCCTCTGAACGAAGGAGGATTTTATGGCGAAAGACAAGGCTGGCATTTGCCTGGATTCGATGATTCGAAATGGTCTACGACCGACCCAACTACCACAGAAGGTGGTGTGAACGGTTCAAGCGTTCGTTTCTACCGTACCAGTGTTTCGCTCAATATCCCTGATGGATATGATGTTCCAATATCTATGGTGTATGGTGGAAATGCAAGCGATTCTTCTCAAACCTGGAAGAGCTTATTCTTCATCAACGGTTGGCAATACGGTAAGCGATTTGTACAATTCGGACCACAAACAAATTTCCCAATCCCTCCCGGTATTCTCGATCCTAAAGGAGATAACACAATCGCTGTCGCTCTTTGGTCACCAGATTCAAAAGGAGCTACTCTGCCAAAATTGAGTTTGGAGAAGCAAGGAGTATTTGTTGGACCTGTTGATTATTCCGTCAACAATCCTACCTACCAACAAGTTCGTGGTTAAATCTTTTCATAACATCCTATTGCGAAATACTGCAAATTGAATTAATGACATTCCTGATAACGAATAGAGCGGTGAGATATTGATTAATTGAATTATGCTGGCACACCTTTCCTTCCTTCAAATGAGGTATGTTTTGAGTCGGTCTTTTGAGCGGGAGGTTCACCTCCCCCATTTCTGCGCTTGATATCCTCATTCTCAAAGTATGCGATAGCTTCATCTCTTGTCAATCCCCAGCTCTTTCCTCTGAGTTGAGGGGAGGGATCACCATAAGCAAAAGGATTGAAATCTGAAGGCTTGAGTTCGGCAAAGGTATGATTGATGTAACGATGATTGGCCTCGTCAGCACGCAAGAAACGCATCACGTCTAGTATTTGTGCATTCTTCTCCAATCCCCAATAATCGATTGCAATTTGAGGAGCGGGATAATTATCCCATTCGGGCAAGCGACCTTCTTTGATATCATCGATGATGCGGGAGTAACTGAAAGGAGTGAATGGTAGCTAGTTAGTCATTTTTTTTTTAATTTATAATTGCCACAATGTATACTCACGTCAAAACAGCTTCTTCTTCCAATATACCAACAAATCGATGTGCAACTCGAGGAGCGATTAGATAAAAGACAAAGAAGAAGTTCCAAAAGATACCCTGAGTAATGATTAAGAATGAACGCATAAACCATCCAGGATCGTACATCTTGAGTGCGACTAAAAGATGTTGTCTTTCGTTTGCTGCGTCTGCCAACATTGTATTAATCCAACCACCATCACGTCTTAGCAAGCGAAGGCTGTGCAAATGTCGCAATACGGCTGCTACCATACCTGGCACGCCAGCTACACTTTCTAAGAATACTATCCGTATTAGCCAATCATCTGGTCCGAAACATAAATGACGTTTTCGCATTTCTCCCAATTCCATTTCTTCGGGAAGTTGATCTTTTGTGGAAGAATGTTTTTTTAACAGAAACAGCCGCTTGTTCTTCATACTTTGGTAATCCAACTTTGACCAGAGTTTTCTCTGATCCTTTTACACGTGGAAAACGTTCTCTATGCTTTGGATAACGTGTTGCCACATCGAAGAAGTATCGCATAAAGTTTACCATGAATGCTGCAATACGGTCACCAAAGCCGGTCAGCTTTCTATGTACCACTTTGACGCTGTCCAAATCTTCATTTGTGTAGGTTGCATGATGCATTGCCCATCCAGGTTCATGTGTATCACGTAAAACAGTTTCAGGAATCTTTCCAACTTTTAAAGTTGACGATGGTGGCATTCCAGTCGTGACCGGCTTTTTTACATTTGTGATAGAGGATGAGCTGCTGTCGTCTTGTTGAGTAAGGGGTGAAGATGTATGCAGTAGATATTTTTGCTTAATCCACATTTGGTCAAATGAGATGAACGAAGGATGCTCAACGTTGATCCCACCAGGAATGGCTGACCGCCGGAGCGGAGTAAGATTGGAGTGATTGTTGTCATGAGGATGATTTCTGAGTTGATAGTATTTTAGTTATTGTCCGAAGAGGTTATCCTATTTATATCTTCACATACGGAAGATTCCGTGGATCACATGGAGAATAAGGAGCATTGCGGATGAATTCCATGGACATGACTAAACTACATATCCGCCCCATTGGTTGATCAGCCTTAAAAAAGCCACGAGGTACAAAGGTGCATGCTAAGCAATTCATCAGTAAAGAACATATTGATCAGCCAATTGGCGTATTTCTCCAAGCTAAAAAAGAAAAAGAGCCCGTTGGGTCCTGACGCGGATTCCCGATTGCCCATATTCTGCCGACAACCAGACACGATTTCACCCGTGCTTATATAAATTAAACAATATGACTCAGAACCATTACAATGAGTTATTCTTACCTTGAGGTAAGCGGCAAGCGCTGCTCAACACGATTGATCTGAATCTTTTATCGAAATCACTTACCGATCGCGATGATAGGCTTGGAACGTTTAGAGTAACAGGAATTTTTATAACTTACAATAATAGGAGTCGAGATCAAGTTAACAAGCTTTCGGAAATGTTTTAGTTGTTATATGCCATAATCATAAGATTTATTTCTTGAACGAAAGTTGGCTATGAGATCGAATTTCAATATGATCTTAGTCAGCAATGAACCCTTTCTTTATCTTTCTTACAAAAGATCGAGCTTGGCTTGTTATTTATAGAACCGCTGTTTTGAAGTTTTGACAGATGATGGCTATACACAGCATGTAAGAATGTTTACGTACATTTTACCGCGTTTATGCTGTGCAACAAACAATCCCAAGGCACAGGAACACTATCCGATTTGCCAAGATTTTGCCAAGACTTCTCCGCCTCCACGGTATATGAACAGATCCCTACACAGCCATAAATGATCAAAAGAGCTATATAAAAGACTCTCAATACCATCCTGACTTCTAATTGATTCCCTCGTAGAACGTGATTCAAAAACTATCAAAAAATACTACATCTTTATTCTTCTTTCTTGGAAGAATATCAACCTTGTCAACGTATCCTTTATCGTATTTGTTCCTTTCAAGAGCCTTTGAATTTGTAGTCAACGCATGGCAAACCGTGTGGATGGAAAAGCATTGACTAGCAACGGAATTGGAAAAGCAACAACCTATGTTCCATCAACTGAAGCATGCACTGAAGAAGAAGGAGAGCCACCAAATATAGTTGTCCAAATTACTGAAAGTAATCCAAGCAGCGATGCAAGTTCATTACGATCAATCCCTTCCATTGGGACAGTGGAAAATGTTGCAGAAAAACAAACCATCAGCGATGCCAAATACATCGTCCCAATTACTACCACTACCGCACATATCCAACAAGCCACGACCGAAGCAAAAATTGATTTGCATCGACCACATACCTTAACAACTGAAGAAACTCTCAATGTTTTTAAAGTTGATTTTCAAAACGGTTTAGCCACCCAAGAAGCCAAAGCAAGATCGGAAACAAACGGTCAAAACGTTATCCGTGAAGCAAAAGGCGTTAGCATCTGGTCAATTGCTCTACGTCAAGTCGCCAATGCCCTTACAGTGATCTTGCTGGCCGCCATGGCTCTCTCTTTTGGTGTTCAAGATTGGGTAGAAGGTGGTGTGGTGAGCGCAGTGATTGTGGTGAATGTCGTAATCGGCTTTGTACAAGAATACAAAGCGGAAAACGCTCTCGCCTCTTTACGTTCACTCTCTTCACCTACTTCTTCTGTCATTCGTGATCAAGGCAAAATTCAAGAAATTGATGCACGTCAAGTGGTAGTAGGAGATATCGTTCACTTCAAAACAGGTGACGTGGTTCCAGCTGATGTACGAATTATCACTTTGTCAAGCCTGGAGATTGATGAAGCACCCCTTACAGGTGAAAGTGTTCCTGTACTCAAGACTAGTGATGCTCTTCATGATGTTGCAGCAGCACCACTTCCACCAGCAGACCGTACCAACCTTGCATTTGCAGGCACAACTGTTACCAAAGGTCGCGGTGCAGGTGTTGTGGTCGCGATTGGAATGCAAACACAAATCGGTCAAATCGCAGCAGCTTTGGACAAAAAGAATGCCAACAAGCATCACCTCAAAAAAGCTGATGGTAGTCCAGCTGCATGGTACGTTCGCGCTTGGGAGCCTGTTGCAAAACTTCTTGGATTACGAGACGGTACTCCACTACAACGTAAGCTTTCACGTTTTGCATTGATCTTATTGGGTCTCGCAGTCATTTGTGCAATTATCGTGTTTGCAGTCGCAGAATTTGACTTGAGCGACGATGTTATCTTATATGCGATCGCATTGGGTATTGGAGTTTTACCGGAAAGTTTAGTGGCCGTCTTAACAATTACATTCTCCGTTGGTGCAAAACGAATGGCAAATTCAAATGTGATCGTACGTAAGCTTGAAGCGTTAGAAGCTTTAGGTGGCGTGACGGATATTTGTTCAGATAAAACTGGTACTTTGACCCATGGCAAAATGATCGTCGATAAGATTTGGACGCCAAGTGGTAGAACATTGTCCGTCGAGAAAGGAGGTACCTCCGTTCTAGAGCCCGTTGGTCAATTAGTCGGTAATGACAAGGAGAAGATCGACAATGGTGATATTGATGCGGCCACCAGACAATTGTGTTTAGCCGCTTGCTTGTGCAACGTTGCCCAAATTTGGTACGATGAAGAAGCTAAGCAGTGGGCATCTCGTGGTGATCCAACAGAGGTAGCATTGCAAGTTCTCGCACGAAAGGTGGACATGGATCGGGAAGAATTACTGAAAAGTAGATTTACCTTTGAACAAGAACATGCATTTGATTCAACAACCAAACGAATGACAATGATGTTCACTGCCAAAGATGAACACGACAAGCAATTGTTTATGAAAGGTGCTCCTGAACGTGTTTTGGAATGCTGTTCAACATATTCACCTGCTAATTCGAGTAGTGACATTGCAACCTCTCTTGAGCAACAAGTCAAACAAAATATCTTGGATCAAATGGAAACCTTGGCATCTCAAGGACTGCGTGTGCTGGCATTTGCAAGTAGAAAGGTGGATGTGGACTTATTGCGCAAGAACAACAACAAGTACATATCTTCTTCCTCCATTCAACTCGATCAACCTGAAAAAGGTGATCAAAGTGAATTAGCCCACGGACAATTGCCTCGCTCTGAAGCCGAGCAAGATTTCCATTTTGTTGGTTTGTGCGGTTTATATGACCCACCAAGGAATGAAACATATGGTTCAGTAAAATCTTGTCAAAATGCCGGCATTATCGTAAGAATGATTACCGGTGATCACATTGCAACTGCACGTGCGATTGCAAAAGAAGTTGGAATTTTGGATGGAAGTGAATGTGAAAGTGCAGTGATGAGCGCTGGTGATTTCGATCAATTATCCGAACAACAAATTGATGCTTTGCCCACATTGCCTCTAGTCGTTGCACGATGTTCACCGACAACCAAAGTTCGAATGATCGCAGCAGGAGCAAGAAGAGGCAGATTACTCGCCATGACTGGTGACGGTATCAATGATGCTCCCGCTTTACTAAACGCTCCAATTGGTATTGCAATGGGAAGTGGAACTGATGTCGCAAAAGACTCGGCAGAATTGATTTTAACCGATGATAAGTTCGACAACATCGCAAAAGCAGTCAAGGAAGGTAGAACGGTTTTCAAGAATATTCAACGTTTCATGATCGCCCTTTTGGTCTTGAATGTTGCAGAAGTCCTGCTATTGTTAATCGGTTTGGCCTTGCGTGACGCAAAAGATGATTCAATCTTCCCCATTTCGCCGATCGGTGTTTTGTTCTTGAACTTGATTGCCGGTTTGCCCGCTATTGGATTGGGATTCGAAAAGGCAGAAAAAGATGTGATGCGCAAGCCACCTCATGACCTCAAAGGTGGTGTATTAAGCAAGCAAGTCTTATGGGATTTGTTCGTTTATGGTCTCACAATGGGCTGGACATGCTTGATCGTATTTATTGTCATGTTATTCGGAATTGGTGATGGTTCTCTTGGATTCGAATGCAATGACGATGGGCCGTTTTGCCACAATGTCTTTGAAGCACGCTCTGCAACATTCACTGCTCTATTTTTGCAAGGCTTATTGATTCCTTGGCATTTGATCTCGATGGAACAAAGCTTATTGCGCATCAACCCAGTCAAACGGTTACGATCCAATCCATTCTTGTTATGGTCAGTCTTGTTTGGGATTGTGACGATTCCAATCTGTCTCTATGTTCCTAAGTGGAATACTGTTGTTTTTCGTCAAGCAAGCTTGGGTGGAGCAGGCTGGGGTATCGCTCTTGCAGCAGTTGCCATCTTTTGGCTTGTTCTGGAAGCTTGGAAGTACTTTGCTCGTCGAAACCATTGGCCATGGCTTACAAAGATTTCAGGCGGTGATTGCTCGCCATTGCCAAAGAACGAAGCTGAAGAAGCAAGCAGTAATGCATAAGTCATGCCACCGTGTCCTGTTGAATTCCTTCCCTAGTCCCTCCCATCCGTATCTATAAAGTGACACAATTAAATATCGTTATCCACAAACCTAAAGAGTGATTCAGCATTCATTCGTCATGAGAAGATCTTTGCGCATTCGGACTAATGGGATCGTGATTTGGTTTACAATAGCTTCTGTTTCTTCCACAATTTCATAGCCATATCTGGCATAAAGAGGCTGTCCGCTTAGAGTTGCCATTAGTTCGACGTTGCGAAAACCATGTTGAACAGCAGCTTTTTCGCATGTTTCCAATACTAACTTTCCAACACCTTGTCTTACGAAATCAGGATTTGTATACATTGCTCTTATTTTTGCCGGATCATGAGCGGGGTTCAATAAGTCAGGCCTGCGTAAATCGATACTATGATCACCGCCATATAAAGTTGCCCTTTTGCTCCATCCTCCACAGCCCGCAATCTTTCCATCCTTTATTGCCATTAGATATGTTCCATCTTGGATTAATTGAGTATCTAATCCCATAATTGCATGACTAGCGATAATTTGATCCGGAGAGAGAAAGGCAGATTGTAACTTATCAATTGATCGTTTCATCAACTCTCTCAATGCTAGTAGATCAGGCATCGCGGCCCATCGTAGCTCGAATTTACCCAAATTGGCCGATGATCTTGACTCATTTCCTTTGGGATCAGCCATCATTGCTGGTTAAGAGATGATGAGAGCTGATTGTCAGCCAGTGAGTCTGATGTTTTAGCATTGCGTTAATCAAGAATCTTCTAGCTTCTTAAACTGAAACTTTTGTGGCGGGAGGCCGCGTTTGTCCAACGGGCTAAGTTGAGATATCGTGCGTGGTGGAAGCTAAAAAGAAAGATAAGAGCATAAATTCTTATCTTTTGAAGAAGAGGCGCCAGGAAGTTTATCGTTTGATAAGAATGAGCTTTAGGTACAAAAATATTATAATATATACTTCTGCGATGTAATGTATCTGATCTGATCTTGCTGTCAAACAATGTATTGCCAGCGGACATATCACACTAGCCTGACTCGCAGGTGTTCCTGTGATGAACTCAGAAGAAAGACTGAGAGGTCAATCCCTTCAACGAAAAGAATTTGAGCTGCATCCTGGCAACCTATCAAAAGTAGCCTATGCGTAACAATCTGGAGGCACAAATTCTCACATCTTCCTCTTTCACACACCACCCTCATCATTGAGATCTCGCGCATACATCCATGCGTCTATCCGTCATGTTCAAGATAGAATATTTCGAACATGCTCACAATCTAAGGTGTTCATAAATACATCAAAGGCGCAAGCATGGATAAATCTGGATAATTTTTTTTCTCTTATCGTGGAAATGTACACAAAAGAGAAGTGATAAAAATGGGAGAGTGACGCATTTCTGCAGCATTGCAGATTCGTAATGGTCAAAATTAGAGAGAAAGCTTTCCAGCAGGCAACACCTCAGAAGATCTTCTTGCTGGATGAGTAAGCTGCTTGAGCACTGGCTGAGGGTGTGAAACCATTCTTTCCCAAATCGTTCTTAATCTTCTGCTCATTTGTGGTTGGCTGACCTGGTACCATTGAATCGGATGGCAGGATGACAACATCATGCAAGGCTAAAGTGTCATAACCCAAATTGTACGTCTTGTTATCGATGATGACTGATCCTTCTTTAATTCCCTTTGTTTGTTGATCGTAGAAAGATGCATGTCTCAAGGTAAAGCCTGTATTTGTTTCAGTTTTTGGACTTCCCTGGAATGTGATATCAATCACTGCATCTCCACCGCCTGGACGGTAGTAGTTTGCGTAAACTAATTGACGGTTGATTTGTTCTTTATTTGCTCCATTATAGTCGCATTCATGATGATCGATCGTTGCCCAAGAATTCTCATCGTTGTGTGGAAGTGCTGTTGCACACTTACTTTTGTCGACTCCATTTGCGATTATGAAACCGTATTCATCGGGAGAACGGCTGTAACCTGCGATCTTGCATTCGTAAAAGACAAAGTTGACTGGTGTAAAACCTTGAGCAACTTTACCTAAGAATGCAAATTCGCCATTGATACCAACTTGATTGTTATTGATGGCAATGTTGCCGCTATACTTTGGGCGACAGTCGGAGAAGCTTGCACTGCTTGATGCCAAAAAGGGTAGCATTAAGCAGGCGAACGTGAGAAGAGAAGTAGATTTCATCATTTTGATATATTTGAACAAAGATAAGATGGACTATTCGTTTTTCGAGAAGTGGTGAGGAGCAAGCAAGGTAATATTAGGATTTAGCTTTCCCTTTTAAACCTTTCACATTGGAGCAGAACCTCTTGGGGCGGATCAATTCAACCGCTTCATATCGAGCAAGTGTTTGTGACGTGTCTTGCGGCTTTCCTAACGTACTCCTCCGCTTGCGGTTTGACGTAATGTTGTGTACTGCGTGGTAAAGTTGATTTCTGGTCAAGGCACGGAAGAATTATTTAGGGAGGCAAAACAAATTGACGGAAAGGAATGAAAGGGGCTCTCCGCTTCATACGACAAAAACACTTAGGGACAAGCAGCGGATCTCCGTGAATATTGAATTGCGGTACCGTTGTAAAAAAAAAGGAGCGAAATATGCAACAAAAATGCTTTTGATGAAGCTTTCATTGCACATTAACTTCGGGCTGTAGGCATACATTCGATGATACCGATCAAAGCAGAAATGACAGAATTTCGCGTTCCTGGTCTTGGCATTTTGAAAAACTGAGGAGCCGTCTTGCCTGTTCGCTTTTCAGATCGATGTTTGTTTACTCTATCAGACACTGGAGGCACAATATCCGAATGGGGCTCATTCTTCACAGCGCGAAATGCTTCAAGCTATACGTTTGTTTTTTGCAGAAACTGAAAGCTTGACCCATAACGCGATCAGCTTGTTCCAACTGCTTGCCTAACTTTGCTAGATGGACTTACTTGATGTTATTAGAATTTAGTCAAAACTTCTAGGCGCACTGTTATAATTCATCTGACTTGCTATTTGAAAATGAACATCACTATCTCGTGAGAAGTTATGCAGTCTCTTTAGTAGTCCTTATCTTTCAGACAGAAAGGCAGACATGATGCATCAATGAAAGTCAGATGTAACATTAAGATTGCGTCAAGGGTATGTATATCCCTACAAAGAAGAGGTGAAGAAGGAGGAGACAGCATCTATGCAGCATGGCAACTTTTTGATTGTCAGACTTTGACCAAAAAAGCCTTTCAGCGGAATACAGCTCAAAAGATCTTCTTGGTAGATGCGAAAACTGCTTTAGCACTGGCTGAAAGTGTGAAACCATTCTTTCCAAGATCATTCTTAATCTTCTCTTCATTCGTGGTCGGTTGGCCTGGCACGATAGAATCGGACGGTTCGATAACGACATCATGCAAGGATAAAGTGTCATATCCGAGGTTGTACGTCTTGTTGTCGATGATGACTGTGCCTTCTTTGAAACCTTTTGTGGTCTGAGTGGCGAAGCATGTCTCATAGTAAATCCGGTATTGGTTTCAGTCTTTGGGCTACCTTGGAATGTGATGTCAATAACTGCATCTCCACCATTTGGACGGAAATAATTTGCATACACCAATTGACGATTGATTTGTTCTTTGTTTGCTCCGTTGTAGTCACATTGATAGTGATCGATGGTAGCAAAGGACTTGTCACTGCCCTGCAAAATAGCCGTTGCACACTTGCTTTTGTCAACTCCATTTGCAATCAAGAAGCCATACTCATCCGGAGAACGGCTATAACCCTCGATTTTGCATTCGTAAAAAACGAAATTAACCGGGGTGAAGCCTTTTGAAACCTTACCTAAAGAGTTGTATTGACCAGTGATTCCGATTTGCTCGTTGTTGATCGCAATATTGCCACTGTACTTTGGACGGCAGTCTGAGAAGCTTGCACCGCTTGTTGCCAGGAAAGGTGCCATTAAGCATGCAAACGTGAGAAGAGATGTAGATTTCATTTTGATTTGTCTGTGGGGAAGAATAGATCAGATGTGTTTTTGAGATGTGTTGAGGGGAAAGATGAATGAAAGTCTGATATTGATACCACTCTTATATCTTTCACGTTGGAGTCAAATTGGTATCCTGGAAAAAATCAACCGCTTAGGATCGAACAAATATTTTGATATTTGTTACGGCTCTCCTTTCTCTTCCGCTCGCGGCTTGGCGTCGTGTTGTGCATTACATGGTAAAGACGTTCTGGTCAACGAACGGAAGAATTGGTAAGGGAGGCAAGACGAATTGAGAGGCGAATGAAAGGGGCTCACCGCTTTATATCGACAAAAATAGTTAGGAACAAACAGCGGAATTTCGTTAATATTGAATTGCGGTACCGTTGTAAAAAGAAACGAACGGTATATGCCGCATACAACTTTTGATGAAGGCTAAATGCAATTTATTTCGGCTTGTAAGAACCCAATCTTCGGTATCGATCGAAAAAATGTCGAGCTTTCAAGTTCCGGGTCTTGGCGTTCTTGATGAGTTTATGCATTAATAAGAGATGATGACAAAGTTGACTGAAAGCAAGAGAAGTGATAATCGAATGGAGCTGATGTAATCTTTACAGCGAGAAATTCATTGTTTTATACAAGGAGACTTCATACTATTATTCTACTATCATAGAATATTCATAGAATAGAATAGAATACTTATTATCACGTGCGAACTTCTGTCATTTTTGAGTTTTTCTACTTTTATCATTTTAAGAAGACATCCATTTTGACAGACATGTTGCTTCTTTAGAAGTGTTTGCGTTCAGATTGCGCTAATGGGATTCAATGTATGTACATCTCAGCGAAGGAGCAGACGCAGCCTTTAAACAGATGCTAAACGAACAGAAGCCAAGAAAAATAAATTGCCTTGGCATCATTTTTGCAGAAAAGATGTGATTCGCTTACCTATGCAAAATGGCTATATACCTACACCTTTGCATCAATTGTACCATAATTCCGTTCTCAAGATAAAGCTTTTCTTGCAACCGGCCCTTGGCCCGGCCACTCCGGTTCTTGTGGATAATACTTCTTCTTGCAATCCTTCTATCTTAAAAATGCATGAGCGGGAACATCACCGATATAATGCGGGGAACCGTGTAAAAGACCATGTGACTTTTCTTAACATGAACTCTTCTTATCAATTTGACAACCATAGAAGAGGCGAGCTAAACATCGAGATGGATTGTTCCTACATCTAATTGATGCATATAAAAGCAAACCTTTCATTGTCCAAATTTAAAGGAAAGCACAACCTTCCCTCCTCCTTCATAGTTCATCATGGCGCATTCGACTCAAGTAGACGAAAAGGAAGTCAAAAAATCACACGAAGGCGGCATTGTCATCGAACAAATTCAACCTTACTCTACAGAACGTCAAGAAAAAAACTCTGCAGACCTGAAAGAATCAGGTGAAAATTCAATCGATGCGAATCTTGCTACTCTCAGTCAAGATGATTCGGTTGAGGGACTAGGTGATGGTCTTGGAGATGGAATGCTGGGACCTGCTCCAACAGAAGAAGAAAGAAGAACCTTACGTAAAGTCCCAAGCTATATTCCTCCAATGGCATTCTTAGTTGCATTTTTAGAATTATGTGAACGTGCAAGTTATTACGGCTTGACGGGTCCAATCGTCAATTATATCCAAAACCCTTTGCCACCCGGATCAGACGGTGGTCAATTAGTCGGAACCTCAAAAGTACCAGGTGCACTTGGACAAGGACAATCTGTCGCTTTTGCTATTACGACGTTCAATTCTTTTTGGGCTTACGTTATGCCAATTATTGGAGCCGTTGTTGCAGATACTTGGTTAGGAAGATACAAGGCAATCTGCTGGTTTACGGTGGTCAAGATCCTTGCACAGATTTTACTCACTGCCTCTGCTTCTCCTGCTGGAATTGCAAGCGGGGCTGCTTATCCTTGTCTTGTAGTTGGAATCGTTCTTTTGGGTATCGGTACAGGTGGAATCAAATCAAACGTTTCTCCTTTGATTGCTGATCAAATTAAAACTCGCAAAGCATATGTTGAAACTTTGAAAGATGGAACAAGAGTAATTCGCGATCCAAATGCAACGATGCAAAGGTTGTTCAATTTGTTCTACTTTTTCATCAATTTGGGTGCTTGTCTCAAGATTGCGACCGTTTATCTGGAGAAAGACATTGGCTTTTGGGCATCATTCTTACTGCCAACATGTTTGGCGTGCTTGATGCCACTGGTTTTGCTTTTAGGTAACAAACATTACATTAAAGTGCCGCCTCGTGGTTCAATTTTACTGGAGGCTTTACGTGTCATCCGTCTTGTGATTGCAAAAGGATTTTCTTGGAATATCTTACGATTCAGAAACAATTTGGCGAATGGAGTTATCGATTCTACCACAGGGCAACGAACAAGCGTTTGGGAATATGCCAAGCCGCTGGTGGTCATGTCATCTTTGAAGGGAGGATCGGCTTTGGAGCGTCCCAAATGGCTTACATGGGATGCAACTTTTGTGGAAGAAGTACAAAGAACGATGCGTGCGTGTGCAATCTTTGCATACTATCCACTGTTTTGGCTACCGTATCTCATGATGACAAACAATCTGGTCTCCCAAGCAGCAACTCTTCGTTTAGGTGGTGTACCCAACGATATCTTGAGCGCTTTCAATCCGATCTCAGTTGTCATCATGCTACCAATCATGGATCGAGTTGTGTATCCGCTATTACGCAGATTCAACCTTCCCTTCCGTCCCATCACGAGAATTTTTGTTGGTTTCATGGTTGCGGCTGCTGCCATGGTATATGCAGCCGTTTTGCAAGCCAAAATCTATGATGAAGTTCCTTGCCGTACACAGCCAGGGGCAGCAGATGCTGATTGCGATAGCTCATCAATCTCTTTGTGGGTTCAATTGCCCGTCTATATCTTGATCGCATTCTCTGAAATCATGGCAAGTGTAACCGGTTTAGAGTACGCTTATCAGAAAGCACCTGCTCGTCTCAAGTCAGTCGTTACTTCTTTGTACTTGTTCACAAACGCCTTCGCTTCTGCTCTTTCGTTCGCCCTCACTCATGTTTCTCAAGATCCTTATTTGGTCTGGCTCTATGGATCAATCGCAGTGGCGGCCTTCATTGCAGGTATCCTATTCTTCATTAGCTTTCGTAAATGGAACAAATTTGAGGAGGTGGAGAATGAGATCGGTCGTGGACCAGATCGGGAAGAATAAAATGTATCTAATAAATGATATTCCATTTGCAACCATCGTCGGCTAAACATTTGATTTTGTAATTCTTGCTCTCTTGACGTTGAACGACTGTCCAATGTAAATTTGTCGTCTTTGTGCGGATTGTACGATATCTGCCCATATTTGGACCAATCTTTTTCTTCCATTCACCCAAGTCGGTTTTGATACGATACTTCACCGGCCATAATTCCAACATCCACCAACCTTTTGCTTGTACAAGCTGATCATTAATTTCCGCCAGAGAATCGAAATAATCTTCATGCATTTCAGGCAAAACACCCGTTTCACGCCAGGAGCTCACAGTCGATACTGAACGTGTCATGCTGCCCATCGGACTGCATTCTGGGCTCGAGTCAGCCGTAAGAGGAGTAAAAAGGTTTTTGACGTGTTCATGTGTGCTCGGAGTATTGCTCATTTCGTTGATGGTCAGAAGACGTCTGACACTATCACGTCGTTTGACTAAAGAGGGCAACGTTCCGCTTGCATACTCGTCCAAAGCAGATGGTGGTGGGCTGCATGAGGGTGCTTTACGTGTTACACATTTTGGCCAAAGAGTCTCCACGTCCAAGCCATGCTCTGCCAAGACATCTGTATGGAACAAGATGCCGGTATTGCATTCAAATGTTTGACGTAACATCCAGCGTAACGGAATACGAGAAACCATATGACGAGTGTCATTGGCCACCGCACCACCACCACAATCTGCATGGCATCCCAAAAACCATACTTCCAGCACATCCGTCGGCTGTCCATAATTGCCGAATTCCTTTCGATCGATCTCATTGAACTTTTTCATCATTTCATACTCAGCATATGACTTACCATCTCCTTTGATTTCTTTGCCATCTTCGTCCACCTTCGTACTTTTACGGCGAGACGGCATCATACTAGATCGACGACGTGGTTGTTCAGGGTTAGATGGTAAAGAGTTCTCGTTGTCTACTTGAACACCGCTGCTTTGCTGCTTTTGAAGATTTTGTGCCTTTTTCTCGATATCCAAATCAAATTCTTCTGGTTCGGCAAAAAAGGCATTTGCGGGCTTAACATCGAGGAGAGAGGCTCTTTTATGATGAGCATTCAAGGCGCGCTCAAATGCATCACTATCAGCATCCAAGATGTGTTCAGGCTCGTCTTGATGACCTCCTTCTTCCTCCTCGGTATGGTACAATTCATCACGTTGGAACCAATGATTGGCTTTGAATTTCGCACGTCTTTCATCTAAAGCAAGAGCATGTCGGAAATAGCGAACAGATCTATTGTTGGTTTTTGCGAAGGGTAAGATTCTAGGAATGAACCCCACACTTGCAACTGTATCCCAGCAACCAAGAAAATGAATATCAGCATCAATCGAGAATGTTCTTTTGAAGTCTGCACTCATTTTCCAGCCATACTCGGAATCATCCTTGTACCATCTATAAGCGAAAGCGATTTGTGCTTGATTATGAGCGGGTAACAGGCCAACTTTGTGCAGCATGCCAGCTAAGGCACGAGCAGTATATGCGCCTCTTGAGAAACCGATCAAACAAATTTTATCGCCTTCTCGATAATTTTGCATGAGGAACGAATAAGCTTCTCGAACATGAACGCCAAGGGAAGCGCCAACGGCCATATCCAAGCCGGCAGAGAAGCCTTTTTTAAGAGAGCCTTTGTACGAACTAGAGTACGTGCCAACGCCTGTTTGATAATAGGTCAATTGAGTTGGATCATCCTTTTTGAGAGCCGCAAAGAATTTGACGACGTTTGAGTTATCATTATCGAATTGATCTCCTGTGCCGTCCAAACAAACGATGACATTCCTTGCTCGATGAGCTTGAGTAGTACTATCTTGCAAGGCAGCAAGAATGGGAGGGAAACAAGCTTGAGATGTTGTTGACATGATGAAGAGTTGATGACCGTCAAAAGCATAGATTCGAAAGAAGAGAATCAAAACGAATAAACTGCCAGCCAATCATGTTTGAGCTTTCGTCTGGCCATTCACATAAAATGTGTTATTTAACCTTGCCGCTCAAAAGCCAAAATTAGAACGAAGTCTTGCCTTGCATAGTTGAATAAAGTTAAAGTTTAAATGCAAAAGCAAGACTCGCATAACAATCACGCTAATCATGCGTCGATTTGCCGTATCAGAAGGCATTCAATCGGTCCGAACTAATACATATGCATGCATTTGCTTGTTTGTATTTGTGTCTTGTCAGATGGATCGACTGACATGGAACGGTCTATGCACGATTAGCGATGATGCCGCGAAGATCGATCCTTGCACAAATATTCCAGTTCTTCTTCGACTGATTACAAATGCATTAAATTACAGCGTGGCAGTTTTATAATGTTCTCAAAAAAGAACCATTTGATTGGCTGTCGTCTTTCTTTTGCTATCAACGTCCATCTTCATTTCGAATCATGTCGCAAATCAAAAAGATCATCGGTTCCATCAGGCGCAAGCCAGCTACCGCTATCGATGGCAAATTGGATTATGAAGCAAAAGGTTTATTTGAAGAACCAGAAAAAGAAACTTCTGTCTTTCACGATCTTGGTAAATTGGGTAAAGACGCATTACCACTTGCCCATGGCTTGAAAGATTTAGCCAAAGGTGAACCTCTCAACGATCGAGACTTGTTATTGGAACATGGCGTAAGCACTTTGCAAAGATTGCCAGCCAACAGTGGTCTGAGTCATGCAATCTCTGACGGCTTTATCGGGGTGAGTGCGGATGTATGATGCCTTCAAAACGACGAATCCTGACTTGACTCTTCCTGTGTATAGATGCTCTGGAGAGACTTGCCTCACCGTAAGTTGCCCATTGGAATAGTATTTCGCCACACTCGCTCACTCACTTTCCCCTTACAGCCCCCGCATCATACCTTGGACCAGAGTATCGCTATCACTCCGCAGATGGCGGCGGTAATAATCCGCTCAACCCATCATTGGGTGCTGCTGGGCAGCCATATTCGCGCAGTGTACCACCTCTTGTGCCAAAATCGCCATTCTTGCCTGATCCTGAATTAGTCTTTGATCAATTGTTACGCAGACGCACGTTCAGACCTCACAAAGCAGGTTTGAATCGTTTGTTTTTCAGTTTTGCAACAGTTGTCATCCATGAATGCTTCCAAAGCGATTACAAAGATCCAAGAATCAATGCAACATCAAGTTATGTAGACTTGTCGACATTATACGGAAACAACCAAGATGAGCAAAACCGTGTCCGTACATTTGAACAAGGACGCATTTACCCGGATACGATTGCATCGGAGCGAATCATGATGGTGAGTAAGATGGTTGAGCGAAGCCCGCGCATACATTCACTGACATTGGAGAAATGCAGATGCCTCCTCCTGTGGTTGCATGTCTGTTGTTGTTCTCTCGTCACCATAATCATCTGGCTGAGCGTCTATACGACATTAATGAAACGCAAAAATACAAGCCTTGGGAAACTCTGAACGAAGAGCAACGCAAATGGCAAGATAATGACATCTTTCAACTTTGTCGTAATATCAACATCGCTTTCTTTGCCAAAGTAGTCTTGACAGATTACGTCTCTGCGATTCTCAACACCGTTCGTGCTGACTCAGATTGGCATTTGGAGCTCGGCAAAGAGATCAAAAGCTTTGACGGATCTCGCTTGGAGAGAGGTACAGGTAATAGCGTTTCATGCGAATTCAACGTTTTGTACCATTGGCATGCTGCATTGAGTGCTGCCGATGAGAAATGGATGGAAGGATTGATGAAGAAAGCTCAACCTGGGACAGACATTGAGGATTTTGGCCCAAATGAATTCCGTCAAATGGTTGGCAAGCATAAAGCGGTTCTTGATGCCGTTCCACCATCGCAATGGACTTTCGGCGGCTTGGAGCGTAATCCTGATGGTCACTTTGACAATCATGCTTTGGGCGAATTGATCAAAGATGCAATTGAAGAGCCTGCAAACGCTTTTGGTGCTCGTGGTACACCATCGTGCATGAAGATCGTGGATGTTTTGGGTCAATTACAGGCACGTAATGTCTTTAACGTTTGCACCATGAATGAATTCCGTAATTATCTCAATTTGGCTCCTTTCAAGTCATTCGAGGAATGGAATCCAGATCCAGAAATTGCTCACGCCGCTGAGACTCTGTATGGTCACATTGATCAATTGGAACTGTATCCCGGTCTTTTGGCCGAGGAAGCAAAGCCAAATATGCCCGGCAGTGGTGTTCAACCCGGTCATACGATCGGTCGTGGTATTCTAGACGATGCTGTCGCTTTGGTTCGCGGTGACCGCTTCCTTACGCATGACTTGAACGCAAGCACATTGACCAATTGGGGTGTAGCACAACTCAAACCGACTCCTGGTGCATACGGAGGCTTTTTGAGCAACCTCTTGTTCAACGCCCTGCCCAATTCATGGGGTAAGGGCTACTCCACGTATTGTTTGCTCCCGTTCTATACTCCCAATGCAGTCACACAAATCTTGAAAGCAAACAAAAAGTTAGAGCATTATGATACGCAACGACCAGAAAGTATGGTGAAGTTATATGGACTTCATTCTTGGAAAGCCTGCAAAGAGGCATTTGCCGATCGTGATACCTATCGAGTGATCTATTTACCGAATCTGTTACTCTTGACTGATAACGCAGGCTTCTTTATCGGCTACGACGATCGTACCAGGTGAGTCGCAGTAGGAGATGCAGAAGGAGACGCAAGGGTGTTGCATGTGTAAGCTGATCCGTCTCTCTCCCTTTCCTAGCCACGATCCGCCGCATGATATCTTGCACGATGCCTTCTTCGAACCAGGCTTTGAGAAGCACGTTTCTGACTACTATCGAAATTTGACCAAAGAAAAAATCAAGAAAGCATCTCTCTCCTTCACCGGTCCTGCCAAACGCAATCAATTGAACGTAGTTCGAGATGTTTTTAACGTCGTGCCAATTTATTGGATTGCACAAAAGTATGGTATTCCGCTCAAGACGAAAGAAACGCCACATGGTCTCATGTCGCCATATCAATTACACACCGCTTTGGTGGCCTTGTTCATTTTTTCATCCTTTGATGTCATACCACAAGCTGGTTGGAAATTACGTCAAGCGGCGGAGATGATTGGGCCTGGTATTCGTAAATTGTTCAAAGCACGATTGGATACTACAGCAGGCGTAAGGGAAAGTGTAGCAGACTGGTTGGCAAAAGGAAGTGGATATGAATTGAGCAAAGAGGCCGAATTTTTGTATCACAAAATCCATGAACGCAAGATGCCAACGGACAAAGCGGTTGCCACTTTGATGGGTACGATGCTTCCGATTGCGGGAAACATTACACAACAATCTGCACTATTATTGGATTTGTTCTTGAAGCCAGAATATAAGTACGCAAAAGATCGTTTGGTAGAATTATCACATCAAGATACCAAAGAAGCACAAGATGAAATGGAAATGTGGATCTGGGAAGGTATGCGTATTGCTGCAATTGTGCCTGGTTTACCACGTAAAGCCGCTCGCGATCTCATCATTGAAGATGGTCCTGGTCGCACGCTTCATATCAAGGAAGGTGAACATTTGATCATTGGAACGAGCAAGGCGCATTTAGAGTATGTACACGAAGTCATTTGAGAGAAATAGCTTTGAAGCTGACTAAACTTTCCATTCTTGCAGTCCCACTGTATTCCCCAATCCGCAAAAGCTGGACCCAACTCGTCCAAAGAACTCGTACATTTTGCTCGGTCATGGGTTGCACGTTTGCTGTGAGTGAGAGATGAAACGCTGTTGATGACTGTTTCGTACTAATGCATCTCTTATTCTTCCCACAGTTGGCGCTCGTTTGGTTGCACCGAGTATTTCGGCCATGTTGCGTGAAGTGTTCAAACTCAAGAATCTTCGTAGAGCTTCCGGACCACAAGGTTCGCTTGTTAAGTAAGTATACTTTGACACTTGATGAGGGCTTTCTGAGCAATGTGCTAACTTTGATTACCCTTACTACAGAGTACACGAAGACTTGGGACACGATGGAGACGCTGTTCGCATTAACCTGTACATCGATGAATCGTGCAGCGAAAGTCCAGTGCCGACTTCTCTCGTTGTAGAGTACGACAGCTAAGAAAGCTAGACTTGTTGAGTTACCTTTTGTATCGCAAATGCAATGAGATACCTAGTGAAACAATCACCTTGAACTTGGACGTGGTTCGCCGACAGCCTCTTTAGCTAACGATTCTGCAATTCGTCTTGCTTCTTCATTTTGTTCCGATTCCGCCGGTTTTAGGCCAAATGACTGACAGAATGCCGTCTAATAAATTATAGCTTTAGACTACAGCTCGTGCATCCTTACTCAGATGTGGTATCAATGCATCGGTGCTTGACATCTTGAAGAAGATTGGAGTTGAGGTTGAATGTATAAGAAAAGAAGCAGGGAAGACAGCCACGATCAACTTTAATTTCGCGTATCATTCGTCACATAAGCTCAAGCCATCGTATTACATAAGCGTCAAAAAGGTATTTCATTATAAACATGAAATGATCTCGATGAGAAAAAAACATCATCGGAACGGCAATCGTAAACGTACATGAATCATAAAAGTTCGTCAAGAGATTTATAATCGTTAGGAAGGATAAGAAGGTCCAGCGCCAGCAGGTAATGAGTTGCCTAAAATAGCAGCTTGACCGCAAGAAGATTGGAACATTCCATCAGCATCATGACCAACACCTGCGACGGTGCAAGCCCGATGTGATAATGATCCACTACTAATCTTTGATGCACCAGAAGCAATGAGCTGTTGGTAGCCAGTATACTTTGAAACATCTGTACTTGTTCCTGCAAGAATGTTTAGGTATGCCCACATTGCATAATTTCGATCACGTCTTGCACTTCCTCCTTGAGAGACAGATTGACAAGTTTGTGTGCCACTAGTAGAAGTATCTTGATCACCCGTCAAGTGGATCACATTTCTTGAAGCCCATTGATTGAATAGGGAAGTTGGATCACTGACTCTTGTGCCAACATAATTATTATAAGATCCCGTCCATTGATAAGGATAAGAATAAGCGCCTGTGCAACTTGCATCAACCGTGGACGGCCTTGCATTGGTAAAATAGGCTTGATTGGCTGCATTTGCGATAATATAACGCATGTTCTTTGGTGAGTTTGTATTGATTGTTGAAAAACGAGAGACAAAGTTTCCACCGCCTGAATGGCCAACAATTACAATTGTTTGTAGATTTGGAAACTTTGCAGAGTTTGAAGAATAATAGTTCAAGATTGCATCGTATTGGGAATAAGATGAACAGCTTCCACCTGTTGAATCATCATTCCCGATCGTCCAACTATCAATACCTGGTGCATATCCTAGATTCACACCATTTCGATAATACGATGAAACTCCATCACTTGTTAAGAAACCGGGTGAGATGATTGGTGCTGTATCACCAACAACGGCATATAAAGATGAAAAGTAAGCATCAAAATCTGATCCTGCTCCATGTTGAACTATATAAGCGGAAGAAGCAGTGCTTCCTTTTATAAAGCCTTGGTTAGCCATTGCTGGATTGGCTAACGAACTTCCTTTGCATGGTGCCCATTCGATTAGCGTTGCTCCTGATGGTGCTTTTGGTAAGGTTGAATCGGAAGGAACAAAGAATGGTGTGGCAGCTGAGACTGCGGTAGAAGATGTTGAGGAAGAGGAGGTAGTTCTAGTTGTGCTAGAAGATGATGTGGTTGTACTAGAAGTTGCTGATGTTGAGCTCAATCTTGGCGTTGAGCTTGCTGTTGATGTTGAGCTTGATGTTGAGGTTCTCGTTAGTGTTGAGCTTGACGCTGAGATTTTGGTTACTGTTGAGGATGTTGATGCGGTGCTTCGTACAGAGGATGCAGTGCTGGTGGCAGGCGAAGCAACTTTTGCTGGAGCACAAGTCAATGCTCCTCCGTTTGTTGGTGTGCATTCAGATCGAATTCCATAAGAATAATTCACCGTTCCACCAGAACTTTGAGGACCGTCTGTATATTTTGCATTTGTGCTAGCTTGATAACGTGGATACAACATACAAACAACATTTCCTTTTGAGGATCCTGTCAGTTTCAGAAGGTTTACAAAACCACAATTTGACGTTGTTGCACAATTTTGTACACATGCATTTACATGGGCTTGTGTTACGGTTGTTGCACTTTGATCAATCGTTGATAAAGAGATAAAACCTAAAGATGCTCCATTTGATAATCTTCCTGGCTTACTCCAACTCACTTTCCATCCTGGAGGTGCAGTCTGTGCAGGACCTTGCCGTCTAAATAGCTTTGTCGTTGGAGCACATTGCACTCTAAAGACGGCCAAGAATAACAAGAAAAGCAAAAAAGGTTCTATGCTCATGTTTGATAGGGGATATTTGAGTCGTTGAACGTACGGTCATTTCGTTGATCATCATTTAAGATATATATATATATATGTTTATTTTCATGACGAAAATACATGACTTTGTTGATCATTGAAGGAAGACTGCTTTTAAAAAAGTTTGGACTTGTCTAACGGATCTGCAGGAGCTATGGCCCCACAAACGTTCAATTGCAACATCGCCAAATTGCCTGAATCTCAACAAAATGCTGCCAAAAATGCCGCAAAATTGATTTCAAGGATCTCCAACATGGGAAAGATCGACTTGTCTCGACCTGTCTCCCAACGGTCAGTACCGTTCAATCGTTTGCCTACGATCTGCTTTATGTTTTTTTTTGTGGCGAGGCCTTTTTTACTTGAAATCCATTCAGGCTCAGCTAAAGTGCACAAAAACGCGCGTTTGAAAACTTCAACGAATCTGTTCAACGGCCTTTACTCTCCGTAACCTTACCCTTTTAAATTGAATACTTTCCCGATCAACAATTCTTGGCTTTTATGACCTTACTCTTGGAAGAGGACCGACCCTTTAATGAGGCCGGATAAACAATAGTTTGTGGCTTTGATATAACTTTTAATTTGTTTGTTTTTAGGTAGAACTGACAGGTGTTCAACTTACAGGATACAAGGCAATCTTGCAGAAAAGAGGCAACGTCTGCATACAGCACACCTTCTGCTAGGCGGGGAAATCCTTTATTTGGCATGCAGATGGAATCGGGATCAGTCAATCAGCACACAGAAAGCAATAAAGAGCTGCTTTTTTGCATGATGAGGGCAGGCATATAGCTTATATGAGAATTTCTCTCAATGACTTATAATATCCGGCTTTAAGCGGCTTATACTTCATTAGCTTAGAAGAACGTAGTGTGTAAAATCGGGATGTCTTCAACTGAATGTTAGAGCGTATCGACTGTTCAGCGAACTCAGCAATTTTGGAAAGACGCAGTGCTGTACAGCAGGTTATGTCTCAAGCCGTAATCGATCCTTTTGCTTCCTTAGTGAGATTTTTATCCCGCTTTACACCAATTCAAAAAGTTAATTGGCCAATGTGCATTGGTGCCTATGCTCACCTTCTAACGAGAAGTATCCTTTCTGTCATCCACGCTAACGGGCCCAAGAGGCATGCAAGAATGTAGACTCCGCCGTTTGTATTGGTCAAGTAAGGCCGTTGTGCATTGATTCCGGCGGACGATTCCGTCTATTCTCTCTCGTATTGAACTCCATCGACGATAATGTGAGCAACTACTTTCCCTACCCTCTCCATAAATATCATTCGAAATCATTTAAAATGCCTACACAGCTCTACCATAGCTCTCAATACAATTTGTCAGAGCAAGGCGAGCAATCAATCGAGAAGAATATCGTTCAAAGGTCTGACACAGTGAAAGAACATGGAAGTGCGGTAGTTAAAAGCTTACTAGACAACCGCTTCTCATGTAGATACTTTTTGCCGGATCGAATTCCAGATCAGAAAACGATCGAATCCATTCTCCTCTCGGCTAAAAATTCACCAAGTGGATCAAACTTTCAGCCTTGGCATGTTCATGTTTTACGTGGAACAAGAAAAGATGAAATTAGAGATCATGTTCACAAAGCTGCAAACGATGCTGATGCTATGCAACAGTATCAAGCTCCGTACACTTTCTATCCTTCCAATGCAACTCTAGCTCGGCCTGAATATCAATTCTTGGCACAGAGGAGATCAGGTTTTGGTGAAAGATTTTATGGACCGCTAAACATTGATCGAAAAGATACAAAAGCAAGAAGAGAATTATCTCAACGGAACTGGTCATTCTTTGATGCTCCGATTGGTTTTATAATCACAACGATCCCTGAAGCCCCACCAGGAATGTATCTGGATACGGGAATGTTTATAATGGCCTTGATTTTAGCAATTCGTTCTTATGGTCTTGAATGTTGTATTCAAGAAGCTCATGCAACTTATCATGACGTTTATGCAAATCAATTGCAGTTGCCAAATACCGAATCAGTCGTTTGTGGAATCGCGTTGGGCTATCCAGACCTGCAAAAGATTCAGCAATTTTCTGGAAAACAAGAAAAGATGTCATTGGATGAGCTTGTAACATACCATTAAAAAAGGCCTAACAAGACAAAGCACGTCTCCCCACAGTATCACTACTCTTCCAAACGTCGACAAATTATATCTCGACTTTGTAGAATTTTCTCTTTTGCGTGATTCCAAATATTAAAGTTTTCAAAAGCACCAAAAGCTTTTGTGAATTGAACCTTTTCTAAAGGTTCACATACTCTCCGTACTTCTTTACCGCTCAATGGAATTTGATTTGGATAACTCCACAAAAACGTAACTGAAGTCACATTTGGCCTTTGCTTTTCGTGTGATTTGTACAGACCACTTGGAACGACTTGAATCGTATCGGCAATGAGAAGGTTGTCCTTGTAGAGAAGAACTAGACTTCCGGGAAAATGACCGCCTAGCAATAAGGCTTTTGTTTGTCCACCTCGTCCGATCATTGTCTGCTCTTGATCGATGAATACGATCCGATCAGCGATATCTTTGTTATCATCTCGTTGATACCAATCATCGAAATCCACTTTAGCAAGCCAGATCTTCATTTGTGGAAACGCTCTTGTCCAAGTTGCTGTTGTGGAGTAATAATGGGGATGACTGATGACCATATGTGATATACCCTTTCCGTTTGATAATCGATCAATGTTTGAAATTGTTTTATCATCTAGATATGCGACACAATCCCACATAATCAATCCTTCCGTTTCATCATCTTTCATAAGGAATGCTCTTTGTCCTATTCCGAATGCTGGTCGAGTTTTGAATGTCCAAAGTTGATCGGGAATAATTTCACCGAAATCGTTGCGTAACTTTTCCTTAGGGTTATTGATTAGTCGTTCAAGCGTTGTCCATTTCTGACCTGATGGTCCGATATACTGTCTTGGATCTAAGCAAATCTTGCATTTGTGGTCCGAATCTTCGACATCCAAATTCAACTCTTTTCCTTGAAATGAAGTTTGAGTAGAGCATGTTACGCACAGCGGTGTTGTCAATTCTCGCTCAGCCACCGATCCAAGTCTTGCTCTTAGCTCTTGCGATGATGAAGATGCTTGAGCTTCTGCATTTTGTTGTTCCTCTTTGCCAAGTTTTAAGTTTATATAGGAGGTTGCCATCTTTGATAGTGGTGGTGGAAAGTGGAGCTGTCGTTCGACAATAAAACCGTTGTTATACAACATCCCCACAACCAACAGCGCGGGTCCATGCATCCAAGGTTCACGCTAAGGTAGAGAATAGATTCACATGTTGAAATCGTTGGAATTCGGAGAAGAGGGTAGAAAGGGGCGTTGACAAATACACTGGGGTGAAGGAAGGAATCATTTGAATTGGTTTACGTACATGAAATAGATGATCAAAGGGACACTATTGCCTAAACGAATTGATGCTTTAAAAAAAGCGCAAAAGCTTATTTTGAATAATCTTTCTCAAGCTGAAGTATCATCAGGCTGAGAATGAACGGCCTCATAATGGTTCTTATTTCCGCTTTTACTTTTTGTCACCTTGGCGAAACCTGTTCTTTGTGCGGCTGCTATTTCGTTGACATTTTTAAGGTGAGCTTCGTGATTACTGTCAGCCTTTTTCGCTTTGATATTATGATAGATTTTAGCAGGATTTAAAAAGAACTTTTTCCTACTTTGCTCAGTATGATATTTATGTTTCTCATGTTCGGCTGCTGCTAGATGGTATTCAAACATTCCAACGAAATGTCCTCCGGCAGTATCAACTGGTCTTGTTTCTGATTCACCAGGTTTAAGTGAGGATCCATAAGCACATACATTGAATATGATCAGTAAGCTTGCAAGATAAAATAGGTTCATAGTTGAGGTTAATAGAACTGGATTGATGAAAATTTGGGTTCTGAGTTCATCTACGAAAAGGGTCTTCATATACCTTTACATTTGCTACTGAAACTATGAAAGTTAGAAAACTGTACTGCCTCTGGCTGAGGTTTGAAACTCTACAGGGGCGTACTTCACACACCTCAGCACACTCCAGAATTGTGACATTGATTCATAGCTCACTAGACCCGAGAAATGCTCACAGAGATAAAAAGGGGCGTTGATAAACACACTGGGGCGATCGGATGGCAAGAAAAGTTTTTCTCAAGAATAAATTGTACATTTGCTGTAAGCCAGAACAGGCAAAAGCGTTGATAAACACACCGGGGCGATCGGATGAAAAGAAAATTGTTTGTTGTTTTCGAGAATGAAGTTGTACATTTGCTGTACGTCAGAACAGGCAAGGCGATAATGTACTCAATCAAGGCGAAAGTTTAATGTGATCCAATGAGGAGCAATTGGCAATGTTCGTCCACTAGTATTGTGAATATGCACAGTTAGACATACTTTGTCGGATATTTGCCAAACACAGTTCTACAGCAAATTGCGGATACATTCCTGCAACAAGCATCATCTGGTCGGACAAGAAGCTATGGCGTAGTGTGATGATGGTGGACGCGCCTGCAACATCATATCCGCAAAGGTACTCATCTTCTGCGCCCGCCAATGAATGAATTGGAATTGCTAAGGTACACGACGCATACTAACCGACAAGGTCCTCATCTTATCAGCAGACAATGTGGTTTGCTGAATTTGTCATGTATAAACAGTCTCACTGATTGGATAGGTACCTTTGTGGTTATGGATTGGTGATGCCCAGTACTAGCTCAGATGCAATTCAATAAAGTCGCCGCAGTATAAGGCCAAAGTCACATAGCAAGCGAAGGAGAAATATTTCCATTTTGCTTCATTTCTTCTTCTTCCAAGACCAACATCATTTCAATCCAGCAAGATGGCACCCGTTGCAGTAGAAAGTGGACCTGATCCGATCGTCTCTTTGCCTGTCAAAACAGGATTGCAAACTTCAACAACGGATGTATTCCAATATGTTAAGAAGGACAAAAAGCTACCCGTGACTTTATTGAGCGGTTTCTTGGGTTCTGGCAAGACAACTTTATTGGAGCGCATCTTAACTTCAAATCACGGTTATCGAATCGGAGTGATTGTGAATGATATGGGCGCATTGAACATCGATGCAGCACTTTTGGCCAATCATAAAGTACATCAAAGTGAAGAACGTGTTGTAGAAATGCAAAATGGTTGTATTTGTTGTACTTTACGTGGTGATCTGCTGGAAGAAGTCGCACGTTTAGCATTAGAGGGCAACGTGGACTACCTCGTCATCGAATCAAGTGGAATTTCTGAACCAATGCAAGTTGCTGAAACGTTTAGTGATCAATTTGCAGAAATGCATGTTCAAGCAGGTTTAGACTTAGAACAAGAAATGGCAGCAGATGAAGATTCAAAAGTAAGAAATGCAAATGTTGCAAAAATTTTAAAAGCAGGTGGCTTATCACAAATGTCTCGATTGGATTGTTGTGTTACAATGGTTGATGCGGTAAATTTTTTCAACGATTATGAAACTGCCGATTTTCTCGTTGACCGTCATGGAAAAGATGACGTACCCGAAGAGGATGATAGAAACGTTTCCGATTTGCAAACTGATCAGATTGAATTTGCCAATACCGTGATCATCAACAAATGCGATTTGGTCCCTTCGAAAGAAATTCAAAAGATCCAAGCTTTGGTCAAAATGCTGAATCCCGAAGCTCGCATCTTGACTAGCGTTCGATCCAACGTTGATGTAAGCTCTTTGCTGGATACGAACTTGTTTGATTATGAGAAAGCAGCAATGGGAGCCGGCTGGCTGAAGAGTTTGCGTGAAGAAATCAAACCAGAAACGGAAGAATATGGAATTGGTTCATTCGTCTTTCGTGCACGTCGTCCATTCCATCCTGAACGATTATGGAATACGGTAAAGGATAATTTTGTTGTCATTCAAGAAGAATACGTCGATGATGGTTTTGAAGGGGATGAAGAGATGGATGAAGACAAAGATGGTGATTCTGATGTTGCAATGGAAGTCGATGATGAGAAGCAACCACAATTGAACCCAAAATTACGTCTAGAATCCAAGAAAGCCAATCCAACTTTTGCACCACTTTTACGTTCTAAGGGTTTCTTTTGGCTCGCAACACGTTCAAATATGTTTGGTGAATGGAGTCAAGCAGGAGTCATGCTTACTCTGAGCGGAGGTGACTTATGGCGCTGTGAGATGCCTCAACTTAATGGCCAGACAACGAAGAAATTCGTCAAGCAATCAAAGCGGATTTTAAAGGAAAATGGGGTGACAGACGTCAAGAAATTGTTTTGATCGGCCAAGAAATGCAGAAAGGCGGTCAACAGCGCTTGCAAACAGCACTGGACGCTTGTCTACTGGATGATGCGGAATGGGCTCAATGGGAAAAGATTACGAACAATCGTAAATGGGACCAAGAGCGCAAAAAAGAAGAATTAGAGAAGATCTTTGAAGATGGGTGAGTCGTGAGATTGATGAGAAAACGAAGAGTTTTGAGCTGACATCTGCCTTTTACGCTATGTAGTTTTGAAGATTGGGTTCTTGAAGATCATACCGGTCATGATCACGATTGATTCGAGCTACGACCTGAAGCTAGGCAACGAGTCTGATTTGTAAGATGAATCTTCAATAAATTAATTCAAATTCTAAAACATTTGATGTAGTTACAGATGGACATCTGTAATATTGTAACAGGTATACTCTTGCCATCAGAGAGTATACATCGCGAAAGTTTCCAGAGCCGATATCTTGTAATTTTTATCGATAATATTCAGGTTTGTAGTGGATGAGACGCCCATTACGGACCATCGACTACTTCAAGTGTTCTCCTCGCGTTGTACTATCGGCAGATTATTAATACCATCTCCTATAGACATGCTGAGCCCAGAAAGATCAGTGGACCACCACATGATATGTACTTGCAATTTAGCTTGACTTGCTGAAGAAACTGCTATCGCTATCATCTTCAAGCTCGGCAAGGAGCATGCTAAAGCTTGCAAGCCTGAAGAACCCTCTCCTTCTTTCCATGTATATTTGAATACGTTCCCGACTTATTTATTTGCCTCCGATACAACTTAGAAACTACATGCATGTCTTTCATCGCTGTCTTAAGGCTTCATTCGCAGTCTCCGAATCCAAATACCAAGCATGCTATTTGTTTTTGCCCATCGCGTTGGGCGACAGGATGATTTAGACTTGCTAAGTACTCCTTTACAGCGTTGAGTTCTTCTCTTTCGACTGTAGGATCGTGCACTTTATAAAATTCGATTGCAGCCGCAGTAAAGTTACCAGACAGGAGATAGTCATCCGCTATCTTCATCGATTGAAGCCCTCTCCGAATTGTTTCTTCATCCGAAGAATAGCCAAATGAGTCATCAAACGCACCCAAAGCTTTTCCAATCGCATAATCATGATAAATGATTGCAGACATTTTCAACTGAAGGAAGCAGGCGAATGATGGTGTGTGGAGAAAGAGAACGTCGTTCAGAGAATCGTCTGACATGTGCCCCAAGCCGAAAGATATGCACTAAGCATGTGGCAAGCTGTTGACTCTTATGCAAGAAGCCCGTGCCTGCGCGCAAGAGAAAGAAACATTTCTTCATTACAACTTCTCTCCCTTCTTCACCTACGATTCCACCTTTGACTGATATGGTCTTCGGTAGGAATATATCTAATTTGTCATATCTATATTGTTTACTATATGCATGCGGACATCTCTATAAGAAGTCTCACGGATGTGCGACTTTTTCCACTTTTATCCAAAGAAGGACTTCATAAAAACCTCAACAGATTTCGCGTCCCAAAGAAGAAGGGTAGCGCCAATATTGATCGACCCGGCCTGTCATGTGGGGAAAAAGCAGTGTTATCAGATTAACAATAACTCATCAAAGCAAATCTTTCTGTACTTACGTTCCAATCATGATCCTGTGCAGGAAATGCTCCGATTCGTTTGTAAAAACCTGTGATGCTTGGATTGCCTCTCAGTGTCAATATGCCAACACTGTTGTGGCCGATCGTAAATTTTCCCGAATCATTTGCTAGCTGGATAATGTTTGCCAATAAGGCTCTACCAACCCCTTGCCCTTGAGTCTGAGGGCCAACAAAGTAACACAATATCTCTGATTGGCAATCCAAATCCTTCAAGTAAGCTTTCTTTGGACCAAATTCTATATATCCCACCACTTGATTTGTTTCAGAGTCGATAGCCATACTTGACATTGTTGTAGGGCTGCCTAGACTGTTTTGCCTAATTTGTAAATAGTCTTCTGGAAATTTGTCTGATTTATAATATTCTTGCGGACCGAGTTTCATCTTTTGCGTGAATGCAAATCGGATACAGCCCACTACAAAATCAGCGACCGCACCCACATCTTCTATTTCAGCTTTTCTATAATTGATCTTGCCAACCATGTTCTATGATGTCGTATAAGAAACAAAGAACAGAAACAAGAATACAAATGGGAGTATATGCAATTTTAAACTTAAAGAATCTGATGACTGTTTCGAAACGAGTCATTCGTTGATCGAGTGCGCAGCGCGTTCCTGACTTAAGCAATCAAAGTTATCATTCTCTAACTCCGTATAGATGTTAACGTGTTATGATTCGATAACGGAGATAAACACTTGGAATGTTCTGTGTCAAATCGATATTAGCTTAAAAATATGCATGGCTGCATAGAGAGAAAGACCCTTTCAATACACTTAGCTCATTGCAACCACAACCACAACAAACGAAAATATGGAAGACAAAGAACCTCTTGCTCCCGAAAGGACAACAGGCTTCTTCGGCAGCTTGAATGACGATCAATTGTCATTATTTCACGAGTTTAAAAAGTATGCCAACGAGAACATAGACACGGAATCAAAACAGCATTGGTTTGATAATAGAACTCTACTGTGAGTTCGCTTTGATGAGCCTTGTTTCCCTCACCATCTGATCTTCTTCGTTGTTTCTCATATCAAGCCGCTTCCTTCGTGCAAGGTCCTTCAGTGTGTCCGATGCGATCGATCAATTTGCAAAGACTGATGTATGGCGTAAAGAGGTTGAAATTGATCAAAAATATCGCTCTATCTCGCCTGAGGAATTATACGTTGCCCAAGCTCAATATACCCGCTTTACCGGCAGGAGAGATCGATTTGGTGCACCTCTCTTTGTCTATAGACCAGGCTCTCTGGGTAAACAGCTATCGGAGATCAATGCAACTACTCCACAACGAAGATTAGAATTAATGTGAGTTTCAAGATGTGTATGGTCTGCACTTTTAATCGTAACTGCTTGCTGAACGACTCTCATTATCTACAGCTCAATTTTATCCGAATGTCTGCTAAAACTCTATCTACCAATGTCGGCAGACTTGTATGCAAGAGAAACTACTCAAACCGCAGAACAACAAGAACAGGACGACAAACCAACAATCGAGAATGTGACAACAATAGTAGATTTTGATGGAATGTCATTAGGCCTTCTATGGAAGCTACGCAATCATCTGGGACAAGCCTCACAGCTAAACTCTTCTTTTTTTCCTGAAACGTTGGGGAAAACTGCATTGGTAAACGTTCCGTCGTTCTTTACAACATATTGGAATTTCATCAAACAATGGTTAGATAAAGGCACTCGCGATAAAATGTTCATCGTTTCTTCAAAAGACTTACAAAATGGCGCTTTACATTATCTAGTTGATCCAAAACATTTACCGAAAGTCTATGGTGGGAAATTGGAGTGGGTGTACGAAGATGAGCCTAACTTATGTGATGAGTTTGTTGACCTTATAGGGCGGAAGGACATGCCAAAAGGGCCGACTGAATGGGTAAATGGGCAATTGAAGGTATATTGATTTTATAGCTGCACTACAAATTGTGATTTATCAATTCTTCTTTTCTGGTCATACAAAGATACAAGTCTGATGTTTTTCCGCGGTCGGACATGTTCATGTGTCTACTATTTAAATGGTCCTCTCGCAGCAAGTGCGACGTTGAATGTTGACTATGAGACTGGGACAATTAGTGGCCAAGCTGCAGTTATAATAGCTCAATAAGCTTAATGACGTCCTTAGATTATTGTAAGTCTGTGTTTTCCAAAACTTTTGACCGTTGAGATGTTAGAATTCGCCCTAAGAATGAAGAAAACACTTTTCCTCTAACGTTCTTGCTTCACTGCGGTTTGGATTCACCTTGTACCTTCCGCTTCAAAAGATGTAGCTGATATGTTGAAGGCTGCAAGCACGGAGCATGTATATCTTTACGTATTAACTGCGTGGTTAGATACTAAGGTAGCCACATCCCTTTCGCCTGACGACGAGCAATAGAAATTTGATGCAAGCGTTTTGTCCTCACATTTAGAGATATGGTAAACGATTAAACATTTCTATCAATATGATGAGATGTGTCAATAATGTTGGTATTTACAGCAAGCCATTAATTCATTTAGACGAGAAGTTCAAGCGTGCATATCAGAAAAGACGATTGAAATGATTGGATTCATTGACATAACAAAACGTATACTGCACGGGAGAAGAAGGAAGTCAAAAAGTAAATCTTGGTTGTTTGATCATTGGCGCAAAAGGATACTTCGAATAGATTTTTTCAAGTTCTTTGTACGGCCTCATAATGATTCTTATTTCCGCTTTTACTTCTTGTCACCTTAGCGAGACCTGTTTGTTGTGCAATGCCTAATTGACTGACATTTTTTGTATGAGCTTCGAAGTTACGTAAAGCTTTTTTCCCTTTAATATGATGAGCAATCTTAGCAGGATTTAAGAAAAACTTTTCTGATTTTTGTTCTATATGATATTGATGTTTTTGACTCTCGGCTAATGCGTGACCTGATTCTAGGTTTCCAATGATCCATCCTCCATAAGGAGTAACCGCAGATATTATCGATTCACCGGGCTCAAGTGGTAAGCCATAAACACATACATTGGATACGATCAGTAAACTCCTAAGATAAAATACATTCATCGTTCAGGTTAACTGAATACGTGAATGAGTTGTTGTGAGAGAAGAAAGTTCAATTATAAGAGATTACTGTTTTTATATGCTGATTAAATCTTTGATAATTTTGATTGGGGCGTTAATAAATCTTCTGGGGCGATCAGATCAGAAAAATGCTATTTCAAGAATATAAATGATGTACACTAATATTTGCAGGGGCGAGAATTACAACAAGCACATCAACACAGCATTAGAAATAGAAGTGCTAGAGGATACTCCAGACTACATCTATCAAAAACATCTTCTAAAATTAATGTATACCATATCTTTTTTCACCTGAGACTTCTTGACACGGATTGGCTCCTATTCCTTAACGTCCAGCTATAGGTCTCATCAATAGTTTATGAGCACGAATCAAATTTGACAAGCCGCGCTCATTGTGTTGTGATTGGTTGCCCGCGCCCATAGCTTATCTTATCACATGGCCCCTCGTATGGGTGGGCGATCGGCCAAAAATTGAGTGTGACTGTTCAAAGACAAGTGATCACACGCCCGTGTAACTTTCGGCAAAAATGCCGCACTTTAAATTGACTTTAAATTATAGTTTAATTCAATACCTTGCATATGACTGATGCAGTGCTGTTATGGTGTCGTGCGCGATTAAAAAGTACAATGGCAGACTGTTCCTGTGCCTTTTGTCAAAGTGGGAAAGATAAGAATCTTGTGTGGGTGGATTGCATACAATGCAACGGTCATGCTCCGTTATCTATCGAAACTCTCTCACTTGAGGCTCAAAAAGGTTAACAGCTGTCAAAGTTGCATTCATGCTCGGAATTGCCGTATGAATTGGATTTATTTCCATTCCATCTCAACGAGCAATCTTTCCTCCGAAACGGTCATCATTGTCATGGCTGTGTAGAAAAGGAAAAGGTGGCATTCAAGAATGATTGATTATGACACCTTCTAATCAAACAGGTGACTCTACAGCAAAGCGTGCTCGATCGCAAAGATTCAATCGTGCAAAAACAGGTTGTTTCACTTGTAGAGCACGAAGAAAAAAATGTGATGAAACAAGAGATGCAAATACCGGTGGCTGTCAAAGATGTTTGAAGTCAGGAATAGAATGTTTGGGCTTTCCAGAATTACGTGGTGCTCCTTTAGCAGCACATTCAAAAAAACAAAAAGCTGCACAGGATGAAAAAGCAAGAAAATCAGCCCAATCGGAGCAAATCAACGATGAGCAATCACATCATTCTATGCAACTCATTCAGGCATCGCATACACAGCCTACAAATGTTGAACCGGCGTCCACTTTTGAGCTTTCGCTAACTGATTTCTTACATATGGATACGCCACCTTCCAGTGAGACTGTTTCTCGTACTTCTAGAAGGATCACCAGCAGAACAGCATCTGGGAATGCAACACCTTCAACCATCGATGCTGTCAGTCAAGAAGAAAGCGCTCAAGCAATGACCGCTTGGCTGAATTCTTCAATCTTGCCCTTTGCACAACAAAGAGAAGGTGAGACAATCACTAGTATTGGCTCACCCTTTCCACAATTCTTGCTCGATGATTGGATGTCATCAGATATGCTCAATTCACTGGGTAACACCTCAAGTGGAATACCAACCAACACTGGCGTCACACCGAGAATAATGTCACCCTTTCAAGGCATCCGTGATGAAGATCGTGCATTGAAATCTCTCGCTAGTTTTTATGCCGCTTTTTGTATGAGACAGAATCCCTATTAATCAATTCATTTCACACTTTGCCAGTATATCTTCGATTACCAAACAGAAACTTCGATTAGCTTGTGTCACACTCGATATCACCCAATCTAAGCAATGTATGCTATTCAAATATCGCCAATTCGCTAAAAGGTTTCTATGCATCGATACTTGATTCGATAAATACCCAATTCCCTTTCTTTCGCTTTACCGGTGATCTCAGTGCATACATATATTATTATCAGGAGTCTTGTTCGACAAAGTAACTTCTGTTACCTTTCCTCTGAAGATATGTGAAAATATTGATGTCAATCCCACACAATACTGCCGGTCAACTGGTCCTCGTTGGTGAAGAGAACTGCTAATTTCGCCTTTTTAAGATATTTAAGTTCTTTCGTGCCTAGTGTACCAATGACAACGAAAGTGATGCTTCTATCAGGTTGTAAGTGAAGAATTACGAATCAAAGATGCAACGACTGTATTACCCTTATGAGTTCATATCTCGATCATACTCCACATCCAGTAGAGTGCATAACAATGCTTTGCATAGACACTAAAAAGTAAATTTTGATAGGGTGCAAGCAAAATTATGACCTTACCTGTAAAGTGTACTTAGGCGCAGCGCACTAAATGTGAGGTTTTTCCTACGCTTACTCTAGTGCAGGGTGATGGGAAAGACTTTTTTGAGAATTTGCAGCCACTTCTTAATGAGAATAGACCATACATTGACGAATAATCAAAGCTGTATTTTCAATCTGTTTCTACTTAGTTATGTAAGTGATCAAGTCTAGGGTCATGCTGTATCTTAAGATATATGTTCGCTTCACTGACACATTGCATAATTTCAGTTGCTTCTAATTCTTATAAATCAAAGATATCGATTACCATTCACATTTGTAAATCATTTCCTCTCATACCATAAATCATTTATAAGCAGCTGTTGTTGTCTATCCAAGATTTTCCATTTTCCTGAAATTTGAATTTAATTTATATAATCAATTATGACACAGCCTTCTTCTGTCCGCGATCGTGCTGCCGCACTGTGCCGGATAGAGCGGGCTGGCACGAACGGTGATTCCATCGATTCTGCTCGTCAATATACTTCTGCTCATGGACGTCCGTTTCCAAGTTTAACAACGAGTTTGAAAATCGGTGCTCATCCTGTTCAAAGTGATACATTAATACTTGAAAAACAACAAGCATTCGATCGTATGAAAATTTAAGAGCGTATCGTTTGTGATTCGAGAGTATGACTAATCTACAGAACGTAAGGCAGATACAATAATTTCCAAATTTTTTGGCCTCAACGGATTTTTCTCTCCCGCGATAATCTGACTCATCTCGCCTGAAACAATTAGCGAGGATGCGGACTCAGAACCACACCACGATCAAAGAGAGAGGCTTATCGAGACCGGCAATGCACTGTGCGGGCTATGTAACTAAGATCGATTATGCTCAAAATGTAAAGTCACGTCACAAAGCGATGTTCCTTTTCGAAATCTCACTCCTTCAAACGACGAATTTTGGCAAGAAAGGCGACTCATCATCATTCGGAACTTTGTTTTCTGCAATTCGAACTCTTCTTGTCTTTTTGCAAATCGGGTGCCCTCAAAAAACAAACAACCTAGGTCTTTCTTTTGCACTGACGGAAGGAGAGCCTAGGCCAGGCGCATGATGGAGCAAGTAATGACGTCACATTCTTCAGCAAACTTCACATTGGCTTGGTTGGCATCCATGACAAGACTAATTGGTTGATGCATGCCCTCTCTTATATTTCCATTCTGATAAGCTACGAGGGAGATAACTATGATTGAGCAGGTAGTACGTTATACGCGTGTAGTGGTACCGGTGAGTGAAGTGTAAGATATGCTGAGATTGCACCTAGCCAATAAGCAACATGACCTGAGAATTGGTATTGTCCGTAAGCGACTTCTAGAATATGATTTTTAGAATAATATCCTGTCATCCATGGTACAGCCATTAGACTTAGGGAACCAATGAGACTCGCTATATATGTAGAAATTAGGAAGCCAATCAGACTTCCAAGTCGCCGTTAGGTCTTGTTGATCATAAATTGCATGAAGCACAGCTCCAGCAGCTAAAAACAGTGGTGCTCTAAAAAAAAGCATGGTTTACTAGGTGGAAAAGTGCTACATTGTATTGTGATAGACCACATGCTATAAATAGAAAACCCATTTGAGAACATGTAGAGTAAGCGATTACTTGTTTAAGAACATTTTGTAGTAGACCTGTACTTTCCGCAAAAAAGCAGTAAGAGCCCTTGCCCATAAAATCACAATAAGTGTTGTGAGATCGTATTCATTTTGTGGAGATGACCGCATAAGAACTAGCGTAGCAGCATGTATCAGAGCACTAACAGGAATTAGACCTTTCAGAGCATCTGGTAGCCATGTGTGGAGACTAAGCTGTGTACTCTTACCCATTGCCGCCAGTAGAAACAGCAGACCAATTAGAACTACCAATGTTTCATTAATAAATGGAGCTACACTAAACACAGTAGAGTAATCGAAGTTTACCACTGTAAATAGAAGAGCAAAGAATGCTACTGAAAGATTCATATCTCCTACGGGGCTTACAACAAGTGTTTGATAGCACTTTTATTATTTGCTTGAATTCGTTTAAACTAGAAATTAATAAGTAGATAAGAAAAAATACCAATTCCTTCCTAACCTACAAACATAATAAGATAATTTTCTCTTGTTACAAGAATTAGCAAGAGGAAAGTGTACATCGACAGATAAGAGAAGAATCGTTCATGATGCGGATCTACACTCATAAAATCAATCGAAAATACATGTACAAGAACAGAAACAAGAACAGAAACATTAGTACCGGAAGTAGCTTTAATACTGTCCGGTTATCAAATAGAAAACCCCATGAAACATCCATGATTTCAAAATCCATCCAGCTTCCTAGATAAATACATACTGAAAACCCAATTAGAGCTACTTCATAAAAGGCGACAATATATAGAACAGTCACCGGCCGTCACCATGCCGCCTTTCGTATGGCTCAACAGGCAAAATGGCGCTCATGTATTTCTGGCAATTCCTGTTCTTCGAACCTCCTCGATTTATGTGAAGTACGAAGCCATATCCAAATCTAAAACAAACTTCCTCCAACATTTTTACTCCATGAAATTCGAAAGTACAAATCAAATCTTTTGAATTGATCTTAAACTTCTTCGAAATAGTGTAACTTCATTTGTTATCTAGTGGTTTTATCTCTTTTTATGTACTCGATAATCTGCATCCTTATTTTTTTCGAAATTTTTTTTTTTTTGGTAAGCCCATAGTCTTCTGATAGATCCTGGGGTATTTGTACAGCGACTTCATCTATGCTTCTGTGTATGGGGTGTGTGCTTATATATTAATAGTCATCAGATGAAGAGAGCAGATTATAAAATGAACGCACACGAACTCCGTGAGTCCAATATCGTCTTTGGGGGTATCGATATTGGCACAATCATCAAGCGCCTTTACAACAAACTAATTGGCCCTGGTGCACCGGGCATGGATCCAGCAGTGGTCACAAGAGTAGTCGTCTGAGATCCGCCCCATAAGACGGATACTAGCTTCATTAAGTCGTCCTTGCGCTATTAGAGCACTGTCGGCTATCGCATTTCAGCATGTATGGGAATTCGCGATCCATTTTGTCATCACAGATATGATCCACCACACTCTCAAAAGTCTCTCTCATAACGTTGGCTTCAGCTTCAATCATGTGGTAAAAATGAGTGCCAGACGAAAAATTTCCCAGTACATCTCTTGCACTACACTGAACTTGTTTATTTCTAATTGTTCGATGAAAAACTTGCGACCGAGGAAATGCATTCCCAACCGCCTTCATCCCCCCTTTGCTCGTCACGCACTGGTCGCCTGCTTTTGCAAAGACAACGTGTCTGTAACGCGCTTAATTCTGCCTAGGGAAGCGATGCTAGATCTGTATGTTCGTCTAGACGCAAAGTGCGGCAAATTGCGAAATTCCAGGTGAGCGTCGATTGGGCAATAATAATCAATAGCATATGATAATTTGCAGTTTTTAAAACCTAGCACACATAACCACTGAACGGACAAAGCAAAGAAATTTCAGGCAGGGGAAAATTTTGGGGAAATTCCACCAACACTTTTCAAGCAATTTATTCAAAATTTGTCGCTGCCGGAAGATGTGACTTCGTCATCACCTCAGATACGCTAAGAATTTTGTCGATAGCACGTGAGGAACGTGGAAAGTCGTTGGAATTTCATCCGAAAATTAGGGCTTCAATACAGCTACCTAAAACACACATTTAGTCATACTTTCCACCTTTTATGATCAGAGGGCCAGCCAAGCAAGTCAGCATTCTTTGATTTTTTCATTTATTTTTTTGCTCTATTGACGCTTCTCTGGTATCTTGTCCACTTCTTTTGTGTATCCAGCCGATATTGCCTATTACATTGTAGGCGTTTGGCTAGATGTAAATATGTCTGATTAGAGGGAGGCGTGACAAGCAAATACACTTTAGGAATCGCAGCTTTGACATGAAAGATTGCCATCCCGGGAGACAAACCTTCATTTTTTTATGCATTGGTCGTTCACTTGCTTTTCAATCCTTCTAACTCTTTTTCGTCCGTGTAAGTTGCTTAATGCTTAATGTACATCAGAAAGTAAACTTTTCAGTCTGAAACGCTAGCTTTTTTCATTTCATTCTACTTTCCATGCTTTTTTTCACGAATTTATACCTACAGGGAGGACTTGTTTTTGCATTTCTTTAGCTTTCTCAATGAACTGTTGGCGCGAGATATTTAGAGCATTTGTGCTTGCATTGGTATCATGGCTGGAAAGATTTGATGCTTTCTCTAACAAAATAGCTAGGAAAAGTTCCTTCATAAAAGCAAACGTCCACCCAGTCGTAAGCTCTGCGAGCTCTGCGGTGAAATCTAAGAAGTCTTCTTCATTGACGCGGATCTGCGCGAACCCTATCTTGTTCTTCAACCAGTGTGAGAAAAATTCTTTGCGAAGATTTTGATTGGGGAGATCAAATGTGTATT